CATATACCATTTATTCAAATTTTTTGTAATATTTTCTGGAGGGTCCGCAATAAATTCTACAAATGCATGGAACCACCATCAGGCCCCCAGGGAAGGCTTAAACGATTTGTAGATTCTATATTCCACAAATCTGCATCGAACTATATAGGTATAACTATAGTTGTATATGTCAAAAATCCCAGAAGCATTCATTTGATTCACTTAAGGGGCCCATCCAAAGGCGAGCGTGTTGGGCGAACATGTTGTGCTCGACGAAATTTCTCCTGTGGATGGTAGATGTAGTGTTCGTTGTCAAATTTTGTGTTCGTCAAAGTGTTCGAATGAAATTGAAATCGTTCTATTTTGACAACGTTGGCAACAGCATGCTCGCCAATGGATGGCAATGTTGGCACGAACGTCAATTGAAAAAACATTTTGGTAGAGAAAAATGAATAAAAAGTTCCTGCTAGATTTTATTTATTGCCTAAAAAATGAGCCTGCGTTATGGCACGCCAAAAGTGATGAATATAAAAACAAGCATTTGCGTAATAATGCTTAAGTTCAAGTTTTTTTTTCTTTTTTTCTAAGCAAATACTTATTGCCATAAATGCAATTACAGTGCCGCTGTCGTTGTCCGTTGACATGTTGATAGTTTGAAAATTTATCGAAAAATGATGTTCGCACGAATGTTGGCTCTAGTTAGTGGGGAAAATGAAATTCAAGTAGGCGAGCATGTTGACGAAAATGTACATCATTTATGTACATACATTAATGTACATCAGATATTTTTTATTTATGATCGACAACAAAAACAAAAAAACGCTGAAAGCTACAAAAAACAAAACCTATCATTGTTAAACATGCATATAGTATTTAAAATAAAATACAAAATAAAGTTAAAAATTTATGGAGAAATTATAAATATATTCATGTACATTCAATGTAGTAACATTTTATTTTAACTTCGGGATTATTCTTCGGGGTGTCCTCCATCCCTGGCTTCTTGGTCGATTAGGTCTTCGACGATTTGAGCCCCAACTGCCACGTGGTTGAGCTGGATTTGTAGCATCGTGAAGCCGAGATTCCGCCCGTTGATCCTCACCATTTCCTGCACCTTTTCCTCAACGACCGAAAGGCGTTCCAGGAGACGCGCCAAGCGTTGTCGATGGCTTTCAATGATGGCCTGGTGGTCCACTGGTGGTTTCATGTACATCGCTTATAATTCTTTGTGTTACTTGTTTTTTTTTTTTATAATTTTGAGAGATTGTTGAAATTGTCAAAAACAATTTTGATCACCTAGTTGCTTTAAGGGTTGGCCGAGTCAGACTTAAGATTTTAAAAACTATTCATGGGGAATAAGTAAATTACGAATCGAATCTCTTGTCAAGGCTAACTCGATTGGTAGAGTAGCGATCTAACAAAATCCATATTGTGTTTCTCCAGATCGTCACTATGATTTACTACAATATTCTTTGGCTCCTCGGGCTTCAGCTTTTGTTCGATCTGTATAGCCTTTAGAGGACTCGAAGAACTGACTTGGCCCATTTCAACACTTTTTTTTATAAGAATATAGGCTCCTCCTACCGCTAAGTCTAAACTCCAACTGATTTCGCAATATTTTTTCTCACGAGCTGAATCATTTCTTTGATAGCGAAAGTACAACCACTGCTCTCTTCTGTTATCTATAACTTAATTGGGCTTTTCGGTTTTTTCAATAACATTATTTTTTGTCCATCAAAATCAATTTATAATTTTAATAGAAAATGTATTCTTTGTATTCTATCATTTCTTTGATAGCGAAAGTACAACCACTGCTGTTTTCTGTTATCTATAAAGAAATAGAAATTAAGAAATTACGAGAAGCTTCATTAAGAAATGGAGCTCTTCGGGTTTTTCCATAAAAACATTATTTTACGTCCATAAAAATCTATTTATAATTTTAATAGAAAATGTATTCTTTGTTTTCCAAGCATATCAAACTTATAATTACTTCTATTCACTAGGATAACTCCATATAAAATTGGCATATATTTTTACAACAGCTATAAATAAACCATAATTATACAATTTTCACATATAACTTCAATAACTAGTTCCTTAAAACTAATCAGCTTAACGAGTATAAACAATAAATAATAATCTTAGATGAGTGCATCGTTTGGAAGGTAACTACTGGAGAGTTCTTTTCAAGAACATATCCCGCTGAAAGTTGAGAATACGCAGAAGGCCGTGTTCAGTGCCCACGGCCACCAAGTTGTGGGTGGGGACGTTCCAATTGCAATGAACGATTCGTAGATCGATACTCCATAAATCTCCATCAAAATCTACATATACCATTTTTTTCAAATTTTTTGTAATATTTTCTGGAGGGTCCGCAATAAATTCTACAAATGCATGGAACCACCATCAGGCCTCCAGGGAAGACTATATCTTTCGAAATATATATCCGATTCTTATGGGAAATACCTTAAACGATTTTTGGATTCTATTCTCCACAAATCTGCATCGAAATCTAGGAATATCTTATTTTTAAATTTTCTGCCAAATTTTCTAGAGGATCCTTTTTAAAAATGCCACAGAAAGGCGAATGGCCCCACTTAAGGCTATATCTTTACTCTTTTAATGATTTTAGAAACGTCCTTCATCGACCTTTTTTAAATAATAGCTTGAAAAAACATAACTAAATAAATATTTTTTAATTACAGGAAGCCAACACCGGCATTGGGGAACAGTGGGCAACAATCTTGATCGGAATCATGCAGGTGGTGGCCACTCTCGTCTCCACCATGGTGGTTGACAAGCTGGGCCGTCGTATCCTGCTGCTGGCCTCCGGAAGCGCCATGGCCGTGGCCACCACAGCCATTGGAGTGTACTTCTATCTCCAGAGTCAAGACCCAACCCAGGTGACTAGCCTGGGATGGTTGCCAGTGGCCAGTCTGTGCATCTTCATCATTATGTTCTCGATGGGCTACGGACCCGTGCCATGGCTGATGATGGGTGAGCTGTTCGCCACTGATATCAAGGGCTTTGCTGGATCGCTGGCTGGCACCTCCAACTGGCTGCTGGCCTTCGTGGTGACCAAGACGTTCGACGACCTGAACAACGGTCTGGGAATCGGAGGCACCTTCTGGCTCTTCGCCGGCCTCACAGTACTGGGTGTGTTCTTTGTGTTCTTCGCCGTGCCGGAGACGAAGGGCAAGAGTCTGAACGAGATCCAGCAGGAGCTGGCCGGTAACCGATCCAATCCCAGCACTGTTATCACCAACGGAGCACCAGAGAAGTAAGGGGCACAGGCGCAGGCGCAGGAAGTTGAATTAGCGCAAACCGGAAGCCGCCATACGGACCGGAAATCACTGTTAACTTGATGTTAATTTACGTTCGATTTAGGTTCGCGTTAAGTGCAAGTGCAAGTCCTGATGAATTTGTTTATAGAATTTAATTTTCGCATATATTTTCGGGTTAAGCATAGCGAGAGAGAGATGGGAAACTATTGCAGCAAACTATTACTAAGAGCGAAGACTGAAGGTCAACTGCAGAAAAGCCGCAAGCGTGAAATGTAAGGCCTGCTTTTGCAGCCATTGAAAAGACAACAGCAATGTAAGAAAAACAAATCATATATAATCCAAACATATATGTATGCTTACTTAGTGTTACTTCACATTCAACCAACGAATTATGTTTTTTTTACAAATTAATGAAGTGAATGTTTTAAGGCAAATCCGATGCATTTGTTCAGGTTTTTAGAAAGTGTCTGCACGCATCTGATTGATAATTCTTAATCTATTTGTACTATATACTATATATGATATATATGTATATGTATGTATGTCTATGTATATGAACTATATATGTATAACTATAGTTGTCTATTTCAAAAATCCCAGAAGCATTCATTTGATTCACTTAGTTTAGTCACGTCTTTTGCCAATTTATTTATTATGCCAATAGAGCGACAGAGAAGAGTGTTTATATTTTTATGTAATAAACCGAAATAAACAACTATTTTTTAATGTACATCAGATATTTTTTATTTATGATCGACAACAAAAACACAAAATACGCTGAAAGCTACAAAAAAAAAAAGAAACAAAACCTATCATTGTTAAACATGCATATAGTATTTTAAATAAAATACAAAATAAAGTTAAAAATTTATGGAGAAATTATAAATATATTCGTGTACATTCAATGTAGTAACATTTTATTTTAACTTCTTTGGGATTATTCTTCGGGGTGTCCTCCATCCATGTCCTCTTGGTCGATCAGGTCCTCGACGATTTGGGCCACAACTGCCACGTGGTTGAGCTGGATTTGTAGCATCGTGAAGCCCAGATTCCGCCCGTAGAGCCTCATCATTTCCTGCAGCTTCTCCTCAACGACCGAAAGGCGTTCCAGGAGACGCGCCAAGCGTTGTCGATGGCCTTCAATGATGGCCTGGTGGTCCATTGGTGAATTGATGCACATCGTTTATAATTCTTTCTGTTACTTTTTTAGTTTTTTAATAATTTTGAGAGATTATTGAAGTTGTCAGAAATAATTTGGATCACCTTGTTGCTTGTAGGATAGGCCGAATCAGACTAACAATTTTAAAAACTATTCATGGGGAATAAGTGAATTTCAAACTGAACCTCTTGTCAAGGCTAACTCGATTGGTAGAGTAGCGATCTAACAAAATCCATATTGTGTTTCTCCATATCATCATTATGATTTACTACAATATTCTTTAGCACCTTGTGCTCCAGTTTCGGTTGTTTATCCTGTAAAGGACTTGAAGAATTGACTTGTCCCATTACAACAGTTTTTTTTGAGAAGATAAGCTCCACCAACCGCTAAGTCTGAACTGCAACTAATTTCACAATATTTTTTCTCATCAGCTGAATCATTTCTTTGATAGCGAAAGTGCAACCAGCTTGATTTATTATTCATCATCTTTATCTATAGCTCCTGTTATCTATATCTTAATGGAGCTCATCCGCTCTTAGGTTTTCCCAATAAAAAAATTTTTTTTACGTCCATAAAAATCAATTTATAATTTTAATACACAAAATGTATTTGTTTGCCAAGCATATCAAACTTATAATTATTTCTATTCACTAGGATAACTCCATATAAAATTGGCATATATTTTTACAACTGCTATAAATAAACCATAATTATACCATTTTCACATATAACTTCAATAACTAGTTCCTTAAAACTAATCAGCTTATCGAGTATAAACAATAAATAATAATCTCAGATGAGTGCATCGTTTAGAAGGTAACTACTGGGAAGTTCTTTTCAAGAACATATCCCGCTGAAAGTTGAGAATACGCAGCAGGCCGTGTTCAGTACCCACGGCCACCAAGTTGTGGGTGGGGACGTTCCAATTGCAATGTACGGAGTTGTATCGAATGAGGGGCATACTTGTAATGTTTTTCGGGCTGCGCTTCTCATTCAAATATTTGCTTCTATTTTTCGGTAAGACGGGAGAAACAGGGTTTATTCGCAGAGCATAATCCCTGAGAAAGATTTCCGGAGTAATAATATCCTTGGGATCGGAAGTTGCTTCTTTTAAATGAACCAAGTCCAGGGTGGAGACTGCTCGCACAATAAACGCCGACTTATTCAAAGCTGGTGGGAAGTTCAATTCGCGTACATCCAGGAAAACCAAGTCCCCATTGTCCGTCCCTAGGACCAAGTAATTCTTCTGGACATTGGAGTGCATTGCACGCGTACTACACACCGTGCTGTCAAGGGTCTTGTAGTCGTAGTTTATGCCGGAAGGGTTCAGTGCCAGATTACGAGTCATTCGATTCACAAACAGCTCATTGCTGCCGACAATAATCGTCTCACAAATGGGCGACCAAAACAAACTGGTTACATACAGATGGCTGATGCTAGAGCCCTCCACCAAGGGTTGTGGTTGTGACCAGTTTTTAATGTCATAAATACAAAAGCGACGAACATTGGTGCCAACGGCCAGCCAACGGGGTCCATGGGCATCGTAATGAAGATCCAAATCTAATTATAAAATAACTAATTAATAAATTAAGATAAAGGTAAAAGCTAAGCATCTTACATTGAATATTTCGTTCGCCTATGAAGAAGAAATTCAGAGGAGCAAAGTAGATTCGGTTCTCCTGCTTGGTGCAGTTGAGGCCTTCTGTGTCGCCAATATCCCAAAAGGCAACGTTTCCTTTGGCATAGCCTGTCACCAGGAAATTATGTCCTCGAGCCTAAGAAAATAATTATAAAACAATTACAAGATCTTCCTAAAGTCGTAATTTAACACAAAACTCACCTGAGACCAACAGATGCGAGTGCATTGATCCTGCACAGGATTGCTTAGATCCAAGCTAAGGGTAAAAATGGGATTTAGTTGAATCACATTTCTTTCCGAGGAACTCCGCTCATCTCCAGAAAGATTCAAAGGCAAGGCATAGATGTGAACATCGCTAATGGAGGTGCTCACTGCCAGTAATCCCAAACGATTGGTGGATCCATCGTACCCACCACTGGGCATAAAGACAAAGTTGTGAACTGGTCCATTGGGCACTCGAATTCCGTAGTGGAGATCCAGATGAAGGGTGGATAAATCCTCACTAGGACTATGATCAGGTACTGAACACTTGAGCAGCATCAGCAGAGCCCCCTCCGTTCCTCCAATTTTTGCATGTTTTGAAAAGCTCTTCAACTTGGTTCGCAGGGAACACAGTAGGTACTGTGTCTTGACCTGGGCCGGCAGAGGAGCCCATGCCAGTTGTTTAATGGCTCCACCAAGATAGCCAATATATTCGCCTGTCAAGATAGAGAATATGTAAGATTGTGGATGGTTTTCTTAACTTGAATCTTACCGTCTTTGATGAAACCCTCAAACAGTCCCATTTGTTGCCAATCACCTGATGTATCCGCATTTCCATAGGCATACCTTATGGATTTGGATTCTTTCGAGGGCAGCAACGTTTGGGCCTCTTCCGAAGGAATTATTGAGTAACTGGGATTGAATTGCGGGAACAACGAACCTTTGGAATAACTGATTTGGAGGCTAAAAACAAATAATTCATTAAGATTATATTTTCAACATTATTTTGTAGCTCAAGTTACTTACAATTTCTTCCATCGATCCTCTATCCTAAGCTCCAAGTTAAGGTAACGAGAGAATAGAGCTAGAGACGAAATTTCATTAAAAAATATTCAAAAAATGTTTAGGAAAATGCAGTTCTACTTACGAGGCTTCTCTGACACATCGCCCTGAACTGCAGGTCGTTTCCGGGCATTCCTTTTCCTGCTCCCATCCTTGGCCTTTGATTTCTTGGATTTCTTGTCACTCTTGGGTTCACTTTCGCCTTCGCTGATAATTGGATCCTCGTTAGAGTCTGCGCCTTCGGATTCATATTCTTCCGATGACTCCTTATCCATGGCCATATCATAGTCGGAAGTGTCGCCATCGAAATCTTTCTGATGGTCAGTCTCCGTCGTTGTATTTTCGCTTGTTAGGTCCTCTCCTATTTTCTTCAGCTTTGTTTCGGCCTTGATGGTGGACTTCCGCTTAGCCCGCCCAGCATTGCTGTACACCGGCTCCTTTACTTCCTCCTCCAGTTCTGGTTTAAGTTCTTCCCCAATCTTGGGTCGCCTGGGACAGGTGCGCAAGTGTGCTGGCAGTGACATGTACGCGTAGAGTTTCTTACAGAATTCGCACGCCACCCGCTGCCGGCCACAGTTCTCCAAATGGAGCATCATACCCATGGCAGTGCCTAGCTGGTGGTTGCACATGCGGCAGGCGAAGCGTTGGTCGGGATTGATCAGCAGGTAATCCTTCATTTTTCTTATTACCCAAGGGCGTGTGACGGACTTGAAATGGAGGAGTAATTAAAATTTATTGCAAGTTTGTATTCTATTGAAAGCTTACCTCTGGCGGTTCCTCAACTAGCCAACCCACTCCATAGTGCTCCAACAAGTGGATTTGCCAATCCTCTGTTGAGCTTCGGGCCAGGCACAGGCCACATTGCAGTTGTCCATCACCTTTGCCCTCGTCGGTCAACTCCTCATCCGTTTCCAGTTGCTCTCTTTTGCGGATGAGTAGCAGGCGCACATTAAAGGTTCCATCGGTGGGACATTTTTTGGAGCAGCTTTCCAGATGGAGCATCATGCCCAGAGCAGACCCCAATTTGTTGCTGCACAAGCGGCACTCCAGCTTCTTGTCGGGGTTGCTCTGTAGAAAAGTTTTCATCATCGCTATTGCCGAAGCACGGGTTATCAACTAAAAAATAAATAAAAATCCTTTAAAAAATTGTAATCCCATCTAGCTTTTAGAAACTCACCTCCGGCGTGTCTTCGACGAGCCAACCCACTCCATAGTGCTCCAATAAATGGTCTTGCCAATTCTCTGAGGTGCTCCGGGCCAAGCACAGCCCACACTGAAGAGGTCCATTACCTTCACCCTCGGTTGTCAGAACCTCATCGGTTTCCAAGTGCTCCCTCTTCCGAATGAGCAGCAGACGGAGATTAAAGGAACTAACCGGAACCCCATCTTCTTTGAGTTTCTTGGCCAGCACACTATCCATTTCGGCTGCTCGTTTCCGTCCCCTTCTTGAAGGCGTCTTTGGAGTATCCAAAGGTTGGACATCTTCGGCTTTTGGCGTTTCAGGTTCTTTTCTTTTTCGGCCTCTTTTGGGGGTCTGGATTGGTTCTTCTTTGGGTGTGGAAGCGGTTTCTAGATCTGGATCAGGATCGGACCTAGCCTTCCGTTTAAGTGTAGGCTCAGGACTTGGTTCAACGCCGCGACTTCTTCTTTGTCTTTTGGCCAGGACTGGACTGGAAGAAACATTGGATTCTTCAGCAGATTCTTGATTTATCACAGGACTTTGAAGTGACACTGCTTGCAGCTCTTTAGTCCTAGACTTTCGAGATCCCCTCACACTCTTCTCAGGTAGTTTGAAATCTTCTGGAACTATTTCTTTGGACAAATCTTTACTTACATCTCCTGCTTCTTCTGCTGTAGAAATTTCAAGTTCTTCGGTTTTTGGTGAAGTATTTTCCTGCTCCTCTGAATCTACAAATTTATCTGGCACCGCTTTTTTACTATTTCTAGTTTTGGGTTTTATAATAATCTCAGTTTCCGCGGTTGACTTTGGAGCTTCTTCTACAGTTCTTTCTTCTAGGTTCTCGCTACTTTTTATAGAGCTCTCAGTTGGTGGAGTTGCATCTACACATTTGGGTGTCTTACTTCGAGATTTTCGGTTTCTGCTTGGTTTTCTAGAAGGCATCTCTTCCGACTTTTCATCACAAACTTTTGTATCTCCAGTTACTGTCTGGATGGTTTCGGTGTCTTCTACTTTTTCCAAATCCTTTGGAGCTGTTTTCTGGGAGGTGCTAGACCGAGACTTTCGTTTACCTTTGGGTATGTTGTTAAATGTGTCTTTTTCCCCTTCGGTTACTTTATTTACAGAACTATCTGTAGGTTGAGAAACCTCTCCTGTTGAAGTATTACTCATTTTTGGGGTTCTACTTCTAGAAAGTCGTTGTCGCAGGGATTTTACAGAAGTGGTCGGCTCTTCCGGAATCTTAGTTTCTTCCGCAGCTAAGGGACTCTCTCCAGTTGCAGTACTAGCTAGATTTGGGGTTCTACTTCGAGTTAGACGTTGTCGTAGAGATTTTACCGAAGTTGTAGGCTCTTCCGGAATCTGAGTTTCTTCTGCAGCTGACGTAATCTCTCCAGTTGCAGTACTGGCTAGATTTGGGGTTATACTTCGAGTTAGACGTTGTCGTAGGGATTTCAAAGAAGTTATCGGCTCTTCAGGGATCTTCCTTTCATCCGCAGTTGAAGAAACCTCTCCAGTTGTATTATTAGCCAGGTTTGGGGTTCTACTTCGAGATAAACGTTGTCGTAGGGATTTTACAGAAGGGGTGGGCTCTTCAGGAATCTTAGTTTCTTCCGAAGCTGACGAAACCGCAATGGGTGTCTCTGAATCCTTAGACTCCTCTGGAATATTCTGGGATTTATTAGCCTTCGCACTCGACCTAGACTTTCGCTTCCCTCTTGATGTTTCAACAGCCGGTTCCTCCGGTTTTTCTTTCGCTTCATCATTTTCCACAGAATAGAAAATTAAAGTAGCTGGAAGTAGACTTTCACTTTTGGAAAGTTCCTTTTCCTCGGAAGCTTTCTTTGTGGACCTTCTCCTACTTCTTCTTGTGCCATTTTCAGGAATCGGGGAAACCTTCTCGCTTATCACAGTCGTTGCCTCTTTTAGGTTCCTGAAAGAGTCTTCCAAGTTCGCCTCAACAACATTGAAGGTGTCTCCACCACCCGGATTCAAAGGAAGATCTTTTGATTCTTCCGCTGGATGCTCATTTAGACTTACATCCTCGTTAATATCTACACTTTCTGCGAAATCCATGGGACTACTGCTGTCGGAATCAGTAGCTTCTTGGTTTTGGACTCCAACTTGTGGCGTGCCTTTTTCATCCTCCGGCTTAGCTTGTAGTATCTTTACGTGGGACAGCTGCTCGTCCTCAGTCTCATCGTGGTCTGGAGAGGCATCATCGCTAATGTCCGTTTCGTTGACCTTTTTTTGCAGAGAAAGAACTGGAGTTCGAGTGCGTTTCTCCTCCAATCCCACTATCTCGGATCTATCATCGTCACTGGTACTGGAAGTGGGAACACGACTTCTAACATCTACACTAACTGGGACTGGGTCAATAGAACTGGTTGGCTTTTCTTTGGCGGACCTCTTTCCAAGAACTGGACGCGTTTTAACAAGCTTCTTTCGCGACCCTGCCTTGGGAGTTTCTTCTGAGCTGGGAGAGGTCTTCTTGGGCTGTGTGGTCACCTTCTCGGCTTCCAGGTGGCTTATTAGGTTCTGGATTCCCTTCACCTCAGGCGTGGAACATGCCATGTTATCCACTTCTTCGGGATGCTTTCGAAATGGCAACTGGGCTTCGCCCTGTGGCGGAGGTGGCTCCTGGGAGAGGATGTCTATTAAGGATACATTGCTAGCAGTTGTGGAGGTCTGTGATTCATCGAATTCCTGGTTTTGAGTTGGTTTTCGTGATTTATTCTTTGGCATTTTGGGTGGATGATACAGCTGGGTTAGGTCACGGTCTGTGGCGGGTTTTGTTTCCTCCTTCACTTCCTGTTCCTCCGCCTGCAATAGTTCTTTTTCCGGTTGTGCTCCCCCATCATAACCTTCCTTACACTGCCCCTCATCTGATGACACCTTTGGATTATTTGTAATACTAGATATATTAGGGGTAACTATGTCTGAGCTTAACTTATCGTCATTAGCAATTACCTCTATCTCCATCTCTCCATTGCGCTCTGCCTCAGCCGACGGCTCATCGTTTTCCTCGAACTCTGGCTTTGGTCTCTTGGCTTCGCTGGCCTTCGCAGCACTCGGCCTCTTGGTCCTCTGAACCAAGTTAATTTTGGCTCTTTTGGACCTCGTTGGCAGCTTCTTCACAGGAGGATTGGCCTCCTTTTCAGGTTCCGGATCTTTCTTCTCCAAAGGCACTTCCGATTCATTGGCATTTTTGGGTTGTTCTGCTAAAATATTTGCAGCAAGATTTTGGTTCCCCCTGGGAACCTCAACAGGCTCCACGATGGTTGGTTCTTCCGCCGTCTTCTCCAAGTTCTGGACACTCTTTTGCAGCTTAATCGCATTGGGACTTATGCGAAGAATATTGGCACTATCACTGTTGACGTCCAAGGTGGCGTGCAATATATTCACGTCATCCATTTTCAAAATTTTTCCAATCGCCAGCTCTTCATCGGGTTCTGGGAGGACTTTGGAAGAGCAGGCGGGACTCTCCACAAAGACAGAAGGGTCAGGTATGGGAAGTTCTTTCAAAATCTCTTCAGGCTTTTCAGGCTCACTTATGGTTGTTGCGGAAGAAAGACCGAAGCCTCCACCTCCGCCTCCAAAAAGGGCATTCAAACGCTGTTCTTCTGGCGATAGTTCCATGAAACTGCTGTCGTCCATAGAATTGTCAGCTGCCAACTGGGCTATGAAGTCAACGGCCGACAGAACCTTGGAAGTAGAAGATTTTTCTGGACTTTTATCTACCTTAACGTCTTGAGGTGGTTCTGGTTCATGGACCTCTTCTGGTTCTGGCGTGCAAGGATTATAAACAGGCACTGCTGCCGGTTCTATAATCGACAGAGTATCAGTGGTAACCTCCATAGAATCTGAAGAAGGCTTAACTGGGGACTGAAACAGGGTCACATCTCCAGACTTAATAGTCGGAGTTTCTATAGTAGAGTTATAGACTTCGCTACTGCTTTCTTTATTAATGGTTAATGGTTCCACATTACTGGTTTTCATATTAGTTGTTGGAACTGTTTCCATCTCCGTGCTAGTCTCCACTTTCTTCACCTGGTTGCGAATCTCGTTGGCCATCTCAGAGAGTTTCTCTCGTGAGAGCTTCAGCTTTTGGGTGCTGAGGATTACCTTGCCCTTTCCCGACTGAGCCGGAGGAGGAATCACATCGGTCTTTTCCAGGGTCTTCCCCTGTTGAATGGCCAGACTGCTCAGGTCTATCTTCTCATCCGGGGACAGGACTTTGTTCTCCAGCACAATCAATGGAGGCAGAGAGCTCTTGCAAGTTTGTGGCAGAACAGTTGGAGTTTGGGGAAGAGGATTAGGTGTTTCTAAGGGACCAGGTGTCATTTTATTATGTTCCTTGGAGTTCCGCTCAGGCACTACTGGTGTTGAAGGAGCAGAGGGTGCTGGAGAAGGCGACTTTTGTATCAGCGGCTTGTTAGAGATCTCGGGAGTTGGTGCATCATTGTGCTCCTTGGGCGTGCTCCTTGCTTTACTACCATAACTACTAGGCGTACACAAAGATCGACATTTCGGCAACTTGTTCACCAAATTAAGCAACAATGGTGGCTGCTTTGGACGCACAGTGACATCCGCCTTGGCTATGGGCGCCGAAAAGACTCCAGGTGTGGGCGATGGGTCAGGAGATCCCAGAGCAGCCGTTGGCGGTGGCCGGGATGCAGAGTGCTTGGCCGGTATCCCACCCGTATTCTTGTTCAGGATTCGGTTCTTGAGCAGAGCCTTGACGTGCATCGAACTATCCACATTGGTCTGGCCAGGCACTATTTTTTCAATATAATCCGAAACCACTCCTCGCTTTTTTATGGGCTGTGGGGCTAAAAAATAGAAAAATATTAAACATTAATGATAAAATATATTAAAAAGTAAATAAAAAATAAAGCAAAAGCTCAGTTTAGTCAACACTGGGATTCGAACTCGGGCCAGAAACGAGCAACAAAAACCTCGTCCCTAACCTCAATAAGTGGTGCCATTTACAGGTTGGACCATCAAAAGAAAACGAAGACAGCGGTCGAGGGTGGCACTTAAAGCCAGCCTGCAGGGTATGAGTTCAAAAAAAAAATTAACCCCCATAAGTCGGAGGATTATATGTTGTATTTTTATCAAATTATACTAACTTTGATTAAACTAACTATGAAAAAATATTTTTTTCCTATCAAAAGTTAGAAAATATATATAGAACAATTGTTTTTTCATAAAAAATAAATGGAATTTAAGAAAAATAAATATAAGCATCCCTAATAATACACCATGCCCCAGTGTATACACCGCGGTTCCATAGGTATGTATTTTATAATCTTAAAAAGAAACCCAACCAAGAATTTCCTTATTGATTCTTCAAAGAATTTTTATTGTAATTTTTTTTAATTGTTAAAAATAAAGTTTAAAAAAAAACAAATATTTTTACATATACAGGCAGAATGACTAGCGTGAAATAGAACCGTCAAAAAAGCACGCTTTCGAGAGGACGCACTTAACAGCTGCGCCACCGCCTATGGTTTTCGCCTTGCGTCTCAAACTCACACATACACTTGGATGCCAGAAACTGCATTTGGCAGAAATCCTAGACACCAAGTGTCATTAAACTATGAAAACTAGACACAAAATAATGCATTAATTAATAAATGATTATTTTTACCAGTCTGACGCAATTGTTGTTTCTGTTGCGCAGCAGCTGAGGTCGATGGCGATGCACTTCCGGCCACAGTAGGAGTAGGGGGAGTCCCTGGCTTTGCCTGCTTGGCTCCTGGACTCTGTTTTCTCAGAACCTCGGCCAGCTGGCGATCGAGTCCAGCTTCCTTGAGTTTTTTAAAGTCCAGGTTTATTTGCTTGATTATTCGCTTAGGAGGGGGTGCACTTTTATCGCCAGTCGGTGACGCCGCTGGGTTCGGGGCCGCAGAGTTGTTGCTGGGATTGGCAGACTTTGCCACTGCCGGCGGAGGGCCCATTAGGCTAGGTCGCTCGGGCTTATCCATTCTCTGTTAATGATTAACCAAACGGGATGTCTCCCTCGAAAATCTCACCAGAAAAATGCGACTTCACATCCGAACCGAGCACGCCTAGTTTGCAAAAATTATTTACATTTGTTTGAAGAATTTATGCAGAATTTTTGGTTTTCTTGAATTAATATCTTTTCAAAAGCCCTAGCTCTTTACAAATAGTCACTAGATATATTTTCTCTCACTTTTTCCACTCAAAAATTAAAAAAATCCAGCATGTGCATAGAGCTGGTTACCAATTGATAGAATTATCGAAATAATAAAGCGCCATCAGTGGGAGTAAGTGGAACCTGAACATCAGTGATGCGACAGTTTCTGGTTTGTTTTTCAAGTTAAAGTTGTTACTTGGAAAATACGCCTTTAAGTAAAAAGAACTTAAGAACTGGGAATATATAATTAATACAAAATTATATTTAGAATATTAAAAACATTTGTAAAACCATTTCTATAGTATTCCATTTTTGAGGTGAAGTTAGTATTAATTATTAATTCGATACGGTCACACTGACCAATGCTTCGTTGTAGAGCTGGAAAATCATCGATGTTCACCTACATCGATGTTTCGATGTTTTTCAGAAAAAAACATCGATGTATCGCGATACATCGAACTTTCTTAGGGTGCACTTAAAAAAATTTACCACACCATATTATATTAAAATATATTTATTTATTAAAAATAAATGAATAAAAAGTGTAATATATTTATAAAAAATTACGCTTTGTGTAAGATCCATAGTTTAATAATATTTCAAAATTCAAAATGGCTCTTAAATACTACTCTTGTATTAAAAATGAAACTTAAAGCTAGTCTTTCATAGAACACAAAACTTAAAATGAAAAAACAATTGAAACAAAAATATAAAGCAGCTACAAGTTCTAAAAAAAAAATCTAAAACAAATAAAAAAAAAAAAGCGAAAAAATAAAATTAAAATTAATTTAAATCCAGTCATTTTTTATGACTAATTATAGATTAGTCTTTTATTGTTTATTACTTAACAATTTTATTGTTAAGTTTATTTCATTTAATTGATAATAATTTTTGGTGCACTTACCAAATACCAGCCAAGAAGTGATGAGTAAAGAGGAAACATCGAACATCGATGTTTGAAAACTTCGATGTTTCTCGAGTTTCAGAAAACATCGATGTATCGATACATCGTCGATGTTTTCTCCAGCTCTACTTCGTTGACAACCCTGGTGTCTACACCATCAATAGTTTTCCGGAAAAAGCGACAACGTTTTTAGTCAAATATATTGAAAAAAACGTAGAAAAATGGACTTTCAGAACCGTGCCGGTGGCAAGACCGGCAGCGGAGGCGTGGCCTCCTGGTCGGAATCCAACCGCGATCGCAAGGAACGCCTGCGGCAGCTGGCGCTGGAGACCATAGATCTGAACAAGGATCCGTACTTTATGAAGAACCACTTGGGCTCCTACGAGTGCAAACTGTGTCTGACGCTGCACAACAACGAGGGAAGCTACCTGGCCCACACGCAGGGAAAGAAGCATCAGGAGAATCTGGCGCGCCGAGCCGCCAAAGAGGCCAAGGAAGCACCCTCCTCGCTGCTGGCACCGGAGAAGCCCCGCGTGGAGCCGAAGAAGTTCGTCAAGATTGGACGACCCGGTTACCGGGTGACCAAGCAAAGAGAGCCCTCGAACGGTCAGCAGTCGCTGTTGTTTCAGATCGATTACCCCGAAATCTCGGATTCCATTGTCCCGCGCCATCGCTTCATGTCCGCCTACGAGCAGAAGATCGAGCCGCCAGACCGCAAGTGGCAGTACCTTCTGTTTGCCTCCGAGCCGTACGAGACGATTGGCTTCAAGGTCCCCTCCCGGGAAGTAGAAAAGAGCGAGGGCAAGTTTTGGACGCACTGGAACCGGGACACGAAGCAGTTCTTCCTCCAGTTTGCCTTCAAGTTCGAGCCCAAGATCATGCCTCCGCCACCGCCCAATCTACACAGGGCGATCGGGCCACCGGGCGGCTTTCCTATACCAGGACCACCCCGTCCGGCAATGCACCATCCCATGTTCAATGGAGTTCCTCCTCCGCCACCCATGTAACACGTACTGGATCATAATTTTTTACAGAAAGACCTCAGATTTAAATAAAAAGTCTTAATAATTATACAACTCTTAAACTTTGTATTTATGTTCTGGTGGCTTAATTAAGAAAACTAAAAAATATTGCCGTTCTTCTCTAATGGTCGATAGTCTGTAGCGCTAAGGTAAAACTGTCTAATCTTAAAGTAGGCAAAAAATGTACAAGGTATGAATACACATGGATGTATCACTCCTCCTTCCGTCAGTGGTCTACATCTTTTCGCGCTTCTTGAAGTTCCGCTTGGAGGCACAGCGGCTGATGATGTCGGAGACGTGGGGCTTGTGCTCGAAGATTTTCATGAGCTGGTTCTGGGCCTCGTTGATGCCGTCGGTGATGATCTTACTGCGCTGGATGTTGCCCTAAAAGGAGTAACATATTGATGATTACATCTTGGATATTTTTGGTAAAGAAAACCCACCTTGAGCAGCTCACTGACGCGCTCTATATCGCTGTGCTTATCCTTGTCCTTTTCCAGAGCTTGCAGCATGGTTTCCAGCTGCCCCAGGCTGACCATCTCTGATTCGTTCTAAAAAGGGATGAGATTATAAAATATTTGGGATGCTCTGTCATGATGAGGACCATACCAAGTCCTCCATTTGCGTCCTTAAGTGATATATCTTCCATCCATTGATCTTCTCCCGCACATTCGGTTGATTGGCCAAGTCTATCACTGTGGCTCGTCGCTCTTCCCTGGGCTTCACATCGGTGTATCGATGGAAGTGATTGGTGGCCAGCTTGTGGGTGGGCTTATAGGTCTGAAAGACATCACAGATCACAGATTAATGACAACTACTAGGACATAACAGAAGCTAATGACTTACGTTGAGCAAAGCACAATTGCGCGGACGCTTTATGACAAAGTCCACGGGATTGGCGTTCTCCTTGTTGCCCGCAACTGCTGGGGTGCTGTTCCGATGGTTGGCCTCGACTGGGGCACTGTTGGGAGCCACTACCGGGGCGGGTGCTGCCACCAGTAAGCCTCCATTGTTGTGCTTCTGCATGTAGGCTGCTGCAGCAGCGGGTGCGGGCTCGGCACTCGGTGGTGGCAGGGATAGGGATGCCTGGCTCTGGGTTGAGTGCTGACTGTCATTACTACAAAGGATCAGAATATTAATTACAAATATAAGGAATACATGATAGCCACTTACGTGGATCTACGTGGCTTCTTCCTGGCGGAACAATCGTAGCTCGAGCTGGAGCTGCTGCCGGTGCCATTCATTCGCGTTCCTGGCTGCTGTGCCAACTGGGCCGATCCTGCCACGTGGGGCGTCGGCTGCTGGGGTTGCTGCTGCTGTGGCGTTGGTGCCTGGACATCTACGAAAGCGCCAGCACGAGGTCCCATAGACGAGTGTCCCTGATGCGAGGAGTACATCTTTCAAGGTGAGAGAAATCCAGATAAAGAATACATCTTCTCCCGCTACCACCTTCTCCTAAACTCACCTCATTTATGGGATTGAAGTGCGTGGCATTGTCGCGACCACTAGCCCTTGATGCCGATGGCTCGCCAATCCTGTCCTGCAACTGCTGATCCACGCCTGGCGATGAGTTCGCCGACACTGTAGTCGAGCCATCCGATGATGCCGGGGACTCGGCACGAAGATTTCTCAAGGTGGAGATGGCAGCCTCAACAGAAGATACCGTGGGGGCATTACTGGTGGCTCCATGGGCCACCCGTTCCCTCTCCTTCTTGGCCAGAGCCTCCACAGTGAGGGCCGAGCTAACCGACGAGGGCACTGCCACAAAAACGGGCTTCAGGCTGTAGGTGGAACCCGAACTGGTGGCACTGCTGGTATTGCTTGCCATGGAGAGCAGAGTGGGTCCCAGGTTCTTGGCTGCTCGGATGGGCGATCCCTCGGCGTCTCGCTTGCGCATAAAGTTGGACACCAGTGCTCCACTTGCGCCCGCCGGCTGCGGGTTTCCTGCTCCCGTGGTGACCTTCACGGACGTATGCAACGGGATGACCATGTGCTGGGGCGGTGCACTGTTCGCCGCCGTCGGGATTATCAATTGCTGATGGCCGATGGTCCGGGTGGCTGTCGCTCCCGCAGCTCCAGACGGTAGAACCGTAAAGGTTGCCTGCGACCCGGAACCTGCCGATCCCGATGTTGCTGACGCATGGGTGGCAAATGGCAGCGAGGACACGGATAAGCTGCTTCCCCCAGCACTGCTGACCAGTTGGGCCTGGGACTGGCTGCTCTGAGTCACAGTGGTTGTGGTCAGCGAGAGCACACCGGTGGACGAGGATGCCGGCATTGATTCGTAGTAGATTGTAGCTGCGCTTCCCTTTTCGTCGATCTGCCAAAAAAAATAAAATTTTTTAATTCTTGGAGGGATTTCCATTCAGTAGAAAGTAGGCCTTTGTTGGGATTAACTTTAGTCTTTAACTAAACGGCCAACGCACCTTCATCAGCTGGCTCTGGGAGGCCACTACTGGATTCCAAGTACGCTGAAATCCGGTCACTGTAGCCCCACTGCTGACAGTGACCTCCGATCCTTGTGCTGCGGCCGTGGACGGTGCCATCATCATCTTGCCCACTGTGATGCCACTGGCATTCTTAATGGGAGTCAAGGTGCCCGTGAGGATGTTGCCTCCAGGTCCGACAGCTTCTCCCCTGCCGCTAATGGTCAGTGGCAAAACAGTGGCTCCCCCGGCAGCTGCAGTCGCACCGGTTACCGGGCTGGGAGTCACCACACTGGCGGAGACACTGGGCACTGGCACCGCCTGGATGCTGGTCACTCCTTGGGGAGTCATGGTCGGAGTGCCAGTGGCTCCGGCCGTGGACAGTTTGCCGATGGGATTTAGCTGCGTGATGGTCAATGAGGGCTGCGACTTGGATGTCATGGTGACTGGTGGACGGATGCCTGAAAAATGTTCCAAAGACATTTAATAAGATGACAAGATTGGTGGTGGACTCCTTACCCATCTTAGCTGCCGCCGAGGTGCTCATCAAAAAGGGCTGCAGCATCACATTGCCGGCCAGGCGAGCTGCCGATCCGATAATCTGCTGCGTGGCTGCCGTCGCCGGCTGCTGCAGTTGGATGATCCGCGTGGTGGGCAGATTCGTGGCCGTCAGAGCAGCTCCTGCCCCTCCAGGCCCTCGGCCCGGCGCCACTGTTGCTCCTCCCGAGACACTAACCGGCGTCGGGGAAGGTGTCACGCTGGCATTAAGCTGAGGGTGCGGTGCCCTGATACTGATGCTCGTTGTGTTCAGCTTGGCTCCCGTGAAGCCCTTGCCCAACGATATGGGTCGCACTTGACGCGACGTCACGGTGGTTCCTCCGGGTGTGGTGGTCGTTACTCCCCCAGTGGGCGTGGCCACAGCAAAGCGAGAATTAAACTGCTGGCCAGGATTGGGATTAGCGTTCGGGGTGGACACATTGGAGGAGTAGACAAGAGTGGCTTGGTGCTGTCGTTGTGGCAGAACAGTGGCCACGTAAGCTTGGGGAGCACCTGCCGGTCCCGTGGATTGTGGAGCCAACGTTTGGGCAGCAGATACGGAGAGAGCTGGAAAAGATCGGGGTTAGTAGGCACTTAGGTGAGGAGCTTACAAGACTTACCCGTTGGGGCTTGGACCGGAGTAGCCGTGGTCACCACATTGGCACTACTGACGCCCGCCGACGTGGTTATGATCCTCTGACGGGGCTGGGGGATGGCACGGATCAGTTGGACCTGTCCCGTGGGACTCTGCATCCAGGCGGCACTGTTGCTGGACGAGATCACTGTGGATGGTGGCTGTGTAGACACCGCCACTCCACTCCGGCTCACTGATGCTGTTGTCCCGCGGACAAAGCCACCAGCGGTGCTGATTCCGGTGGGCGCTGCTGGTGTAACAGTAGCCGAGCCGGTCGATGTGGCCCTGAGGGGTGTCACCAGGCGCTGGCCCACTCCCACACCACCCATCTGGGTGGCTGTGACGCTGGCCCTCGGCAGATATGTGGCCTGGGTCACAGGTCTGGTTACGGTGATGGAAGCATTCGAGACACTTCTGGCCGGAGCTGCCGGTATAGCCGTAATCTGGGTCCTACCCGTCGCCGTCACGTTTTCCAGCTGCTTGATCATGGGCATGACGACACGCACCTGCGTGGACTGCCCTCCTGCCCCGATGGCCCTGATGGAAGCTGCCGTGGTGGCCTGTCCCGTGTTCAGAGCAATGGGCTGCTGAACGGCATTGGCGGCTGCCACCTTGATGGTCCCGCCGCTGAGGATGGGCGTGCCCGATATGGAGATCCCTCCGCCGCCGTCCGACTTGACATGGGTGATCTTGGCGGCCACCGCCGAGTGCGCTGCAGAGGATTGAAGCAAATGAGTGGACGGCAATGAGTACTTGTTAATGACGCCGCGCAGCTGAAAGGGCGGATTTGAATGTGATACCAGGGATGCGGATGCGGGTGCGGATGCGGATGCAGGTGCGGACGCCACCGATGATGATGATGAAGAAGTGGCTTGAATTGATGACAGCAATGTTGGTGCATGAGGAAGAAATGGCTGGGTGCGTATCTTAATGGTTTTCAGGGGGGCTGTGCGGGTGGCAGTAGTGGGTATTTTCTATGAGATTTCGTTTTAAAAAAAAATTCCAATCGCACATTTTTGAACGGACAAGCGTACGAATTCTACTAAGACAATTATAGTTAGTATTTAAATTTTTTAATTAAGCTCGACTTTTATTTTTTTAATTAAACATTAAGAAAATTACGAAGGACAACTTGACAACCCTGCCACGAATGCACAGTAACAACAAAGCACACAAACATTGACACAAACGAGAGAACAGCATTTGCTACGAAGGTGAGGCACAAAGGGGAATCGGAAACAAACAGTGCGCGTATGGGAGAGCAAAGAGAGGCGCACAAATGTTATGTATACACACGCATACACGGGAACAATGCTAATACAGGGCTTTTATATTTGCTACTGGTGCATATATTTATATAGATATATGTACATATAGTACACTCGGATATCGTTCAACATACCTGATGGTGCTGTAGCTGTACTTCCGCCGCCGCCTCCCACAGCTCCTGCGCCACCTCCCGCGCCGCCTTCATTTGGGGCGCTCATACTGGCTGGTTTTCTGGACGACAAGTTCTGTAATACAGCAACAATAACAACTGGAATCAGATGCCAGCTCCACGTTAAGCCACCTCGCTTGTTGCCCTCTCCTCTTCTTTCTCTTTCTCTTATCTATGCACTCGATTCCACTGTACTCTCTGGCCACGCTCACACAGAATTTAGTCTTGATGAAGTGGCAGAATTACTTGCCTTTTTTCTAGCTTAAGGATCACTTTGTTGTCCCTGTGAACCGGGATACGATTTTTCCGCCGCGCTTTCTATTAATTAAATGGAATCTTATTGTGTTTCCTGCTACTAGGGATGACGAACATATTATAAGTATGTACCTGGTCACACACTTTTATCAACCTGGTCACACATCTTTTTTCAGCATGGTCATACCTTATTTTTCTACGAAAATTAAAAATAATAATAAACTGTAATAACGAATTTTTATAAAACAATTTATTTATTAAAAAATTTAATTTATTAAAATACTTATTTTTTTCTTTAAATAGGCTCTACCATTTTTGATTGAAATTCAAAATAAATGTCCAAGGGAAAAAAAAATCTGTAAAAAATACCAGAAGAAAATCTTCAGACAACCCTGATGGAAAGTCCATCTCTAGCGAAATATCAACATCTATCACCTGCCCAGTCCCCTCTAAAATCCCCAATCGAATCGCGAATAGAAGAAGAATCGGACAAACTGGTACTCGGATTTGCAAAGTTTTTCGCTGGGGCAAAATAAAATTTGACAAACCAGGAAACAGTTGCAGTTGTCGTGGAGTGCGTGTGCGCCTTGTCCGATGCGAGTGTATGCGAGTCCGAACCAGACACAATCACACACGGAGCACGGAGGAGAGCGTAACTAAAAACACAAAAACCAACAAAACACACAATTTAATTGAATTACAAGTGAAATTAGAGTGAGTGCCACTGATAATTGTGGACAGCACAACACAATCGAAGCGAACGCGTTACGTGAAAAGCCAAACGGCAGGTTGGAAAGTGCAGCAGCAAGAATTCGCAGCCAGTTGCTGGCCCAGGAAAAAAATTGATTTTCCACAATTGCAATTGGAAGGCAAAGCAAAGAAAAGCAAAAGCAAAGAAAAACGAGGAGGGAGAGAGCCCAACCGACGACGTGCGTGCGAGAGTGAGAGAGGGGGAGTTAACGAGAGTGTGGGAGTGGAAGTGGTGGTGATATAGTGGTAGTGGAAGTGGGAGAAGGGCAAGAGAGTACAGATCCACATCCAGGCATCCCATCCAGGCGCATCCTTTATCCTCGCATGCAATGAATATTGTCGGGGACTATGAGTACAGCTCCAAGGATATGCTTGGCCACGGCGCCTTTGCCGTCGTCTACAAGGGCCGTCATCGCAAGGTAAGCATCATCATGTTTATTAACCTGTTTTCCTCCCCCCACCCCCCACCGACTGATCCGGATCCGGATCCGGGCACTGTTGTTGTTTGGGGCTTGGTCGCAAAATAAAAACAACAACAACATGAGCTAAAAATTAATAAAAATGCGCCATTGTCAAAGGAATGCGCCAAAGCTCTTGTCTTGAAGAGTTTTTTTTTTAAATAATTTAATATCGAGAAACCCCTAAAATCACAGCCCTTTGTTGTATCTTTCAGATATTTTATTTATTTATTTATTTATTTCAATATTAGCTATAATACATAAATCGAATTTACAATATAATAACTAATTTAGAGGAAGAGTAACTAGCTACATGGCCATCGACCGACAATGATAACAGTTTGTTTACATTTGTATTTGAGATTTAACATTTAAAGAAATGGATATTAGATAATTAAAAGGGGAGTTTAAATTAGGTGTAATTTACAATTTCAGAAAGATAATAATAGTTTGGAGTTGGCAGCTGGAGGTCAGATAATAGATTTGATGGCGGGGGAGACCGAATAGGTGTGTTCTGCTGTTTTGGTAGTGACCACAGGTACCAGTAGATGTTTACTGATAGTTCTTCCCGCAATTAGGCAGTTTGGCCGAGTTTCCCATTAAGGATGGCTATGCGAGATTGTGGCCGGTTTTAATCGTGAGAATGGCGCATCCCTCCGTTAAGCGACGAGGGAACTGATGTCTTTCTTGTCAGGGTTAGATTGTTTAACCAGTGGTTAAACGACGACCAGTCTTCCAGTTCGATGTCCCGCAAAATGTTTTGATGTTTTCCAGATGTCCTGTGTACCCAGGTATGATTGTAAGGCACGGAGCCCGTCCGGCTAATTTGCAGCATTGTCGGCCATCTCGTCCCAGTTATTCCATATGGGCCGGGACCCAAACAGTTGAATTTGCTAATGTTTTTATGCAGAGGTGACGAATTTCGGATAAAAGGTTATTGTTATTGTAGAAGTTTGACCCTTGCAGGGTGGACAGACTATCACGCAGATGACATAACTTCCTTTAAGTTCGAGAGCAAATTTAATTGCCTTAACAATAGCTACTGCTTCCGCAGCGAAAACTGAGAAGTGGGAGGTAGTCGACCCCAAGAGACAATTAACCGTGTTGGTCAACCACTGCAAAGGTGGTGGTGGCATCGGACTTGAACCATCGGTGAAAGCCATTTCCTATCGGAGTATTTATGGGTAACTTCTTCGAATAGCTGCTAAACGTTGTGATAGGGGTCTTGATTTTGAAAATCATGAAGTGTAGGTCAATGGCGGTGGAGCGTATTTTCCACGGAGGGGATGGAAGACTTGTTCCAACGATAAGGCGATCCTATGTTGTGTCTCTTGGTAAAGGTTATACATCTTCGAATCGTAGATTGGACTTGAATTTCCTACGGTGCTTGAGGCAACTTTATAGTCCTTCAGCAGAATAGAGTTGGTTGAGCACATGAGTTTTGGTATTAATTTAAAGGTAGTTTGCGGACTCGGGTTATAATGTCCGGCAAACCTGCTTCGCCAGGATGCATTTAGTTGGGGTCGTTGAAATGCGCCAATACTACGCCTGACGGCCGCATGGTAAGGAGGTAAGATTTTCTTAAGTGCGATGGCGCGCACCAGCCGTAGATGGGGAGTCCATAATCAATAATGGACAACAACAGAGCTCTTGTCGCTTGATAGTGTGGTCCGGTGGATGAGAGATCGCTTAGATGTTAAGAATTTTATAATGTTAAGTCTCTTAATAAGTTTCTTCCTAAGTTCGCTACAGTGTTGTTTAAATGTGAGTCGTTTATCAAATGTCAGGCCAAGTATTTTAAGAAAAGAAACGCGTTCTATATCTATGTCATTGTGCGATAATGGTGGGTATGTACAGCGCTTTTTTTACAAATATGAAAAACTTTACATTTATTTACAGCAAGAGTCGCACCGGAGGTGTTACCCCAGATTTGGATTTCATTAAGGACTTCTTTAAACTTATTATTTAGTGCAGTAGTATTCTTACATTTGCTAAAAATTATGGCATCGTCTGCATAAATTGCCAGTTTAATTTGCTTATGTCTTAAAATTATGTTGTTTAAGGACTGGAAGGCGATCATGAACAATACCACAGAGAGGGGCGATCCTTGTGGGATCCCATTGTGGAGAGTGTAGAATTTAGATAGAGTGTTGTTAACTCTTACTCGGATAGAACGGTTGATCATGAAGGCCTTCGCTAAGTTGAAGGTCTTTTGACCTACCCCCCACCGTGAAAGTTGATCCAGTACTGTATGCACCCCTACGCGATCGAAAGCCCTTTCAAAATCAGTTGCCAATATGGTAACGTGATTTTTGTATCTTTCAGATATTCTCTCTGGCTTTTGTTTGTTTTCTATTGCCACCCTTTATTCGTGGCTGCCACACGCACGTGCTTTGGAGCGAACTATGTTGTGGTTCCACCACTGCGTATCGAGTGTATGGGAGTGCCTTTGAACTATTTCAGGGTCGTAGCGAAAATATAAATTATTTTATAGCGATTGTCGGATAGGTCTTGGGCTCTAAAAGGGCCGAATAATGGAGGTCTTGAAGCAGAAAGATAAAAAGAGATTTAAGAGACTTTAAAGTAATATTTATTTATTTATTTATCTAAAACTAACTAATAATTCTAAACTAAGAGCTTACCTAGGGCTACTAGTTAACTATAATATACTTCTTATATTTTAAATTAATTTCCAAAAACCAGTTGCAGGTCAATCAACTTTTATCAAATTTATTCACAAAATATTTCGCAATAAACTCATTAATATTAATATTAATTTTATTTGTTTTTTTTTGTCAATGTTTTTAGTTTTAAAATCAAAACAAGAAACAAGCAAAGTGAAAAGCTTGAAACGAAAAGTTTCCAAAGCAGCAACAGCTGCCAGCTATTGCATCAGCTGTTTTCTGTATCCATTAACCCAGCACCTACACAAAATATATATACTATGACCAGGTATATATCTGTATTTCCATATGATCATGTCCCACAGAATTATCATAGATGTATCATTGGAAAAACATTCTGTTTTTCAGTATTTTCTTGTTATTGTTAGTGAAACAAAGCATTCTTATCAAGAGGTTTTTTGTTTTTTTTCTTTTTCTAAATTACTCAAGTTGGTCTCGGCTGTGAAATCACATTATTAATTGCAAATGACAACAACAACTAATAGTACAATAACAAAGGCCATATAACAATGTCACCTATAGAAGACCAGACCCCCTACTTCTCTACGAGTTGAGTTCTTAATGGATTTCTCTCTTTTTCTGTTTATTTTTTAAAGATCCCATAGATACACTACTTGTTTTCAGTGTAATCTATCTTCAAGATACCTTATTTTGAAAATAAATTTTATAGCCATCATAGCTGTCTATACTTCCCGACTCTGTCCTTTTATGGCCATTTCGGAGCAACTGGTTTTAGGGTCTAATCACTTCTCCAAACCAAACACCAACCAGAACCCAAAGGACCAGCGTGTATCTTTTGCCTGCACGTGGCTCTTCCTAAAAATAGTCACCAACTTGAGATACACACCCGAGAAGTGCACGACCTGCAGAAAAGGAAGTCATCCTCCTCTAAGGAGGATCTAGTTCCTAAAATAAATGACAACCATCTGGGGTACATATAGTTCTCCCCTTTGTCTGCTTCTCTGAATGAAATGCATCAATCAGTATCTGGCGGATACGCCGGCATGTGCGAATCCAGACGACACGTGTTTCCACAGAACTTGACGTTTTTTTTTTATCGCCAGCCAATTGCATAAGTCGCGTCGCCAGAATCATGCAAATATTACGTTTTAAGCCAGCGCCATGTTTATTGCATTTAACAGCCCCTCCCCCCCTATCGAGTGAACATTGTTGCGCAATCCCTTCCCCCCCTAGCTGGTAGCTGGTATCTCATTCATATTCATATATTTTGTTTGTCCAAAGTTGGCTGCAGTTGCAGTTGCATTTCCATATGTATGTCTCACAAAAAAAAAATGCGTCTTGGAATTAGACACCTCTCTAATCTATGAGGAATCTATTAAGTTCAGGTTGTACAATATTTAAAGGTTTTATAATCAATCATGTTTAGTTTTATGGGCTTGCTGGGCAGGCCCCTGTTTGGAAGATTACAGAAGGGATTCAAGTGATTAGTGGGTGAAAGTCGCTCTCTTCTAAAAAAGCTATGAATTTTATAGTTTTTAAATTAAAATATATTTATTGTTAATCAATGTTGTTTTTAATTAATTTATAATCAAGTGGATAATCCCGTTTATGAAACAAATAGCAGAATTGTTGATAAAAATACTACTCTTTTGGAAAAGCTCCTTTCTACACGATTCTCATACATTTTAGCCAAGCATCCTAAGCATAATAGTGACTATTGATTGATCAAGTGATTAGGGTATGATAGTCTCTCTTTCTCTTAAAAAAGCTTTATTTTTATAGTTTCTATAATATAAAATATATATTTACAATAAAATATGTTTATAATCAATGGAACATGAACCAGTTTATTAAACAAAATACAGTTAGACATCCAAGACATGGATTTGACCTGTTTAATAATGAAAATACTACTATTTCTTGAAATAGCGCCCTTCTACACGGTTCTCATACATTGCAGTTAAGGCTCCTAGCATAATCTATAGAATTGACCCATTTATTTAACAAATAATAGTGACTATTCAAGTGATTAGTACAAGAAAGTCGTTCTCTCTCTTAAAATGGCTTTAATTAAATTTATTTTAAATCAGAGGTCGGCACGGCCCTATCTCGGGGGCATAGAAAATTTCTCTGCCCGAGCTCTGCCACACACACACAGTATAAATGTGTGAAACGTCATGCTCACAGCCTACTTTCTGCTATTCGTTACTAACACTAATGCGGTAAGATCATATCAATGTATTGGGGTGCCGACCACTGTTTTAAATCAATAAACACCTTTATTAAACAGATATATAGGTTTTTTTTAATAAAAACGACTATTTTTATAAAACAGCACCCTTCTACACGATTCTCAAACATTGCAGCTAAGGCTACTAACCATAATCTGTAGATTATGATAATCAACGCGTTTATCAAATAAATAGTATGATTTTTAATAAAAACACTAATATTGATTGAAAAATCACACTTCTCTGAGATTATCATGCGATGCAGTTAAACATCCTAAGCATAATCAATATACTTAACATGTTTATTAAATAAATAGTCGATTTTTTAATAAAAATAACAATATTTCTTAAAAAAGAAATACGAATACGCCCTTCTCTACGATTCTCTAACATTGCAGCTAAGCACTACAGCTTCCTAATCACAAACAATAGACCCTGTTTTAATCAATTAATATTGATTAATCAACTGATTAGTATGTGAAAGTCTCTCTCTCTTTTAAACAAACTTTGATTTAATTAATTTTATTTAAAGTTAGAGACACGGAAGTCTTGTGTTGAGAAACCAAAACACAAACTCACTCTATAAAAAAAAAACAAAAACACCTTTCCAATCCCAAAGCTGTCGTCGACACGTGCAGACCAAAACAAATCCAAAAAATTAAAGCATAAATTATTCAGAGCCAGATCTTCCAGCAGCTTATCATACAAACTAGTTCTGGCTGGAGGAGAGCTCCAGTTCTGGCCAAATTAGCCGGCTGACTGGTGGCCCGATCGGGCGTGAATTATGAGCCATTGAAGTATTAAAGTTTTGCGTCGCAAAAACTGTGAGAATTTCCGCATTTTGTTGGCAAAGCTAATGCTGCTGGTCACCCGAGAGATACATTTCACCCGCCAAACCAGTTTGTATCCATCAGATACTTGGCCGGGCCTATGCCTATGACTATGACGATGAGGTGCACACTCGCTTTTGTCTTTCTCTCGCATTTTCTGCGCAATTATCATCATTTTTGGGGGCTATTTTTGGTTTTAGTTGCGAAGGGGGGGCCATTGCACCTCCTCCTCCATAAGACCCCCAAAAACCAGTCATTTGTTGGGGGCTTATCACACCTCTGGGGGGTTCGTTGAACCTCTTGGTTTTGGGTGCGGGTTTCTCTAGCTGCACCTTGAAGCACCTCGGCCGAAGTTGAAGAGATCGAGGCCAGCAGCAGCTGGTGGTGGTGGCAGCTTGGTGGGGCAACTTTCCCGCTCGCTGCTGACACAGATTCAGAGCTCCATCGAGGTGATTGGGTCAAGAACTGCCCGGCCGCCCGGCTTCCGCTGAGTAATCTAATCTCTCCCGGGGAGGTTCTACTATCTTGGCGATGGGAAGGTAAACAAAATACAAGTCAGTGACGTAAAGCATTATATTTAAGACTAATATAGGCTAGATAAAGGCTGGATTATCGATGACCTTCTGTAATCTAGCCCGAGCTAGAGGTAAACACTCACCCGGAGCTCGACAAACAAAAGTGCATCTGCATCTGGCCTGTTATCGGTCAGAAGCTGCATTCATGGTTCCCCAGCGAATGCACTTTGAAAGATTATGGAAGGAGGAGCATATCGATTTCCATTACCATTCAGTCGGCACATGAATCGGTGATGAGGTGATTCGATATTCCGCAGAGAAACCCATAGAGAAACTTATAGGAACTAGCCCTGATAGTGGAGTATACCTGCATCTTGTTTTTTGCGCTTCACCCTAAAGCCAGACACAGACAAAGAGTCATTGTCACCTGGTAAGTAAAAAAGCAAATATGGTGACCGCATCCCCTTATCAGTGGGGCGGCGATCCAGCCGGTTAACTGGGCCTGCAGTTCCCGGCCAAGTTCGTCACTCGAACGCCCAAGTAAACAATCTTATTCACCGCAACCCGTCGGTTCGTCGGTTGAGTGCGTTTTTGCGTATCTAATAATAACAGCCTAACCGAGCGAGACCCTCCAACACGACCCTCGGTTCTGGGATTTGCATTTTTCCGACGCCGCCACCGCTGCCAGTTTCCTCGTTCAGTGCGTGCTAATTAAAGCATTTTGCTCGAGGAGTGTGTAAACATTTGGAGATGCCATTAATGGCTGCAGCTGCTGGGTGTGTGGAGATCGAGGCCTTTGGATGGAGCACAAGTTCTTGAGGTGGATTATTACGATTTTTAAATCAATAAACACTATTGAAGGCTTTTTTTGATCTGGCTAGTTAAACAGATGTGGATTCTAGATACTTAAATTTAATAGGAATTCTAAAAATCTATATTTTATTTGGTTCTCTAGCTTATTGTTTTGTAGAAAGGATTAACCCTTTAACACGTTTTTTGTAGAAATAATATTTTTTTTTAAATCAAAATACAAATATTAGTCATTAAGCGTCCTTCTTTGTGATTCTTATTCCATTAAATAAACAATAAAACGTTATTTTAGTAAAAAAAAACTTATATTTTTTGAAAAAAGCGCTCTTCTCCGCGATTCTCACACTTTTCAGCTAAGCATACTAACCATAGATAACGAGTTTAAGAACTGAATGTAGATTTTTTAATAAAGATACAAATATTTCTTTAAAGAAGCGCCTTTCTCTGCGATTCTCTGACTTTACAGCTAAACAACTTAAGAATAACCAATATACTTAACCAAAATAATAAACGAAATATAGATTTTTAATAAAATTACAAATATTACTTTAAAAAAAAAGCCCTTTTTCTCGTTTCTTATTTAGCAAAATAAAGATTTTTTAACAAAAACACAAATGTTTGTGAAAAATCTTAATTTTCTAAGATATTTTACAGTAGAGATAGGCCTACTAAGCATAAGCAATGAACTTTTCCCGATTATTAAACCAATAGTCAATTTTTTTAATAAAAATATTAATATTTCTTGAAAAAGGCACCCTTTTCTGCGATTCTCATACATCACAGCTAAGCATCCTCCAACTTCCTCCAAGTATTTTAAAAATTCATCTTAAAACCCATACCATATATGATATAAAAAGCTTATCCTTTATAACTCTCACCTTGTTATTGAATTCAAAATAAAGTCAACGTGTCAATGAAACCCTCATACGATTTTATCGCCTCCCCGACTTTGGCTTATAATATGATAAGTAGGAGTAGCCGTTCAATGACTTTGAAAGTGCCTAGCCCCCTGCTTAAATATTAATGAAAATGCCTCCGCTTCCTACATTACAGAAACATATGCCGGTGGCCATCAAGTGCATCACCAAGAAGGGACAACTGAAGACCCAGAACCTGCTGGGCAAGGAGATCAAGATCCTGAAGGAGCTCACCGAGCTGCACCATGAGAATGTGGTGGCTCTGCTGGACTGCAAGGAGTCCCAGGATTGCGTCAGCCTGGTTATGGAGGTAAGTAGTAGCTCTGGAAAGTGAGAAGTTCGTAAATATTAAATGGTTTTATGGCTAAAACGTGGATGAGTCAGGGCGGGTGATATATATAGAGGGAGTGGGTATCGAGAAGCAGAATGCACGTCGGCCAGTGGCACGTCATTCCACTCGGAGACCTCCTCCAACCCCACCACCCCAGACCCAGACCTCCTCCTCGCTTTTTCAACCAAAATGCTACGCCATTAATTGCGGAAGTTGCGAAATGAATTCGTAAACAAAAATAAAGTGAGAATAGAATGGCAGAAGCCCAGCCAGAAGCTAAATGGTGCGACTATTTGGATACCTAGTACAAATACTAGTACTAGAAATGATACTACTATATATTTAAGCCATATACTACCCTCTCTCAAATACGCATTTAATTAATTTTCACCCCAAAGTACTATACTGAGCACTGACCTCGGGTTTGTTCAACCCAAACTGGGTTACAGGTGTCTGTATGGTGTTAGCACCCAGTGTTTATGTTTATATACGATCCATTATCTTGAAATTAGGTCAAATTCTTCTCCGGCACGGGAATTAGCTTCCATTTTGGCGAGCTTTGGGTCTGATAAGATTTGATAGGGTTGTTTTTCTTCAAGATACCTTATAAGGTAGGGGCTTATTAAGCGTTATACTAAAGATATATTAGTGAGAACTCTTTTTCTTTATATTTCTTTAAGATTATATTTCTTAGCAAGTATGAATGAATGAATAATCAAAATACCAACTCTGTTAAGTAGAATCGAGTGCTCTAATCGAACTAATCTAAAGCTCATTGTTTTGTTTTCGATTCGCCATTGGCATGTCATCGTTTTGGGAGCAATATCAAATATATTCTAGGGGTAGGAGGCCTACACCGATAGGAGGAGCTGTGGCCTGACTTTGGCCCCATTTCCCCCAAACAGCTTTTGTTTGTTTGTCAATCGTTAGACGGCTTGGAGTCCCCTCGAGTCCCCGAATATAATCAGTAGTGGGGATGATACCCGTATCTATTGATTTCGCAGCCACGTGTTGTCCCCGGCCAGTTTCCCACTACTTTTCTGATTAATTTAGTTCCCGGGATTTGTTTATTTACGTTTCTGATATTTTACGATGTGTTTATTTGCTTCTTAATTTGTTTTCGGAAGATAAACGTGTGAGAAAGGGTTGTGGTTATCAGGTGTCAGCTTCTGTGGATAATAAACAGTGATTATCATAAATACTCCAATGATTTATTTTATAATTAAACCATTTATTAAAGAATTAAATACATATCCTCTTTGTACTATTTACAATTATGGTTTATTTTTATTGTATTTTGGCAAAAGTCTAAGGCTAAAGACAGCTCTCTAAAAACTAAAATATCTCTAGAACAGAGCCAGGAGTGTGTGGTTGTGTTTTGTGTTGGTCGGGTTCCCCGTGCTCCCCTAAATAATAGCAGATAGAACGCTAAGCGACTAGGCTTACAACTTACAACTAGAGTCTAACAAGTTGGGTGTTTGGGAATCGATGTGCTGTGGTAGCTGTTGTGCTGGCGAACAATGGAGTCAACTAATTAACCATATACATACACTAGATATACGTGTACCTAACTAAAATCTAACACGAAATGCCATCAAAATGGAATTCTTCTCAAAACGTCGGATAGGAAGGTGTTTCTGGTTTTGGTCTTCTAGGCTAGCTTATTCAATGGTATCTCCTCGGTGGGATGCACCTGGTCCTTTGGCTCTGGTTTGCTAGTGCGGCAGCATTTCGTCTTGATCCCACCAATGTCCTTGCGGCAGATGAGGCCGATTATAATCCCAATCACTGCAATGACCATGATGCCTGGAACACAAGACTCATTATTTCAGTTCTGGAAATAGAAGTTTTTGTAAAACTCACAGATGAGCAGGGTGTTGATGGCCTCCTGGGATATGGCCACCTGGTTGCTCTTCTCGGTGGGCCCCTCCGCACTGACCCCGCTGCTCTCAGTCACTGAACTCATGATTCCGGCCTTGGCCAGTTCCGTGCTGTTGGCCATTTTGCTGTTTCCCCGGCTCCGATCGGCTTTAATTAAAAATAAAATTTAGTCACACCATTGTCTAGAATGCTTTGGAACTCACCACTTCGCGGTGGAGCTGTAGTTGGCTGCGATGTGGTAGTTGGAAGACCCGTAACCCGCTTGAACGGCGGGTCGGTGGCCTGGATCAGACTCTCGTTGAAGGAGGTGCCCAGCACGAGCTCGAAGCAGCTGACGTCAAAGTGGCGGAAGCTGATGTTGTCGATGGACTTGAGCAGGTTGCACAGCTCCTCGATGTTGGGCTGGTCCAGCTCCGGCAACTTAAGTTTAATTATATTTTTAAGCGGCGTGAAAGCTCTCGTATTGATTTGCTGTCACAAGAAAAAGAAACCGTGAGCGGAAGCGGGACAACTATATGGTCGTGGGAGCACAGCTGTTTTGGGGGCTGCGCCAACTATCGTTGCACCGATAGATCGATAGCTCAGTGCGATAACTTGGCGCTAAAAACTCACCTGTTTGAAATCGTTCTTGTCCAGTCGGAGTACCTGCAGGGCACTCATGTTCTCAAACGTTTGTTCCGGCAGCTCGGTCCAGCTGCAATTCGAGCAGCTGAACTCTATCAGACCTGGCTGGTTCAGAAAGGCTCCATCCAGTCGCTGGGCAATGGAGTTGTTACTCAGATCGAGAGTTGATAGCTCCCTGGCTGGCGCAAAGGTGTCGGGATCTATCTTGGTCAGCCGGTTGTTGGCTAAACGGAGTCGCTGCAAACGCTCCAAGCCTTGGAAGACCTACAGAACATGAAACATTATTCATCTGGTATTATTTTAAAAATAAATAAATTACCTCATTGTCTATGCGACTGATTAGATTGTGGTTCAGATTGATTTCCTGGACCCTCGACAGGTTGGCGAAATCCTCGGGCCTCAGTTCGGAAATCACATTGTGGCTTAAATCTATGATAGCCGCCGTTTTGGGCATGTCCAAGGGAACATGGGTCAGATGGGCGTTGGTGCACTGGACGTACTTGAAGTCCTCCAAGCAATGGCAGTTGCGCGGGCAACTGGGCTCCAGGACATGGTTGCTGCGTCGTGGTATATCTACAAAAAATTACAGAATTATATGAAAGCCGGTCAGTTATGAAAATGATTAAGAAAAACCTACTAAAAATTGGTCGAAATGTTGTGGTGGTCGATGTTGAAGATGATTGTGGCATCAGTCTATTCTCTGCTGTCTCAGGACCTTGCTTATCGGTGGCTTCGTCACTGTAGTTGTCTTCATAGTCATTGTAGTCGTCCTCGAAGGTGGGGGACAGCTGGGTCTGTTCACTGCTCGCGGGAGCTCCATTTGTGTGACTAATACTGGTTTTTAAGAAATTCAAAGAATTAATTATTTTATTTTCAATCCAAAAGCAATTATCTAACCGATTTGTAAACTTGATTTTCCCAAAAAAAAATAAATAAAATGTCTATTCTGGCCATTAGATTGACAGTTCTAGGCAGAACTGGCTTACATCATGCACGTCTTGAAGGCAAACGAACACACCTCGCTAATTTGTCCTGAAAACGCACTTGACCCATTTTGGCAAAGCCACGCCATGTTCTCCGGCAGTGGCGGTGTCTCCGGTTTCCCCACTATATCATTATAGGCTTTTGTTTATGTTTGTGGCCCGCAGTGAGCATGAATGAATATATATATATACATATATGTATGTATTTCTACCTGAATGAGCCAAAAATACAAAGGTATTTTATCAAACAACTTTAGACAGAAAATTAGCTTCCAAAATTTAAAATATTGATAAGAAGACTTTAATTTTTTTTAAAGAAAATACGTATATTTCTGGCCTTATATATCTGACCTGCACTGTAGTTGAGCTTCAGTGGCAGAGAGCCCCCACAAAACCCGTTTACGTCATGTCTGAGAGACATCTTGACCGGTTTTTTAACGATTTGGTTTACTCTCACTTTCGAGGTTTATATATTTTTTTTATTTTTTGTGGGATTTAAGGCTTCTGATTCTAAATCCTTCGTTATCCTGCTCTTACTAGACTTCCCTTCAAGTGGCTAGTAGCTCAAGTATGTCTTAAAAATGCCATTTAGAATTCTTTTCAATTGCGTGACTCTCGAGTGAAGTTTCAACGATTGTTGACAATAATCGTCATGAGGCCATTTAAAGTCTATTATTAAATAATAGTGCTTTGTCTTGAAGCTCTCTATAAAGCTTATCAATATAAGAAATGCATTCTTCTCGCCTTTAATAAAGACATGAATAGTTACCGAATAGCTAATAAGCTTGACCGACTTTAGTTTTAAAGATTATTGCGAAAAATCGTATAAACTTAAGCCGAGCATGACGACCTAGACAACGTAATGGCCTTTCTAAATACTTGAAGTAAAATGTTTAAAAATGAAAGCCTACTCTCTCAAGTACTTGACTTTGACATCCGATCTGTAGAAGATAAAAAACAGCTACCAGCTAATCCCAAAACTAAATCAGAGTCATAAATTGGCTTCTGCCTAGTGGTTCGATATTTCCTGGCCTTAAAATTAAAAATAAAAAACGCTGACCAAACAAAAGCGATAAGAAGAAACGGCATAAATTATCGAACGCGCAACGGTATATTCATATTATTTTTATCAGATTATGCGATATGATTATCTGGAGTGTAAATTCACAAACCTATACACACATAATAAGGAGCAATTAGACCTGTTGCCGAGGCTATCAATAAAGTTGCTATTTCTTTTTTTGTTTTATTATACCGGAATGAGTATTCCCATTGGCAATGATATCTCCAACGGTGAACGGGTCAAAGTCCCGTTATTCTGCACCTTGCCAGGTACGAGAATTATTCACTTTACGAATGTTGCTCAATAAAAACTTTGTACTTTGCCGTCTTTTCTTATTCGGTTTTGGTGGGCAAGTGCTTCGATTTTTCTAAAAACAACTTAACGACATACCCCCCCAACTGAAGAACATCCTACTAATATAAATTTTAAATTATTTAACAACCATTTTTTTACCTTACGCTGAGTAAAAATATTAAAAGTAATCCAAACTTGTAATACACGTGCATGGTGATTTGTTTATTTGCGGGCTTCGGTGTTGGATTATGGATTATTATTTGTTATTTATTCACTGGGTTTGGTTTTGTGTTTATTTATTGAATTTCATTTCATTTTTCTGCTGAAATTCTTGATCTGAAAATAGATTATTTTTTTTTATTAATATTTTGCTTCTTTTTCACTAAACACTTGTTGTTTTATATTCTATAGCTTTTTATATTCTGTAGTTTTTTCCAAAAGATTTATTTTTATTTCCCCCGCTGGCACTGACTTTTCCACTCGCTTGTCGGCTCTCCAATGAGCGAAAATATTTCGCCAACCACTAACAGGTGTCGGGAGAGCGTATAAGCTCTCCAGGTGAGCTCCTCGCGACTGCGTGCTCTCTTCAAAACGGGCTTTTATCGCTGGGACTCTCGTTTAATCTTTTAATGTTTAGTTCATGTTTAGCCACTGCTGCTAATCTTATCAGTTTTCTTTAGTAATTGCTGCTTCTCTCTTTCTCTGATTATTGTTCTCTGTTTTAGTTTAAAGTGTTAATTATTCAATTAATTTAATTTCTTTAACAAAAACTCAGACAACAAAGCTATTTCTTTAATTACTTCGAATAATTATTTCGAATGCCAATCAATTGAACTTTGTCTGGGGGGGGGAGGAGAGGGATTGACTTGATTTACATAATTTAGTTGGAACACACAAGGTGACTAAGCCGGATTCTCAGATTAAACGATTTGTTCGAGTGACTAAATATTTATTAAAATATTTTTGAATGAAAAGCACCGCTTTTGTTCACTTTGTACTAAGTTAAACACTTGTTTTAATTCAGTTTCGTATGCCTCGGGGTAGATTGCTGGGCTACGATGTATATGTACAGCTGCATGCTTTATTTTTTATCGCCTAGAAATGATTGACCTTTAGTCCATGAGTGATTCGCGTTCGGTACGTAATGCCCGCAATAATAACTTTTTCGTTGCACAGATTTTCGACTTTTAATTCTGTTTTATTTCTTCAAGGCAAACAAATAGACAATTATGCTTTTTTTTTGGGGCTTGTTATTATTTTATCTTTTTGGCTTTTTGATATTTTTGGAGCAGCGGGATGGCGTGTGCGGTTAGCCCGAGCGGCGGAAAGACAATGAGCTCCAGAGCGCTATCGCAGAACCGATGACGACAGGGTTGCCGATCAAGAGAGCGTTATGGCTATATGTTCTCTTGATTTTTTTTTTCACTTTTTAAAAACTCTCCCTTTTTTTTTAGGAATATAGAAAATCCCAAATGTTTTTTTTTTATTATCCAAGTGCCAAGTTGAAAATAAAGCTCATGACACATGCGTTTCTTCATAAAAAAAATTAAAACTTGTAACCCGGAAAAGAATATAAAAAACCCTCCAAGTGTGGCTTTTTCCGATTCCCCATTTCTTTCCACATTTTCGACTTTTACTTTTATGTTTTTTGTAATGGACTGATGTTACTTTACATGTCAATGACTTGTTTCTGTGGCTCTCTAGGGTTCTCCACCCTCTCCACCATCCACCGCAAATGGCGAGTGAAATCTTTTGTCATTTCAATTTGGCCATTTAATTGTCTAATGTGGTATTGCTGCTTTGTTTGCTCATTAAACTCTAAGTGGTCCATATAGTTTCTCATGTTTTCGGTTCTCAGATGAGAAACCAGCGAAAAAACAGTCCATACTAGTTGCTAGTCATGTCCACGATAGGCAACCTCAAGGTTAGGTCCTTTTTGGCAGCTGGTTCTGGCCAAAATAATAAAGTTTACTTCTAAACTGCATTGTTGGCTTTATTTCTATTATATTTCTGATTTTCCAACTCTATTGAAATTGTATTCCTGCCTCCTGTACTCCTTTCCATACCATTGTCCAAAAAAACCGGAACTGAACGACAAAAGCCTTAAAAGCAGCTGCCTGTCCCAGAAGCATAATTTCCTAATTCCAGTTCTTGATTCAGAAAATTGCCATAAATCAGATTCGCTTTGACCTTGTCTTGCTAGAGTATATGTATATATACTTATGTACTACATACCCTCTATATATATATAATTGCTTGGCGGCCAGACAAAAGAAAGACCCTCGAGTCTGCTCGAGTCTGGAAGACCGACCCCCATTTTCGCACTGATTGAACTTAATTCATTTGCCTAGTACGCTTTTTGCTGGAATTGCTTTGGGATCTTGAGTGCTGCTGATTGAAGTCATTACTAATTTTCTTATTACCATATCTTTCTATTTTCAGTTCTGCAATGGAGGGGACTTGGCTGATTATCTGAGTGTGAAGGGGACGCTTAGCGAGGATACTGTCCGACTTTTCCTCGTTCAACTAGGTAAGATTATATTTTAAGAATTTAAATTAGTCCTCTACTAAAATATCTATTAATTTTTTTAGCTGGTGCTATGAAAGCACTTTATACCAAAGGAATTGTGCATCGTGATCTCAAGCCACAAAATATTTTGCTATCGCACAATTATGGCAAAACCTTGCCAGCTCCATCTAAGATAACTCTGAAAATTGGTGAGTTAATTATCCTAAAGATTTATTATTAAAATAAAGTTAAATTAAAGAAATAAATAGTTGTCAGTAAAAGAAAAATGCTTTCTAATAAATGTAGAAATACTAATTAGCAATTAATATTCTGTTAAGGGGTTATATGCAAAGCAGTATTTTTGAAATATTTTTACGAAGAGAACTTAAACTTTTTTGGGACAATTATTATTTACTTAAGTAGATTCTATTTTAAAGACGATAAAAACATGTCCATCATGTAGCAATATATTCAGATTTCAATTCTGTGGACGTTGCAAGAAGCATCTTCGAAAAAATTGACCTTTTGTGGTGATCTAGGTTTTGTCGGTAAAAAATAGTAATCAATTTTTTAAAATACATTCCTTCGATCATTCGCTAGGGAATATAACCAATAAAATTGGGTAAATATTTCAGACAGATAAGTTTATCCATTTTCAAGAAATCGAGATCACCGACTTTAAAAACGATGTTTTAAAAAACACGAGTTCAAATCCCCTCTATATTTTAGTTTTCAATTTAATGTCTATATAAATCTTAACTATTAATTTCTTAATTTTTATAGCCGATTTCGGGTTTGCGCGATTTCTTAACGACGGTGCCATGGCCGCCACTCTTTGCGGTTCACCCATGTATATGGTAAGTGGATGGAAACCCCACAGAATATTATGATTCTTATATTGGTTTACTCGGATCTAGGCACCCGAGGTCATTATGTCGCTGCAGTACGACTCCAAGGCAGATCTCTGGTCGCTGGGCACGATCGTCTACCAGTGCCTGACTGGCAAGGCGCCATTCTACGCACAAACGCCCAATGAGTTGAAGTTCTATTACGAGCAGAACGCCAATCTGGCGCCCAAGTATGACTCTCACATCACCCAAGATCCTCTAAGACAGTACTAACCATTATACCTTTTTATAGAATTCCGAATGGAGTTTCGCCAGACTTGAGGGATCTGCTACTGTGCTTGTTGCGGCGCAACGCCAAAGATCGCATCTCGCATGAGGCCTTCTTTGTGCATCGCTTCCTCCAGGGCAAGAAGGCGGCCACTTCACCAGGTGAGCCAAGCCCCAGTCCTAGCCATGCGGCCAATTTGCGGCGGCGCGTTTCTAAGCCTGGTGTTCTTGCAGTTGACATGCCACCATTGGGCGGAACACCTCCCATCAAGGCCAAGAGCCCGCTGCAGCAGCAGATGGAGCAGGAACTGCAGCTGGTTAAGATGGCCGAGCAGCAGCAGAAGGAGCGCGAGGAGCAGGAGGCGGCCCTAGAGGAGGAGAACACGGGTAAGAATAATCCTAATCGGGTAGGAGTCAATGGTAATCATATTATGATTCTTTAGTCTCCGTGGTGGCCAACCCGGCCATCTGTGCCACCATCACCAATGTGGGTGTCCTGTGCGACAGCGAGAACAACAGTGGCTCTTGCAGCTCCCACGAAGACTCTGATGACTTTGTGCTGGTGCCCAAGAACCTGCCAGAGGACCAGCGCCAAGCCCAGACCCAGCCCCAGGCAGCTGCTCAAGCCCCGCACGCTTCCGGCGGCCAGCGGCTCCAACAGCAGAATCAATCCAGTCCGCCACGCCCCAGTAGTCTGCCCATCTCGGAGCCCAAGCCAGTGCCGGCACCGGCTCGTCGCCATGTGACCAGCAATGCCGCTGGTTCTCCAGCCAGATCTGGCCCCTTGACAGTGGCCACTCTTGCGGCTGCCGGGCAGCAGATACCCCGATCCCAGCCCATTAGCGTAAAGCAGCCGCGGCCGGATCAGCGCAAGAGCAGCGTAAGCAGCGACATTAATTCCATCTCACCGCCGGCGGTGCAATTTGCCATTGGAACGCCACCGACCCGGATGCGATCCGCCTCCGGGGGCTCGCTGTCGGAGACTCCACCGCACGCCCCCAGCACCTGGCAGGTGTCGCCGGGCCACTCCCAGTCGCCACTGCGTCGTAGCGGCAACAGTTCCCCGGTTCTGCCGTCCGCTGCCCTCACCAAGTTGCCCACCTTGGGCAGCCCAACCATGCTAGTGGCGCCCGGATCCCTGGGATCCATTGGTTCAGCAGGCAGCGGATCGGAGAACAATAACCAGCATCATATGCTGGGACCGCGGGCCTTTACGCTGCCCGAACTGGGCGCCACGGGTGGCCTGCACAGCTTGTTGGACACGGGAGCTGGCGGCGGCGGTGAGCCACATGCATTCCAGGCTCCGGAGCTATCGGAGGAGACGCTCATGGATCGCGAGCACAACGAGACACTGTCCAAGCTCAACTTTGTGCTGGCTCTCACCGACTGCATCCAGGAGGTGGCCGATTCGCGGTGCGCTCCGCTCTCCACATTGATGGTGGCCGGCAGCCAGTCAGCGGCAGGTGGGGCGACGGCAGATGCCCAGCAGATTCCACCCCATGCTCCGGAGCACTGCAAGCGGGCCGAGCGCCTGGTGCTGCTGGTTCGGGGACTCCAGCTTCTGTCTTCCGGCTTGAATCTGGCCTCCCAGCAGCTGCGAAATGGCCACCTCAAGCCATCGTCCAATGTGAAGAATGGTGAGACAGCGTTAGGGTTTATACTACCTTGCAGATTCTTATAATTGGAAATCTTTCTCCCTAGCTCTGCTCACCATGAACACCAAATACCGGAGCATGCTCTTCGAATCCAAGCGCCTAAATGGCAGTGGCCTGTTGCAGAAGGCGAATGCATTTAATATAACGGCGGACAAGATTCTCTACGACTATGCTTTAGATATGGTAATTAAAGGGTTATCTTATTCTTAGGGTTTTGAATATTAATGTTTAACTTTGTGGTTTCAGTGCCAAGCGGCTGCTTTGGACGAGCTTTTGAAGAACACCAAGAATTGCTTCGAGCGCTACAACACCGCACACATTCTGCTGCATTCTTTGGTGCAAAAATGTAATCATCCCCAGGACAAAATGCTGTTGAATAAGTGTATGTATTATAATCTAACAATTGACAAAAGACTAATGAGTATTTGTTCTTTTAGATCGCGATGCTGTGGAGAAACGTTTGAGCATATTGCAACAGCATGGATACATCTATATGACGGATGAGAATGCCTAAAGTATTGACAGGCTACGGGACGAGCTTTATTCCAGCGGCAATCTTCACAAACAGCAGAACATTTCCTTAAGTTATTACCGTTTTCGTTGGGAGTGCAAACATGTGATTGAAACAAAAACTACACTATCCATACATAGACATACCGATAAATAATTTAAACCACACCCACATCTTCATTATTTCGCGCCTCCCCAGCCCCAAACCCCAAACACAGTCCCAAAATTGTCCAATGTAAATAGTTTGAGGTATACAATTGTATGTAGTTTTTGGTTTTTCTATATAATTTTCTGCCCCTCGCGGCAACCATAATTGTTAAAGCTTATATATCGAGTGCAGATGCAACATGAATAAGGGCATATAAGGAGTCCATGTAGATCTAAGATAACCATAATATATATATATATGTTTACATATATATGTGCAAGAACACGAAAGCTAACCAAGCAACCATATGGATTAGAGTAACATATAAAGGGCAATATGCAAGCCAAACTCAGTTTAAAGCTAATGTTTAATGGAACAATGTCAGACCCCAGAAAACCTATACATATATCATGTGCTAGAAATTCCCCGTAGCTGTAATATCTATTTTCTTATTTAACAATCTAATATTCCCCCTATTATTATTATATTCTATGCGTACATACATAAAATATTTATGGCTGCACTACACAAACATGTTTACAATGTGCTATGTTCATAGTTTTTAGTTAGGTCTTTTTCTAAAAAAACAAAACAAAAAACAAAAATGAGAACTTTCAAAATGGTATTTCATTTAAATGACAACAAATTTATATATTTTAATGAAACTTTTTAAGTTTTTCTACAACAAGAGCCCACAAAAATTTCGACAAGAACTCTATATATATGTATATGGTATACAAAAAAAGAGAGAAACACATACAACAGTGTATAAAAGGAGAAACAAAATACAGATTTAAACTAATAAAAGAAAAACTACTAAGAAAAATCATAAAATAAAAGGCTAAAATAATATCTGTGGTTTGGGAGAAACTGTTTACTTCAACCAGGCGTAGACTTGTGTAAAAATGTAAAATTATTTTCAACGTTCGATTTGGACACTAAGGGACCTATTGGGCGCTAGAGTCCTTGCTATAAGATGGCTCTAATTCCAACTTTCGTTTACTCCGTCGCTGCCTCACCCTGCCATCCACCTCGCCCAGCGAATGCATGATAGTCTGAGACCCTAAAGGATATCCGGATGGGGTTGACTGTGACGGCTGCGACGGAAACTTTGGGCTGGCATTTAGGTCCGTTCCGCCAGGATTCCGTGGATCGTTGCCTCTGCCGTTCTTGTTGCCGGCTTTGGCTTTCTTGGGAGAGGAGTCCTTGGGGTCTTTGGATTTTTTGGAGGGTGTGGTAACATCGGGATATGGCGGTGGCAGCTTGGGGATGCAACAACTGCCACAACAACCGGCATAACAGCAACTATAGTTCGGGCAACAATTGTAACAATTCGAAGGATAGTAGTAGTAGCATCCTGTGCAGGGATTGTAGCACCAAACGCAGGTGCATGGATTCCAGCAACTGGGGCAGCCGCCGCACCCACCACAGCCACCGCATCCCCCACAGCCACCGCATACCGCGCCACTATCATTTCCTCCGCCGCTATCAGGAACGCCGCACACACTGGCACATCCGTCGGTGGAAGGAGCTGGGACCGCTGCACCGGAGGCTCCGCCACCACAGCACGAGGAACATGCATCTTTGCACACCGGCGTATTGGTTTCCTGATCCTGAGATCTGAGAAGGAATATGAAAAGGGTTTGCTCATAAATATTTGGAATCTTAACTAACTCATCCATCAGATTGGCATAGCAGCTGCAACTGCGCATCTCCGGTTTGGGTTTCGATGAAGATTCATCACAGCCACAGGAGCAGTCATTCTGGCTTTCGGCTTTCTTGGCCGATTCCGAGTGCTGGTCCATTTCCAGAGCCTTTGGCGATCTATCTCGAGAACCAGTTGAGCCAAAGTCTTCCATGTTGTCGCTCGATTCTTGGACCTTGTTTTTCTTTTTGGACGATTTGGATTTTCCAGCTCCTTTGGAGGTACCACCTTTTGGGGTACCACCTTTTGGGCTACCACTTTTAGGAGAAGTACCTTTTGGGGTAGCTCCTTTGGGGGTAGTACCTTTAGGAGTAGCTCCTTTGGGGGTAGTGCCTTTGGGGGTAGTGCCTTTGGGGGTAGCTCTCTTAGGGGAAGCTCCTCTGGAGATAGCTCCTTGAGGGTCAGCTTCTTGGGGTTCAGCTCCTTGAGGGTCCACTCTTTGGGGGGCAGCTCCTTTGGGCGCAGATCCTTTAGCTGCAGGCGCCTTCTTTTTTTTGCCACCTCCTCTAGTCATGTTTTTGCGCATCAAACAGCAACAATACGTCTGCTGGTCCGGGGCCTGGTCCCATCTGCAGGTTCTATAATACATAAGGAAAACATTTCAGCACCGATGCTGGTGTGCGATGGCTATTTCATTTTGCAAACAAAAATGTGTGTGGAATAGTGTACTGTGTGTGTGTATTTCAGTGGTGTCCCTGCCTGTGTTGTAGGGTGTGATTTAAAATAAATATGACATGAAACCCACCGGTTAGGTGTCTCCGAGCAGAATTCCAATAGATTGTTGAAGCACTCTTGACACCCTTCCGAAGAATCATTCCTAGACATTCCTTCATTGGAATCCATTTCTTCTGGTGGATTGGCCTCATGGTTGAAATTGCCCCTCCTGGTTTCAGTTGCTCTACCTCTGATGGTATTTTGTTGCCTCGAGGACTTTTGAAGCACATTACCTTGAGGAGGATTGGTCGAAGGACACCCCCGAGGATCACTCCTATTTCTTGTGGACTTTTCTTTGTTTTTTCCCGAATTTTCTTGGCTTGCTGAAGGACGACGTCTTGATAGTTGTTTGGGTCTCGCCTGTCTTTGGGTTGATTCCCCTGCAGGTGGATGACGTCTAGATACTTGTCTGGGACTCGCCTGTCTTTGATTTACTTCCCCTGCAGGTTGATGACGTCTTGATACCTGTCTGGGATTCGTTTGATTTTGGTTTTCTTGAGCTGGAAGTGGGCCACGTCTTGAGGCTTGTTGGGGATCAGATCGATTTGTTCTCGAGGTCGGTTGAGATTGCCCTCTGACATAAGGATAATTTCGATTCTGATTAGTAGTTCTCTTTCCTGCGTCCTGAAATTGAAAATTACAGTCCCTATTATCGGGTGGAGCTCCTTTACGGGTCGGTGGGACTTTGTTAGTGGAAGGATTACTCGCCACATTATTTCTATTCTTGGGTTCCAAAGATTTGGACCTTGGATTTTGTGGTGCTTTTGATCTATTCACAATTTGAGGGACTCTATCATCACATGGAGAGCCTTCAGATCTATTTTCAATCTGGCGGACATTATCATCACAAGGATTTCTATTTCTTTTATTTGGTTCCATACCATTGGACCTTTGATTTGGACCTTGTGAGGCTTTTGATCCATTTACAATCGGGGGGACTCTATAATCACAAGGATTTTTATTCCGATTGTTGGAACCCAAGAAATTAAACCTTTGATTTTGTGAGGCTTCAGATCTATTTTCAATCTGGGGGACTCTATCGTCACAAGGATCCAAACCATAGGACCTTTGACTTGGATCTTGTGAGGTTTCAGATATATTTTCAATCTCGGGGACTCCATCATCACAAGGATCTCTATTTCTATTGTTGGGTTCAAAACAATTGGACCTTTGATTTGGACCTTGTGAGACTTTTGATCCATTTAAAATCGGGGATACTCCATCATCACAAGGATCTCTATTCCTATTGTTGGGTTCCAATGACTTGGACCTTGGATTTTGTGAGGCTTTTGATCTATTCTCAACTCTATCATCACATGGATCATTATTTCGTTTGTTGGGCCCCAAAGAATTGGACGCTTGTTTTTGGAAAGTTTTTGAAACATTCAAAATCTTGGGGACTCTATCATCACAAGGATCATAATTTCGATTTTTGGGACCCACACGGTTGGTAGATTTTTTTGGTAAAGTTTTTGAAACATTTTCACTGCCGAAAACTTCATCATCACAAGGATCATCATCAATTTTTGATCCTTTGGATTCCACACGATTGGAGGATGATTTTTGTGGGGTTTTCGATTTATTTCCTTTTTGGGGAGCTTTATTAGAGCAATCATTGTCTCCGGTGTCTCCGGTGTTGGGAGTTTGTGGATCTTTTGCCATAAAACCACCACAATTTGGAGGCGACCATGATCCTTGACATGGATGTGGCATTGTCCCCAAGACATTATAAGGACAGTATCGATTCAGGGTGGAACACATAGAAAAGTGGCAAGAATCGTAAATGTTTTCACCAGTGCAAGGATTGAACTTCGGGACTCTAGTAGAGGGTAAGCCTGCCGGTGGTAGACATTCGGGAGGTCTCCAGTTGTTATACCTCGACGGCCCAACCATACAAGGTATGCTTGAAGCTTGTCCTGGACATGGAAAGGCGCAAGTACCCCCGTTGTTGAATTCATATGGACAACATCCATTCCCAAATCCTGGCAGGTATTCTCCGCGGGTATTACCATCGTAACATTGTCCGTAACCTTGTCCATAACTTCCACAACATTGTTGAGGCTTCGGTGCTGTTTGACTACATCCACCCTCGCTTCTTGGTCCTTCACAAGGACGAGGTTTAATACAAGCCGGACAACTTTTCGATCGTGGCTTTCTTTGGGACTTTTTATTTTGACACTTTTGGACGTTTTGTGGCCTTTGTGGAGGTGTTTGAAGAAAACTTGGCGGCATCATGTCCGGGAACTTTTGGAAATCCGGAAATACTTCGCCACACTGACAGGAATCCAAGGAGCGAGAACGACAACCGAAACCATTCATGGAACATGGCCACCTGGAAGAAAGTCCTAAAGATTCCAAAGATTTAAATACCCATTAACATACTCTGGTTGGCAGCCCTCGGGACTTCCTTGCCAGCAACTCGGATCGTACATATTCTGGAACTCTTTCGCCCGTCAAAAATTTCAAAGCATGACCAATGGTAGGGAAAGGAATTTACAAAATTACATTTATAGAAAAATTTAAAAAAGAGTCAAAACATTTTGATGTATAGAGAAAAGCATAATGTGAATATTGTTTGAAGAAACTCGAAAATTCGTAGCTCCGATTTGCCGTTTTTTGCGAATGATAACATTCCAGAAGATGCTTTAATTTGGTAACTATTTAATAAAATTTTTAAAAATAAATAATTAAAAAATAGCGCCCTCCTCCTCGATTCTCATAGGTGGCACTTAAACAGGCCCGAAAATCAGCCTAATTATATATATCCTACTATATATTAAACTTATTTATGGTAAATGCCATAACCTTGCTGTTTTTAAGATAGGATCTTGGGACTATTTGCAATATTTTTATTATAAGAAAGTCCTTTATTTATAGCCTTATTTATAAAATATTTTAAAAACATATTATCTTCTAAATACCTTTCGATTCCAAAAGTAAAAAAATATCTTAGCCCATATTGGCTTTCTATCAATAACTCCACCGAAGGACCCACCATCCTTTTATTAAACTTTCAAACTGAAAACAATTCAAAATTTCGTGTCATGCCGGAAAACAAATTTAAACGGAAGCATTGTATAATTAGTTGACTTTTTGAAGCGCTTCCCAAAAAAAACGAAACCCAACGAAATGCCAACCTGCAACAATACTTCTCGAGTGGGCAAAACTAGTCCCTACTGGCGGGGTCTGAACGGTCCAAAGAAGACGGTACCGACCTTCCAGTCGGCCTCGGTGGCGCCCAGATCGGGGGCGACGCAGGCCCAGTTGGGCAACCGGATAGGTCAGCAATTGCTGCGCACTCTCGTCCAGAGTCTGCCCACGGCCTCGCAGAATATCCGTTCCAGATCGAACTGCACCCACAGCTTCCGTCGTCGCCTGCGCCAGCCGAGCTGCAGATCGCTTCGCACCCCGGAAAGGGCATCCCTGCCCGGCAGAGGGCCATCCCAACCGAAACCCAGCGTCAAGCTAACCACCGGTTTACCTGTCCGGCAAGTGGCCGGTAAGGACCGAAAGACAGCTGGCGCTTCGGAGAGCCAATATGCCCAGAAATCCATTGATACTATATTGAAGCGCCGCCAGGAGAATCCGGGGGTTAAGGCCAAGGCCAGAGAGGAGGAGTTTGACCGGATTCCGCCGGCCAGATCAGTAGTACCATCCCCTTTGGTCGATAGTCCAGAGACTGAGGAGAAGGAAGAGAGTCCTGTGATGACCCAAATGAAGCCTCGCGCAAATATCGCCACATCAGCCAGTGCGGGGGCTTCCCAGTCAACTAGCGGAAAGAGTTCCCTCCCGAGTAGTCAGATGGAATCCAGAAATGTCAGTACTTTACAGTCAAGGCGGGAGAGCCAAGATAAGAGCCCGCCGTCCAACTTCTGCGAGGAGGCCAAGACGACCAATTTTTGCGAAGATGCCATGAAGGCCAGCGAGACGTTGGAAGGAGACTCGATAGACAAGGAGCTTAAGGAAACTGTTGGTGGCTCAAAAATGAAGATCTTTCCCTGCTTTCGCGGTGAGTATCCCACCCGCCATCGGCCCGACTCGTTCCAATGGTTCCAGGCCACGGGTCCAGGTTGCGGCAACATCATGACCATATGCGACGAGAACCAACAGCTAGTGGGTGAGACGGAAATTCTGACGTCCTGTGAGGTAACCGAGGCCCATTTCCTGAGCATCGACTGCGACGATGATGGCGAAAACACGACCGGACCACCGTGCACAAAATGCCAGGAATCTGTGTCCATGTGGACGAACCAATCTCCTACCGTGTTCCGATGCCGGCAGCAGCAACAACAGCCACAGATGCCGCAGCAGCGACAGCAGCAGATGCCGCAGCAGCAGCAAACTATGAGCTGGTTGGGATCCGACAGTCAACAAGGAAACCCCTATATGCAACAACACTCCATGCAGCAACAGCAACAGCAGAACATTATGCAAAATAATCAAGGCTTCATGCAGCAAAACTTGCAACAGAACCAGTACATGCAGCAACCTCCATGCATGCAGCAGCAACAGTCGAATTTTATGCCACCTCCAGGTTGCCCTCAGGCCAACATGCAACAAGATCAGATCCATAGCCAATTCAGTTCGCAAATGCAGCAGGAGCATCTGCAACAGAAGCAAGTGATGCAGAAGATGCCATTCCAGCCAATGCAGCAGCCGGATCCCAACTGCCTGACTGAATTGCTGGCCCAGGAGCTGAAGCAACAGATGCAGGAGGCCCAGGCCCAGATCGCTCAGGTGCAACTGCAACTGAACAGCGCCTGCGGGGCGACGAGAGTGCGGAAGATGCATGTCCTGACCCAGAGCGGCACCGAGGATCCTTCCTGGTCACCAACCACCCATTTCTTGCGCTCCCTCGAACATGATGGTGTGGAACTAGATGACCCCAACATGCTGGGCGACGAGGGTGACCTTGATGATGATGTGGCAAGCTGCTTAGGACCTTGTGCCCAAGGGAATTCCTACAAGCAATTGCAGCAGCAGCAGGTTATGACTAGCAGCTGTCCGGGATTGGGTATGCCCCCACAATCGGGAGTGCCCTTTTCCTATCCGTGTCCTGGCCAGCAAAACTCACAGCAACCCATGCAATTGGGCCTCTATCAGGTGCCTCTTTCGGCTGCCGATCAAGGTCAAATGTTCCAGCAACAGTCCTGTCCTCCAGGCCATCAACAAAATCCTTATCCTACGCAATACCCATTAATGCAACAGCAACAGCAGGTACCAGGTTGTCCCCAGCAACTGCTCCAGCAGCAGGTGCCGGGCTGTCCGCAGCAACAACAATGTCCTCAATGTCCTAGCCAGCAGAGATCCCCCAACCCACAACAGCAAAAGCGATCTCCGTGTCCACAGCAACCAAGTCCTGGCCAGCAGTCGCTGAGTATGTGTCACTTTTGTCCGAGTTGCTGTTGCCAGAGGTATGCCCAGATGCGATTCATGATGCCGCGGTGTTGGCCACGCTAGTAATGTATCTTACCTTGCACAAAATCCAAAGTACTGTGTTTAGTGCCAGATAAGATACTTTACCAATTAAACAATGTGCGCCATGATGCACTGAATTGTGCAATTCTTCCGTTTAAAATTGAAGTCAATCGGAGAATTGAAAAGCCAAAGAACCTAATAAATTATTGATTTAAATTTTATCTCTGTGCATTTTGAGTTTCTTGTCAATTGGTAAGGTTATCACTATCGTTTTGGATTCAAATTATAAATTGTAAATTCAAAATTTTTCCATTTCTCCGACAGTCGAAACGGGAAGCTGGAACCGACGATTGCAGCTACATTTTGTATCAAATTACAGATTTTTTATTAAAGAAATAATCATAGAAGGAAACTCAATCAATCTTGTATTGTATTTTTAATCGAAAAATGTGTAATTTGGATAAAGTGGTGGGCCTGCGCGGATACCAGTACTCGTGCTGTCATCAGAAATTCCAACAGGTTTTGGCGGCTCCCTGTGTCTGTTTAAAGGATTTGAAGGGGAAGTCAAAAAAGATGCTACTCCGCGTGGACAAGACTGTACAAATTTTTCGATCACAAAAGAAGGAGGGTACGCCCATGCTCCAGGGTCCTCCATTATCGGGTTTAGAAAATAATGGTGATATAGAAAAGGTGCAAACTCCAAGCGAAGTCCCTGAAATGCCAGAATTCCAAGAACCAACAGAAAAAGATCCATTACCTCTTCCGAATACCGTGTCCTCTACAAGACCATCCATATCTTCGGAAACAATGACTGGAAACAGAGGAAAAGAGCCCATAGTTGTATGTGGCCTGTTTCCGACAAAGTCGCCCATGTCCCAAGATGCCACGGAAGCTAGCCTCCAGATGGAAGCCTCCACAGCCAGCAAGCCACCAAATGTAGCCAGGTGTGGATGTGGCCAAAGTCTCATCCCATGGGACTCGGTAGCTAGAGAGAAAATGGAAATTAAAAGAGCCAGTGAACCAGATGAGAAGACCTCCGGACCTAAGAGTCCGGCAGCTTCAAGAAGAAGTTCGCAGTCAAATATCAGTAATCGCAGTAAGAGTCCTGCAGCTTCAAGAAGAAGTTCCCAGACAAGTAAAATCAGTAAGCGCACTAAGAGTCCTTCGAATTCAAGAAGAAGTTCCCAGTCAAAAATGAGTAAACGCAGTGAAAGTCCTGCAAATTCAAGAAGAAATTCGCGGTCAAATATGAGTAATCGCAGTAAGAGTCCTGCGTCCATAGGAAGAACTTCCCAGACTACTGAAATCAGGAAACCCACGAAGAGTCCTTCGGATTCAAGAAGAAGTTCCCAGACAAGTAAAATCAGAAAGCGCACTAAGAGTCCTTCGAATTCAAGAAGAAGTTCCCAGTCAAAAATGAGTAAACGCAGTGAAAGTCCTGCAAATTCAAGAAGAAATTCGCGGTCAAATATGACTAACCGCAGTAAGAGTCCTGCGTCCATAGGAAGAACTTCCCAGACTACTGAAATCAGTAAACCCACTAAGAGTCCTGCGGATTCAAAAATTAGTCCCCAGACAAAAAGTAATAAGCGCAGTAAAAGTCCTCCAGAATCACAAAGATATTCGTCAAATATATGCAATTGCCGTAAGATTCCTGCGTCCTTAAGAAGAAATTCGAAGACAACTAAGAGTCCTGCGGATTCAAAAAAAAGTTCCCAGACAAAAATAAGTAAACGCGGTAAAAGTCCTGCAGATTCCAGAAGAAATTCGTCAAATATCAGTAATCACAGTAAGAGTCCTGCGGGCTCAAAAAGAAGTTCCCAGACAAGTAAAATCAGTAATCCCACTAAGAGTCCTGCAGATGCAAGTAGAAATTCCCCAGCAAAAAACACTAAAAGTCCGGCAGATTCAAGCAGAAATTCACAGACAAAAATCACTGAGAGTCCACCTTCGAAAACATTTTCACTAACAGAACTCACTAGAGCCATAAAAAGTCCTCCACCATCGAGAACTAATAGTTTAAAGGAAAATAATAGCCAATTGACATCTCTAAATAAAGAAATAAGTCCCCGAGTCAAATCTGTGGCAGGTAAGACTACAAATAATTACTTAAAGTCGTATTTATTGAAATTGTAATATTATTTCCCTAAATCAGTGCCGGCCCAATCGAGTTTGACCCAAAAAATTAACCAATCAGTTCTCGCCCAAGAAAGTCTCATGAATGGAAGCAAAAATAAATCGAAGCCAATTAATTTTAATGAAAAACAGAATGGCAAAGTTAAGGTATGTAAGAAATGTAATTCCCATGAAATGTAAATTATTTAAATTGCTTTATTTAGGAGCCTTTTAAGAGCTGCACCTGTCGGGTGGTGCCGGAAAAAACTCTTGTTTCCGAGACCAATCTGAGCTGCAAGTGCTGTGACTCTACGAAGATTCTTTATTCAAATAAGGGCAAACCAAACAATACCCAAAACCCAAGACAAACGCCAAAAATAAAGTCAAAACCAATTGCAAAACAAGTGCCAAAACCAATGCCAAAGTCGAACAAAAATCAAAAGCCCCCAGTTGAAGAAAAGGCTCTTGTCAAGGCGAGCCCGAAACGCAAAAAGTTTACTCCAGCAAAGGCTTCTGGTAAGGCGAAAGTACTTCCAGGAGGACTTACTGGTTCACCCAAGGTATCCAGCGACGATGATGGTATTTGGTAAGTTAATTGAATAACTTTATTCTTAAAAACTAACCATTAATCACTAAGGTTCGAGTGCAATCTGCCATTTCGTGTAAACATACCCTTTCCTGTTTGCATGCAGAAGTTCTTTGGATTCCCGGGAATCAGCCTGAGTAATACTGACCCCAAGAATGGCAATCTAAAGGCGATAATGCCGGCCACAAATGGAGATCTTCCTTCAGGATTTCAATCAGAAACACCTGGGGGCTGCAATAAGAACACCTGCCCGAAAAGGAAACTAGGACGACGTGGCAATAAAATTTGTCCTTGCGAAACTGCTACCCAAACAGGTGAGGAAGAAAATGATCCTCTGCTAGCCTGTTTGGAGCAAATTAAGGATAAACTGCAGAACTTATCGCCACAAGTGCAAGCAGTCCAAGCAAAGCCATGTGTTTGCTTCTTGGCTGAGAAGGGCACCAATGTCCGGGAGAAAACGATAAAAAGGAGTAGCCTGTCATTAGATAGTCCAGAAGATGGAAAGAGGAGTAAGGAAAGGAACTCAAGGGATTCATCATTAACGGAAGATCCTAACGGAAGATTTGTTAGAAATTCATCGGAGAGCAGGGCTTCTGAGGCAGGGCTTCCAAATACAGAACCGAAAAGCAAAAGAAGATTTTCTAATGGAGGACATTGCAATGCTTCGCCAATGCCTCCTACTTATATGAGACAACCACATGTATTTCCCACCCATATGCATTACCACCCATTTCCCAGGTGGAATTACCCAATGTACCACCCACAATGTGTAAGACCAACCCAACCTCCATCATTTCTACCAAATTGGCAAGGCCAACCACTTGGGAATTGCATCTCCTATAGATCCTTGATTAATGGCGAACAAGAGAAAACCAATTGCATTAATCACATGGCATACCCAAAAAACCCTCGAGATAACCCCTATATGGAACCCATTGGGAATTTTATACCTTCCTCAAATGATCAAAATCCGGGAAGTGATCGGTCATTTAGTGGCCATTCAGTGGATTTGTGGCAACCAGACAGGAGTTTGATTGAATCTAATTTCGTGGAGAAGACACCCGTGGAATCCACTTATCGTAAAGGACTTTCACAATTTCATACGAGCCCTGGAAATAATCTTTCAAATGTCAAAATATCCCAAAGATCTATTATGAAAAGACCATCGAATCTGGGTGTTCAGCTTTCATCCACACAGAAAAAAACCTCAAGCAAGTGTATAAGCTTTAAGATGAATGATTCGGATGAGGTATCTCATAGCAATAGATCATCTAGAACTAAACATTCTAAGAACTCAAAATCTAAAGTACTTAGAAGGGAAAAAAGTAACACAGATCATTCAGATATGTCAGAGACCAGCTCAAGCAAGATGTACCATCGAAACTCTGATTCATTAGCCTCTTTAAGAGGATCTAGAGAAATGAAAAACTGCGAGTCATATATAAGAGAAACTAAACCTTTTGATAACATGAGTTTGGAGGTACATGATTTGGATGAGTTCCCAATTAAGAAAGCAAACAGAAATAGAAATAATGATTCCAACGTGAATGATTCCGAAAGAAACCATCAAAGAGCCGAAAGCGGAATGGAGAAGCTGGAAAGGACAGCTAAACAATATTCAAAATTTAAGGAAACCATGCCAATTATCACTGAAATTTGTATTCCAAAAATACGATCACTATCGGTTCCAGTAACCAGAAGGTTTGATTCCCAAAATTTATTTCTAAGACAGCACAATAACGAAGAAAGGTCTCCGAGGTTTTTCAAACAACTTCGCAGAGGAGGCAAAGGTCCAGGACGTTCTACAAAAATGTATATACTTAAGGATCCTTTAACCACTACCATTACAAAATATGAACTGGATTCATCTCAATCGAAGGTGTGCGGAACTCCAGATGACAATTCAAAGCAAAAGGCTCTTTTCATTCCAAGGGAAATCAATGAGACTAAAAATAATTCTATTTCGAATCATGGAAAACCAAATCCACCTATGGTGTTTGTACCCTTCCGTGTGGAAACAAGTAAATTAATAAATGCCCAACCTGATCGATGGTAAGTTATAACATTAAAGTTTATAAAAGTTCTATAAGAAATATATATTTTTTAGGAACAAAGTTCAACTAACATTGGCTGTAGCTAGACCCCCTAAAAAACATAGGTTATCCCACCGCAGACCGTTCCTGAGAAATACTTTACGATACACTCCACATCGATCTGCCTCTGGTCAAGAATTTCCACAAGATAATAAAAATTCAAATAGAAAGGCAACAAATCTCGGTTTCCGACCGTGTGAAAACTATTGCCCTAATTCCACCAGGATGCAATCATGTCAACGAGGATGTAAAGCTCCAACAGTGAAACCTTCATTTGGTAATACTTCTCAGGCCGAACCTTCCAGTTCAAGAAACCATATAAGACCAACAAACCAATCATCGTATAATAATTCACCTCAATGCCAACCGACTTGTTCCTTCAAATCTGTGGACAGATTGAAGATATCGTGTCAAAAACAGGACTGTCAAAATAGTTTAACGTATTTAAAAGGTAAATCAAAGTCTTCCACTAGTCAATGGAGTAGTAGTATTCCTCCAGCGGCATTGAAATATGAAGTGCCCCGTTCCGGACCACAGCGTTCTGGACCATCCACACCTCCTGCAAAACAAAATAAAATGCAAACTAAAAAGACAAGTGGTAATTCTATAATCCAGCCTAAGACCAATAATTCTATTGGGAAAAAGAAACCAATTCCGAATAAGAAACCTCCTTATAACATGGCAAATGCTTTAAGCAGGGAAGTTGTGGAACAGTCCTCTCCGATGTACTGCGATTGCACTCCACCTGATCAGAGATCTATTGATTCCATTAACAGTGAGGACAGACCAAAAACATCAGACAGGGCTATTCAAAAAGACCATTTCCAGAATGGAAAACGATCCAGCTACGAAGAAAACTCCCTAACGAGTTGTGGCTCTTCAAGGTCTCAATATTCAACCACATCTAATCAAAGTAGAAATCGGGAAGAACTTCAAGCCAAATATTCAAAGGTTCAGAGCTCGAATTCATCTGTGGGATATACCAATGCATATTCAGATACATCCTTCGAAAGTAGAAAAGGCAACTGTTACTGCTCACCTGTGGCAAGTAAGGTGAGTTCCCTATATCAGAAATCTAGAGATCCGGATTGGAAAGAAGCCGTTCTAGAAGAGGCACATCCCTCCTACACCAGAATCAACAAACCCAGCACGGAATCAGACGTATCCGTCTCTGCTAAAGACTATAGGGAAGGAGATGATCCTGTTAGCGTGTCAGGCACGAAAACAGTGACAAAGGAGTCATCTCGAATAAGTAAAAAGCCACCTCAAGTAACAAAGACGCCATCTTATGAATCGAAAAGCGAAGAAGAGTGCTTATGTGATCCCAACTATCAATCCCCTGATGAAGAAGTACAAAAGCCAACCGGCAGGAGTCAGCGCCGAAGAGTTAACGAGGACTCCTATAATTCAGGAAGCAGAGACAACAGAGTATATAATTCCAGTTCAGGATATAGTCAGTCTGGAAATTCGTCCCAAGTAAAAGGAAGTCATCCCTCTCGAATTATAGCTTCCTGCTTACCTAATTGCACGGATTCCTGTAGCTTCAAAAAAAGGACCCACCAAGCGAAGAATAATTCCCGAACAAACAATAAGAAAGCTCCGGAAACGGTTACCTTAATGCAACCACGACGCTTCCGTAGCACAGAGAGCACCCAAAGAGGTAAAGATGCCATTGAAAGCGGGGAGGACATGGACACTAAGAATACCGTACTGATCGAGACTAGGATTCCCTGTGACCGGAAAAACCTAATGCAGACATGTGGTCGACCACCCTGCAACTTTCACCGTCTGCAATACTCTGGGGTTCCACCGGTAGTGGAGCAAAGGAATATGTACATGAGACCACCGCCACCTCAAACCGTTCCTCAAAGAAGTCATCCTAATGATGAAGATTATCTGATTGATCCTCGGGACCATTTGCCACCTCTTGCCTCAGCACCAGTTATGGGCAACCCGTACCCAATGCCAATGATAAACGCTTTCCACCGGACCTCTAGTTCATATCCTTATACAAATCTTCATCAAGCTTCATGCAGAGATCCTTACTCCTGTCCTGCAATTCTGAAAAATAATATAAGATCAATGCCGAAAGGGTTTTACGAAGAAACCTTGCAAAAATACAATATAACCAGGATGGATTCAGACTTTCAGCCACCGACTTTACGATCGGATATCCTATATCAACAGCTAAATGGAGCACCAGATCGCCAGTTTTCTAATCACCTAAATCGGCCAATGATGATGAAATCTTCGGGATATAATCAACATCATATGCCACCCCCTAACCCATTTCAGGCTCAACCTTCGCATTCAATGTTTGGCCCACACCAAAATGTAAAATTGGAAGGCTATGATTTTTCCGAATATCAAATTTAATAAACTAATAATGAACAACAATTATTCTAAAATTTTTTTCAAATTTTCTTGGTGATATATTGTTTTTCTAAAAAATGCATCTTGTAGGAATCTGTAGGAACTTCAAACTTTATATCTTCAAAAACACGAATATAGGGTAATTTCCGGAAGATCAGTTATCCCTTGAAAATGGGGGTATCCTATATATGGTCCACAGCGATGGCTATATCTTAGCCAATATCCATTAAATCAGATCCATCAGACAATATCCATCCATAAATCTGCATATACATTTTAAAAACAAATATTCTTTAGATTTTTTGCAAAATTTTCTACGGGGTCCCCTTCAACATTTAGGGCTTTGTGGCCTACTCTGAAGGCTATATCTTCGCCAATATGGATCGGATTGTTGAGCGGAATACCTTAATCGATTTTTAGATCGATTCTCCATGTATCTGCATCAAAAGCTAGGCACAAAATATTTTTTAGATTTTTTGAAAAATTTTTTAGGGGGTCCCCTTCAACATTTGGGGCAAACGCATGGAATGGCATTGTGGCCCACTCTGAAAGCTATAAGCTATATTTGGGGATCCCCGTCAAATTTCTGAAAAATGCATGGAAGGCCGATATGGCCCCTGACGATATCATATCCAATTTCCATCCGAATCTCTAGCGGAAAACCTTTAACAATTTCTATATTGATTCTTTAACAATTTGCATAAAAATCTAAAAAAATATTTTTCTATTAAAAATTATAATTTAAAAAGGTTGCCTATCGATAGTTGGGCCATCTCTAGATATCAGTCCATTTCCAGCGTTCCAAAAATAATGGAACACCGTTCGGTGCTGAAATGCAACCCTCCAAAATAACAAATGAAAACAAATTTTTGTTTATATGAATCACACCCGCACAAACAATGGGCAACATTGTTGATAAGATAAGATAAGAAACTTAACACACACATCGCGTCGCGAATGATTCCAGTTTGTCCAAGGAGTACGCCAAGTATTGTCAAACAATGGCAACTCACGCCGAAAAAGAATTCTACCAATTGGTATGTAGTACGTGCACCTGGATGACCCGCATAAAGCCGCAAAAACCCCTTCTAATTTGACATTAATTGTGGTGTAGTGCTTGTTTGATTAAAGTATTCCTTATGTTTCCTATTCTTCGCAAATCGTTAGACAAGCAACTCTTTCTACTTGTTTATAAACATTTGTATATACGTGAGAATTATCATAAACATTTATCTTGAAACTACAAGTCAGCCTTGAACCAGATTTTGTGGAGTCCCGCCCCGACAAACTGTGTGAATGTGAGCTCAAATGCACTGTGAAACTGTATGCTAATAGAAAATTTCTCTCCGAGATGTCGCTGACCCAGTAAACTAGAAACTGTGAAGGTATCACTACTGTGTCAATAGGAAAACCTATCTCTATATCTACAAACACCAGGCCCTCCGGCTCACATAGCAGTTGGGGATAAAGAGTTAAATTATCAGCAAGATAAGATTGCCGGGTTTCATTAATCTTGAGAATGCAGTCCCCAAAGAGTGATGAAAAAATTCCGATAATAAATTCCAGGTGCTTTGAAAAAAGTGAATGACAAACCAAACATTGTTGGATAACTGCCATAAGTTATACGATGATTCATTCATAAGTTTAAATATTTTTAACACAAACTCTTACAGTGCAAAAGTACGATATAATGTGGAATTTATCAGAAGCTTAAATATTTTTCATTTGTTGAATAAAACTCTCTTATCACCGTTTTTTATTTCAGAACATTAGTGTAAATAAAGCTTTAAATGGCTTGGAGGCACCACTCAAAACCAAACATGCTCGCTCCATAATCATCATGATTCACAAGACCAAGGAGGCGAAGAGCTTCTGGATGATGGCCACCCGCCAGCCATTGATGCAGAGCCGGTTTACAGCCTGGAAGTTCTTCCACCTCCTTCACAAGGTCATGAGGGAGGGCCACGACAGTGCGATAAGGCATTCGCAGAGCCACAAGAAAATGATCCTGGAGGTGGGCAAGATGTGGGGGCTTCTGCAGGATGACATTGGTTGTTGTATACAGTCGTACAGCAATCTCTTGGCGTCTAAACTGAACTTTCACGACAAGAACCGACTGTTTCCTGGTAGCTTGAACATATCCTTCACCGAACTTTTTGTTGCTGTAGATAGGGACTTGAACTACTGGTAAGACTATCCACAAACATGTCAAGTATTCCTCACCAATAAGTTCTTCTTGCAGTTTTCAATTGTGCGTCGAAATCTTTGACTATTTGGAGGATATCATTGCCCTGCAGCAGACCATTTTCGCGTCAATGAACCACTACCGAATGTCGTCTATGACGCCCCAAGGACAATGCAGATTGGCGCCAATTGTTTGTCTTATTCAGGATTCCAATGCTCTCTACGACATGAGTGTACGTCTCATGTTCAAACTTCATGATGGTTTGCCTTACGATGTTCTGTCCGGCCATAGAGATCGGTTTAATGGCCTGTTCTTGAAGTTGAAAGATTTCTACAACAATGTTCGTCCGCTTCAGTATTTCAAGGATTTAATAGTTGTTCCAGAACTGCCAGAGTCAAGTCCAAATTTCAAGTCCCAGAATGATTTCACCAGTTACGTACCGCCAGTTGTCCATGTGCCGCAGGAACCCGATCCAGTGGTTGAGGATCTGGTTGATACAAATAATGTCGAGGCTGAGGCATATAGTCAAGCGCAGCAGCAGCTGACGGTTTTGGAAGGAATTATTAGTGAGAAGGAAGCTGGCATTGAGGCGCTTTCCTTTAAATTGGTGGCCCTGCAGAAAAACTTTGACGAACTGGAACAAAGCTACAGACACGATGTAGAGGACTTGCAGAAAAACAACACTATCTTGGCCAATGATCTGGCTCTTTCCAGGGAAATGTGCGCCAACATGCGTATGCAAAACGATGAACTGGAACTCCAGCTAAACCAGAATCCAATTCTGATGCGTAAGAATATGAATATACTGTTTTTAAAGCTTAATTACAAGAATTCTTGTTTAATTTTACAGAAAAGGCCATTGAAGAAGAGGAAAAACACAAGCTGTCTTCGGAAAAGTTCAATAAACTCAAAACACTGTACACCAAAATTCGGGATGAACACATTCAGTTATTAAGAGAGGTAAGATTATAATTTATTTAATCATCATAATACTAAAACACTGATTATATTTTCAGCAAAGTGAATCTAATAAATCGTTAAACAAAGAAAAGCAAGTCAACTCCCAATTGGTATTGGAAACAAAGGCACTTACCAACGAAATCTCCAAGATTAAGGGAAACTTTGAGGAAAAAGATAAAGCCAACTTGGCTTTGCAAAAGCAACTCGATGAGCAAATCGAAAAGATATCGCAGCTCGAAAAAGTCAAAAATGAAATTAATGAAAAGTACGATGATGTAGTTAAAGAAAAGCAAATGCAGCAATTAGACATAAATTCTACCTCTGAAAACTTGAGGCTAAACTTCATTAAAATCGAGGAACTTACTGCCGCGTTAAATGACGCAAAGGAAAAATTATCCAGTGCTGAAAGCCAAATAATTGAAAAATGTACAGAAATCGAGAACAACATTAAGGCCAACGAAGGGGAGAAGGCTCTGCTTCTAACGAAGATAGAGGAACTAAATGTCGAACATAAAAGCAGCAATGACGCTCAAAGTGCCCAGATACTGCAGACCATTAGTGACTTGAAGCAGAAGGATATAGAATTTAATGAAATTAAGGAGAAACTGTCAAGTGCGGAAAGTCAAATTAGCTTGAAAACCAGCGAAATTGATCAAAACTTTAAAGCTTTTGAAGCGGAAAAGGCCTTTCTTCTGACTAAAATCGAGAATTTGAATTCGGAGCACAAGACCATTAACGATTCACAAAATGCCCAGTTGCAGCAGACAATAAATAGTTTGCAAGAGAAGGAAACAGCATTCCAGGTATGAAAATTAATTATTTTTTTTAAACCATTTTATTAAATTATTATTTTTCAGGAATCGGTGGAAGCTATTAAGAAACTGCAGCAGGAAAATGAGTCAGTAGAGCAACAAAGAGCAGATTTGCAAAGCAAACTCTTGGCTGCTGAAAGCCAACTCTCCCAAGCCACACAACAAATAGAGTCCGTAACAAGTTCCTACCAAACTTGTAACACAGATTTGAACGAACTTCGAAAGTTGGTTATAAAAACTGTGAAGGAGATCTGTAATTCGAAACTGAGTGGATCAGAGCAGCAACCACTGGAAGCTATACCAAATATTATTAAGGAGATGGAGCCCCTGTTGAATAAATTCAACAACTCTGCAGCTATAAGTCACTTTACTTCAACGGAGGGAATGCACGATGTTATGTATTTGGGATATGTGTTTATAAAACTGTATGATCAATGCGACATTGTTTACAAAACCACCACGGCTATAGAAACGGGTCAGGGTAAGTATATAGATTATTTACAAAAACAGTTAATAAAATTATATATTTTTCAGAAATCTTCACAAAAACATCTCTGCTCTGCTCGGATGTTTGTCAATTGTTCCAGTATTTAATAAACAACGAGACGAAAGACAGCGAAAGGCAAACAATTTCCTCCAATATACAAGCAAAGTTGACAGATATTGGAAAACTAGTCGAAAAGATTAGGGCTACCATCGAGCAGAAGATCGATCTGGACAAGCTTCTTGAAATAGAACTGCGGGAGATGGATGCTGCCATCGATGATGCTGCCTCGAAAATCACCGAACTGCTGGCAAAGGCTCGGGAGAAGGACAACCAAACCAATCTGGAGGTGAATGGGAAAATTGTGGACGCCTGTACGACTCTAATGGAATGTGTCAAGGTTTTAATACAAAAGTCGCGTCTTCTGCAACACGAAATAGTGGCGTCACAAAAGGGTAAGCTATATATAATCAGCAGAGAAACCATCAAATCTTTACTATTCCCATTTTAGGAAATGCAAGTGCCAATGAATTCTACAGAAGAAACAGTCAATGGTCGGATGGATTGATTTCCGCATCGAAGAGCGTAGCCAAGGCGGCCAACTATCTTGTTGAGGCGGCAAACAAGGCCATAGAGAGTGAGTCTGGTAAAAACTTTGAGCTTATTGTGGCGGCCCAGGAAATAGCCGCCTGCACAACGCAAATGGTTATAGCCAGCAAGGTCAAGGCCGATCGCAATAGCCAAAAGTTAACAGACCTTACCAAAGCCTCGCGCAGTGTGACCCAGGCCACAGGTACGCTGGTGGCCACCGTTAAGGATTGCAACTCGCAGCTGGAGCAGCAGAGCGAACTTGAACTGGCGAAACTAACGCCATCGCAGATCAAGACGATGGAGATGGAAATTCACGTGAAAGTACTCGAAATCGAACAGGCGCTTCAGACGCAGCGCCAGAAACTGTCATCGTTTAGGAGAGAGCATTACAAAAACGCCGAGTATTAAATACTACTGTTACTAATCTACCTTTAAACTACTAAACATTCTTCTTTTATAAATGCACTTCATGACAACAACAAAATATACACATATATGTTACAATATTTACACTATTTTCTATATATATTTAACAATTTCTTCCGTGAGGTGATTTTGTTTACAGATGCTCTGAATTCCATTTTGATCGAGTTTGGATCTGTGGTTTTATTGAACCATTTTTGATTCGAAATTCCATTTGCTTATTACTAATGGTTGATGGGCTTAAATATTATTATTCCTACTAACTTTTGCCAAAGAGAATAAAATGTTACACTTTTGTCAAAAGGTTTATTTTTATTATCACGAACCGGCATAATGCATTTTATAAAACGGCATGTTCACGTTCATCATAGACACTCTTAGCGTAATTTATCTAAAAAGAAACAAAAGTTAAATATATGTGATAGTCGTTTCAAGTTTTTATAAAAATAAAGAAACTGTTCCAATGCAACTATCGATTGTAGTTTAAAATATTTTAAGAAAACTAGTCCTTCAGATCATAAACTAAAAACTTACACATCTCGACGCCGCCTCGGCACATTCCTCAGACCGGCACCGTATCCTGGGCCTCGTCACCTTCGGTAGGTTGGTGGATATTTCAATGTAGTAACTCGGCGTTGCTCTACTGCTGGATGACGCAGTGGTTCCAGCATTCGTTACCAGCGGATGGCACGAGAGTATCTCGCTCAGGTGAGTCTCGAACATGACGGTTGGATTGCCGTCAACAATTGAGAATATTCGGACATATTCGGTGGAAACTAGCAGTCGTAACTTGGCCTCTTTATCGCTCCATAGATTCGTTTCGTAGAAAATTATTTTTTCGCCAAAGTTTTTATGATTGATTACGTACAGGTACTGCTGGCCTTTGCTTTGGCGATTGGAATAGAGGGGCAGCAAGCCGCCAGGGGCGCCCGTGACGCATCTGGGTAGCCTCTTTCGTTCCGGAGTACTCCTGTGAGTGTCCCGACTGGTTTCCCGCACCGCACTCGCCGTTTCAGATGCCAAGTCCAGAACTCCGATAATCGGTTTTGTCACAGTGCCCACCAGACCTTTTCCCAGGCCACTTAGGAAGCCGGGAACGCCGTCCGATGCGGCGCCATCGTATGTGTGCCGCACTATACTCGTTACTCCACCCAACAGTCCGAATCCTAGACCTTTCAGACCCGCTGCAAGGTGGCCACCGGACGTATTTGACTGCAGCTCCAAGATTCGTTGCCTGGTCTCGTTGTCGTGGTCGTCCAGCACGACTTTCCCCAAACTGTCGGACAGGGTTTCAGTCAACTTTGCTGTGGAATTGGATATGCCGTGCGTCACGTTCTTCACCAGACTCTTGACCGAGCCCTCGAAAATCAGGCCCGACACACCCTCCGAAAGGTCGTTGGCGAATCCCAAGGGATTGCCGAGGAAGTCGACACTGCCCAAAATATAAGCAGCGTGCCACTTGATTTGCTGAATGTAGTGGGTCTTTATGCCCTTCAGGTAAACGTCCAGGGTTTCGAAATGCGATTTATCCGAGTACCTGTCGAGCTCAATCATAGCATCCTCGAATTTGATGAGGGTCAGTCCTAGAGCCTTTTTCGTTTCATGTAGTTCCACCGGCAACTTTGAAGAGGTAATCGCTGAGAGACGAACCTTCAAAAAACACAAATGATTCAAAAACGGTTTCAAATATTTAGAAACAAAGATCGTACCTGCGTTGCTCCAATATTTAAATATTCAAAGTAGTATCTCTTCATGTCCTGCAGAATCGATCGTTCTTCATGGTTTTCGAATTCGTATTGCACACTTAAATTTTGTGGATTGATTTTTCCGTAGCCCAGGAACGAGGCCAACTTCAGTATTAGTTTCTCATCCAGGTTCGCCGTCGATGGTTTCACGTCCAGCGATAGATATTTGAAGATAATTGCATTTTTGTTGGGACAGGGCAACATTTTGAGCTTGAGCACTACTGCGTTTTTATTTTTGTCATCTTCGTTGGAGTTCTGGGTGTACATAACGATGGGACTGACCGCGTCCAGCAGCTGGTTATCTATTTGTATATAAGATATAGTTAAATCTAACGAGTTCTCTAAAGCACTCTGCACCATATCGCAATGGATGCAGTCCAGGCTGATGAACATGATTTCCTCGCAGGGTTTTCGGGATATTATTGAGATGCCAATTCCCTTCACGAGCTCCACATTGATCTAGAATATAAAGATTATAAGTCACACATATAGTATGAAAGAGTATTGTGTCTTCCTTACCAGATACTCATGGGTGGCAGCTATCTTTCCCGAGTCTGTGATTTGGCGATTGTTCAGAGAAGCGTGCATCCACAACGAATCGGGCGTTAGGAATACTGAGTTCTTTTTTATTTTAATATCACAAATTTCGATAGTCAAGATCGGGCCATCCTTTCGCGTTGATATTTCCAGTTGACCCGATCCAGGCCTGAGTTTCTGGGCCACAATGTGTTGAGCGAGCGGTATGGAGTTCCTCTTTGTTGAATTGTTCTCGATCCGTCCCACGACAGCATCGCAGTAGGGTTTCATGCCGATCTCCCCATACCGAGACTGAAATATCAAGAAATTAAGACTTCAAATATCCAGAAAATAATACCACTATTAAGTTCCCACCTGAACGCACATATTGGCGTGGCACATCAGCCGACCATTTTCAAACCGCCAGGTCTGCGTGGTTACCCTTTGCTTGTTGGGGGTTCGAACCACCAAAGTGGTATACTCCGTGGGGTTCGGCGGCTTCTCCAGATCCAGGACTAAGCGAACTGCATTGCCGTCATTGGACTGAACCGGCGGAGTCGATCCTTCGTGTTCCAGTTGACCACTGGAGTTCATGAGCCATAGCTGCGACCGATCACCTGAATTCTTCTCCACTATCACAACTTTCTTTCCGTGTACTCCCAGAACTAGGTTCCTATGATGCACTTCCTCGTCGCCCGACCGCTCGAAGGTGCCATGAAATGCTATGTAAATGAAATTCGTGTAAGTCAGCGTCTTTTTCAGGTCGGGCTTGCCAACGGGAAACTCAATCACGTTGCCTCCGGGCGCCTCCATCAGCAGGGCACTCATGCCCTTGGGATCGTCCATCACATAGGACAAGGAGGATTGGGGACGAACTGGCGTTATCCAGACGGGCTTCGTTCGGCTCTGGGAAAAGTTAATGACAACCTCCGAACAGTTGTCGATGCGAATCGGTGGCGGTAGGGTTCGTGCGTCCGTAAACAGAAGTATGAAAGTGGCATCCTTGGATATGATTTCCAATCGAAGGAAGAACATTTCGCCCCAGTCGTTTCGCACATTAATGTACAAGCTCTGATTGATGGAGCCATCGAGTGGGATGCCTTTTGACCAGCAGCAGCACTCTATATCCGGAATCCGAACACAAATGAACTCCTCTTGGTCCCAGTTGGGCCAGTGGAATGCGAAATTGCAGTCGATGGGTGCCGAGATTATTTTACGAGGATCCGGCCGGTCCTAAAAGGAGGAGGTTATTAATAAATGAACCAAGTGGTGGTCCAGTAACTCACATAGTTGGCAATATCGCAGAGCTGCATAAACTCCAGCTTGTAGCCACTTCTGTTGTACAAGTGATAGCGAGGCGATAAGATGACGAAAGTGGTGCAGGCATATAGACCTCTTCCCCTCCTAACGCTTATCCCAATCGCATAAGTGCCCTTTGTGTTTTCCGCTCGCAGCTCCCGGTTGGTTAGATCCTTGTTGGTACTGAAGCTCTTGCACCACTAAAAAACAGGATATAGTATTATTATCATATTATTATATTTATACCTGATGACCTACCATGTTCTTTGCGCCCAGAGCATTGCCTAGACGCACTTCCAGAGCCGGGGATCCTTCCTGGTCGGAGAAAGAGAACATAAGCGGCGCCACTTGCCTGGCAGTTTCGTGTTCTTCGAACTGTCCTGCCGCAGTGTTGTTGGTTCCCTCCTGCTTGCAGATCAAGGGCAGACCCGTCTTGTTGATAATCCAGACTGGAGCACTGATATGAATCTCCATGCCCTTGCCCTTGCACGACTGGATTGAGATTCGCAGGTGAAGCTCCCTCCTTTTGATGTCATACAGCTTCAGCTTCGGTTCCACCACGCCACTGTGGCTCATGGGAATCTTCAGCTGGCCAGAGAGTTGGAAGTTGTCCAGAGTTATGCTCAGGTTGAAGGGTTCGCAAATGTTCACGTTATAGATATTTGTACTCTCGGATGCATTTATCCTGCCGGTGGCCGTCTCATGGATCTTAAACATCAGATCGCAGCAGAGCATGTTGTTTATCTTCAGCGGAGGCAACAGAGTTATCCTGTGTCCTGGCAGATTCTGCTCCTTGGTGTGAAAGATTTCCCGGTTTATGTTGACGAGCGTGTACAAAAGGCTCTTGCTGCTGTCATAACTGACGTACAGTTTCTGCATATTCTCCTTCCCGGAGAGGTTTCCCTTCCACAGGATTTCGCTGTTCGTGAAGCCAGTGTCCTCGTAGGCCTCGTTTTCATTCGTGTTATGCGCTATATGCAAGGAGGCATCGATGAACTTCAGCGGCAGGGATAGCTCATCGTTGGGCTTGATAGCACTGATGGCTGTTAGGCCATCGCTTTGGCTGCTCTTCAGGGACATTTTCAGGAAAACATTGCGATCCATCTTGTTCACCACCTCCAGTGAAGACTTCACTTTGATCAGCTTCTGTGCAGAGCCAATCAGCGATATGTCGAAGACTATCCGCGTCTTGGTGGAGAACTGGTTGTCCATGGTGCTGGTGCGGAAGAACATGCCCACCTTATCAATCGAGATGGGTCCAATCAACGTCCAGCCGTGGATCTGGACGAAAATCTGATGCAGGTTCAGTTGGTGGGAGTGCACGTGGCGGAGCTTGCTCTTCTGGCTGAAATCGAATGTCTTTGTCTCGTTGGGCTGCACCGAGGACCAGTGCTTGATCAGCTCGAACTGGTGCAGGTCGGAGCAGCTCAGGTCCCCCAGGGGGGCATAGATCGGCTTGAACAGCAGCGGTGTGCCGGTGAGGTTCTGCAGGGCGAATGGAATAAACGGAGACCGCTGCTTGTTTTTGGTGGCGTTGTCGTTGAAGTCGTTGGTCCAGTTCTTCAGGACCATATGGAAAAGTTCTATAAAGGTGGATGTGACATTCAGCTTGAGCATCTGCTTGCTGGAGACGCCGATCTCGAAGCGCTTCTTGTTGTCGAAATGCCCTTTGGCGAACTTCCACTTCAAGTTGGACTCCCAGGACTCGGCCACGGGCTCCCAGCCACTGAGCCGGCGATTGTAGTAGTTCACCGCGGCTTCCGTGTCGATGTTGCCCAAGCTGAAGTACCTCACATTCGTCTCCTTGGGGTTGGGGTCCTGGGTTTTGAAGGTGAAGTTCAGCAGGAACTTGGAGAGCGAAATCTCCAGTAGGGGCACGTCAGCATCCATGCAGTCATCAATTATGAAGACCGATATCAGGTTCGCGTCCACCACGGCAGTTTTCAGTTCCAGGGAGGGATTCTTGGAGGTACTCTGTTTCTGATGCGTGAGCCAAAGGGCCGCGTCGTTGAGTCTGCAATCATTGACCTGCATGGCATACAGACAGTCGGAAAGTTCAAAGCCCATCGCGACCAGGGGAGCCACTTTCTCCAAATCCGAATCCGCTTTCGAGATTACATTTTTGGAACGCGCTGTCTGCGATGGCAGAAGTCGGGCCATTCTCGAGAACAGCTTCACATCCACGTAGGATAATCGAATATTCAGGGGCTTTTGAATGAGTATATTCAAACAATTACTTCGCAGCTCAATGTTCAGCGTGAATGGATCAATTATGGACAGAGCACTTTCCTCCTCGGCGTCCAAGGTGCAGGAGAATATCTCCAGGTGGTTGATGTTCAGGGAGAGTGGCACGGAGTTACTGTTGGGCTTGTACGAAATGACCGTGGTGCTCTTCAGAATGATGGCATTCGAGTCCAGCCGGCTGCACTCCTCCGCAAATATTATTTCCGAATCCGTGATGTTCACCACGAATTCCGTGGCAACGCTATTATCGACTTGGGGTTTCTGGGAGCTCGGATTCGTGACGTTACTGACCACGGGAGCGGGTGAATCCTCCTGAAGGTACGATTTCAACTGATCCAGAAAACTGAGGAGTGCAAACACCCTCATGTTGTTGAGCATTATGGTGTACTTGCAGAAATTGGCCTTCTTACGGCAGTGAACCTCAACCTGAACAGAGTTCTCGGGTCGCACCTCCTTCTTGGAGGGCTCCAGTATGTTCTTGAACACGTTTTCATTCCCCATGCCCGTGTCTTTTCTTTCATCCTCGATCAGGATGTTGCTGGATATCAAATCTATATCCTGGGAGCCATCGCTGAACAGGTCTATCTCCAGAGTAGATTTGAGGAAGTGGATGCAGGACAGGGGTTCTACGACAGTTCTATGGCTGGTGTTCAGGGCCAGTAATAGCGAGACATCCTCCAGGAGAATTCGAATAGAAATCAGAATGGAAACTGCTTTTGAAGCCTCGATTTTGGGCACTAGACTCACTGTTGAAAGTCTTTCGATGGACGTACAACTATTGTTGGAGTAGTTCCAATAAATATCATCCGTCTGCTCGCCAATGTTGTTATTCAGGAAGCTCCTAATGAGCTTGTACTGTTGAATGTTGATCATTCCGTTCAGTTTCGAGAAGGTCCCCTGCACACTGATGTCAGGACACACGCGATTCATTTCCGCGGACAGATTTCGCTCCAGTTGCAGGTGCAGGAAGGTGGCATCATTGAAGAACGGCTGGCCCAATCTCAGAAAATTCAAGTCAGCAATCAGGATAGAATCGTTCTCCTGGTCCTTTTTGGTTTTCACAGTACTTCTCTCTCCAGAATACAGATTTATGTTCACCAGATTGATGCGCATGACGTCCAAGATCTCATGTTCATTTGGCTGTGAGGCCTTCTTGCTAATGATGCCCTCATCGCTGGCGAAATGGAAACTATTCTTCAAGGTAAACTGCCCCAGGTATGCGATTATAACTTCGTTTCTATTGTAGGAAGCGGGAAGTACTATCACAGGTGAATCCGCCTGGATAACTAGCTTCATTTTCGAAGGCCGCACATTCTCCACATTCTGCTTTTTGAGTTTTCTTATCACAGGCTAAAGGAAGATATTCATAAGAATTAAAATCAAGCAGATATTGTGTCAATATTACCGTCTGCAATTGAAGCAAGTCTTTAACAAAAACATGCAGCTCGGTAGCAAAACGCTTGGTGTGAATATAATGCACAGCAGCCATATTAATTCGCAATGTGGAGTCGCTATCTAAAGTCTTTAGTGCTTCCAAATCGACAAGCTTTCTAAAATCGCCAAAAAAAAAAAATGCCATGGTTAGCTTTAATTTTGAAACTAAAGATTCTGTCGGGCACTTACTTCTTGTAAACAAAGTTTAGGGCCTCCGTTCCGCTTGTTAGGAACTTTTGCTTGTAGATGCTTCCATATTTCGAGAGATCATTGACGGAAACGGATCCCAAGCAGCCCTCAACTATTTTACAAAAGTGGTCTTGAAGAATCACAAAGACAGCATTGGATACATTCACCCTGGACAAGAGAGACTCGTTCCGAATCAACGTGAAGTTTAAGCTTCTTATAGACACTTTAAGTCGGCTGCCAAACTCGGTTTTATCTGAAAAATAAAGCAATATGTTAAGAAAATTATTCTATAATTATAAAAGTGATACTTCTTACTTTGTTGAACTTGTATTTTCTCTTCGGTGACCTTTTCGTTGGAATTATCCACAGAAACCAGTCCAAAAAAGTCGAATATGGTGTACCAGCGTTCCACACAAATAGCCAAATTCAGGCAATTGAATTGTATGGAGCTCATCTGCTCCAGTTTCCCATTCTGAGCCGATCGACCAGTATGAGACTTGTAAATCACCAAAGTCTGGCTCTCTTTCTTTTTTCCAAAGTCGTTATTATTGCTGAAGGTGGATTTCTTCTCACCACTGAAGTTTTTCAATTGCATGTAGTCATAGAAGCCCGAGGGCACGGAATTGCATCGATGTCTTTGGGAATTCAGGAAGCTGGGCAGATCAGGACACGAGGAAGAGGACAGCTCATTCTTCCTCACATTCCTTTCGAGGTCCACAGATGTCACCATGTTTCTGAACGGTGAGCTGATGTCCGACTTTAGATCTTCCATTAGGACCGACTTTAAAATCACTTCCATATCCTTGTCGTATCCTTTTGCGATGTGCTTTACATTAAAGTCCTTGAAGGTCAGGTTGATAAGATCATTGTGGTATTCGTTTTGCAGGTTGATTTGAAAGACAGGCATGGAGAACTGAATTGTGGTGCTGATAATGTGAACCTCTTCGCTGCTTGAAGAAGGTTCACTGTCTCCATTTTGGTCATAGTCCTCGGATTCATTCAATGATCCATTCGAGAAATTCGTGGCAAATCGAAGGCACTCCAGAAGTAACTCATATTGCTTTCGATTAAGGGACACTTTTAAAGCTTCTACCATGCTTCCTTTTATCTGGAAATGAAGACATTTTAAAAACAAATAGTTTGGAATATGGAATATTATTTAATTACAGATACACTATTTAGCTCCTTCTCTGGACCACTGTCTTCATTGTAGCCCACATAGAGGTGCAAGGTGATTGCCGTGTCGTGAAGTATGGGTATTGCATCTTTATTTTTGGCTGGATGTACGTTGAAACTATAGTCGCTTTCATCCATATTCAGGGAGTATACGTAGGTGTTTGTGATATCTATGGTGTAGGACTCTTCTAGATCATCGCCATCGGATTTCGGGCAATTGGAGCAACTAATTTTTCCCAGATTGGCAATCAAAACATTCGTACTCATGTTGGAAATGGGCAGGATTATGATAGGACTGCTTATTATAATATCAAGCCTGCAAAAAGAATGTTTATAAAAGTGTCCTTGATTTATTTTGAATAATTGGAGTTTACCAATTTTCCTGACGATTTCGTTGGGGAGATATGGGACCTGTTTGCTCGGTGGCTCTTATTTGTTGCACAAATTCCTTGGCCATGTCTGTAGCTTTGTTACCAATTGAAGTAGCAAACTCCCTATAGGAATACATTTCAATTAAATAATTATATTATGAATTTTTATGGAGACATACCTTAAACTCCTTTTAAAATATGTAATGCAAGCATTCACGTCCCTCAGAAATCTTGGACAATGGGTATAGGAAGCTGAGGCCATTCGCATTTGAAAAGTACATGTGGTTTTGTCGCTCCAATGACTTTGGAAGCTAATGGCATCACTTTCGTCGCTCTTCTCTTCGTTGTAGTTATTGGAATAGATTTCATTGGATAGTTGGCTAAGAACTGTTTGCTTATTGGTATCAGAAGCTCTCAAGATCTGATCTCGACCAACAGAAAGAATTCTCGGATGACAAAAGGCCTCTGGCGTAATGTCAATGACTTGTATGCCACCGAGGGAGCCAAATATGGACAAATCCGATTGAAAGGAGGCATTTATCTTAGCTTCTGTAAGTGTCACAGTTCCTACTTTCCTGCCTATACTTATTTTTTCCCTCTTTATGGTGTAAAGCAGAAGGATGTTCAGTCGGAAAAAGTCAAAAGTGATCTTATTGTGGCTTGTTTGATTCACTTGATCCTCCAATTCAATTGGCTCATCAGGTGATTCTTTGGGAGGTACTGGGCTATCGCTTTGGAATATGTTTTGGGTGAGAAGAGTCCTCTTCGCAAAGTTCAGTATTTCAATAATCGTGTCTTGATTTGCTAAAGGAGGCAAAGAAACAGATATTACATTTTTTATTTGAATAAATCGAATATGTAGACCTACCTATGATGTCCAAACTGTTGAATGTAATGTTGGTAGTGTGAAGTTTGACGGGATTCGCAGGACCTTGTGGAACAATTGTGATGTCAACCGAGATCAGGGCTGTAGAGTCTTCATCTTGGCAGAACTCGGTTTGCTTATCTCCTAGAAATCAAGACATATGTAGCTTTAAACTATAGGAACTATAACTTTATATATGCTTATACCCATTTTAATATTTTGCACTGCCTTCGTTATCATATGAGGACTGGTAGCCCTGTCGAAGAAGTGAGGTGATCCAGGCGAAGTGGGAGAAACTACAGTACTATGTTTAAGACTTCCAGATAAGCTATCCATTCTAAAAAATTATATTAAAACATTAAAGATCGTGAAAATAAGGGATCTCCTTTTAAAATTACCCCACATGACGATGACTGGCCACTAGGAGTTCAAAATCAGGTCCAAACGACTGAATGGCATCCACCAACAGCAACCCGTGCACCGACATTGAAATTTTGGTTTCACTTGATTCTTTGGTTAGTCCGGCTCGTGCTCCGATGATTTGGAGCTCGGCTATGCTCCTATCCGTCGACTGCATCTCGATCACCAGTTGATCCATTACAAACTCAATCACAATCCTGCTCTTGTCGTCCTCGGCAAGGTTCTTGATTCGTTCACTGGCGTAGATGGTGTTGCCCCCTCGATAAATGTTATCCATTTCCTTCGAGGCCTTCACAATGGGTGTCATTATGGTGTAGCAGTTGTTTATGAGCTCCTCATTCCCATGGATCAGTATCGTTGGGCATGTGCCGAAGAGAACAAACGAGGGATAGTCTGGATCGACAGTGAAGATATTCCTCTGCTCGAAAGTGAGATTTATGTTGAACTTGTCAATCAGATGAAAGTTCGACGATGTCTTCAAGCAGGCTTGCCACCTCTCTTCGTACTTGCAGACCAACACTTGCAGGTTTGTAAAGTTTATCAGATACTTGTCGTATATCTTGTTGTGAAGTACGTACTCCAAGTGGACGTTCTTGTTCAGAAAATTTTCAATTTTCGAATTTTCAAGAAGAGTCGGAGAATCGGAACCACTTTTTTCCGAAGCCGGAGGAGTCGAACAAGGAGTCAGATAGGTTTCCTCGTCGTCGCTGTTGTTTTCGGATGCCGCCGTTTCTATCACAGGAATGCATTTTTTCACCTCCATTTTTCTCATTTCCAGTTTTCCGAAATCCAACAAGACCATCAACGAATTGCTAACTTTGTAGTTTTCCAAGAATATTATCCGAGGAGCAAAGATTTCAATTTCGAACATCCAAGTCTTTCGATTTACCTAAGAATAACAAAATATTATTAAATGCGTTTTAAAAGTTGTGGAAAATATAATGTTACCTCATTGCCACTGAATATTTGATTCCAGTTTTCCATAAAATCGGTTTTCTTCTCGATTCGATCCCGCGGTGAGGGTATTTTCGGATTTTGAACCGCCAGAAAATCTAAAAGCCACTGTATTGCATCCTTATTGTAAATAAGATCCAGGCCTTTCGACTTAATGTTTAGTTGAAATCGTAACTGGTTACAATTTTCGTATTGCAATTGGAACAAAATGTCCTCCTCGAGCGTCCCTTTGGCTATTTGGTTTGTTGAAGCTACACTACCCGTCTGCGGCTTAATTAAATAATTGTGCATCGTGTCACAGCTGGTTTTGTCAATCAGATAGACTTCCTGCAGGGATATGCCCACCGTATAGGAGGTTAGTTGTGGACTGAGTTGAAGGTAGGCCGAAAAGTTATTGAATTGCATCTCCATGGACTTTCTTCTACCGTCACCTAGGACTTCCTCAGTCTGCAGAATAACCAGGCCCTTCAGAAGCTTGATTGAAAAGTGCCCGAAAACAGCATCGCTCTTCAGATCCGAGTTATTTTGGAGGGAGTTTTCCAAAGCCACCAAGATATCGTCTTCCAAGTGTTTCAGCGATTCGTCCTGTTCGTTGTTCGGGGTGTTGGGATTATTCGCATACCAGCCCATCCAGTTTGGGAACCAGTGGAAGAGCATATTAGATCCCTTAACGTTTGGCGACTCGAAGGCAAAGCCGGTTGTAAAAACCTTTTCAAAGGAAATCCGTCTCATTATCTTTAAATCCAATATAGATCTGTCGCTCTCAAAGTAAGCCTTAAACTCTTTGTCTTCAGTGGATAAGTTTTCGTTGGGATTCAGTATAATAGCTTTGTAGAGCTTCATATATCGCAGGTTCTCCGTGAGTACCAGCCAACTTTCTTCGTTTTGCTTGATGGAGAAGCCATGACAATTGAGGGCATACTTCCACCACAGGCGGGGATTACTTTCTATACTGCAACTGGGCCTCTTTAACCTATACTGCCGCACCTCCTTGACTTGACGGATTTCCGAAAGCTTATCTAACATCTGCAACCGCTGGACCTGAAAAAGACAAACAAAAAGTAAATATTTTGATAAAAATGAATCATAATTAAACTCTTATCTATTTTTTTCGGGCCACAAATTAAACCTTGAACCTATCTACACATTTTTAACTATTTATAAGACTTGCCCAATTTATGATACTCCGCACCCGTGTAGAATATTCTCAAAACCCACCTTGGATATGTCTATGACCACCTCGGGCACCAGGATCTCGCAAGAGACCCTGGGTTTGTCTTTGGTTCGGATCACCTGTTGGCATTTGTCGCGCTTCCATCGCGCTGTTGCACAAATCGGCTTGATGATGAAATTGTGCGGCCTCTGCTCGCAGGTGGTGTGTAGTTTTTCAAGGATCTCCTGATTTGTGTACGACTGACATTTGATGTCCTCGTGCAACAGATCCCAGTACACGGAGAGCTCTTTGAGCTCAACCAGTTTGTAGTTCATCTCGCTGTTAGTCATTTTGTAGGAACCATTGGTCCAATCACAGTCACAGCTCTGGGCGGTCAGGGAGCCAATCTTGATGCCCGTACATATCCGGCTCTTGCCAGAGTCCACAATATCCTCGTACCGGAAGTGGACATCGGAGATCTTTAGCTCGATATTGTCGATTATGTTGGTGGCCATGTTGGTGCCGTACTTCAGCCAATTGTTGTACGACGAGAAGTAGTAGGACTCCATTTGCTGGCCCTTCTCGGACCGCCAGCCAGCCTCTGCAGCGTCCAGCACCGACAGCTTGTACTCCAGATCCTGCAGCCTCTCCTTTTCATGATCCCAGTTGTCCAGGTTCTTGGGGCAGATGATGCAGAACAGTCCCTCGATGGATATGCACCAGGGTGAGGTTCTGAACTGACGGACGGGGATCTGGAGCTTGATTTTCCGAATGCTTCCGGCGGTGACTTCCACTGGCAAATTAAAAGAGCGGAGGGCATCTTTGCGGATGGGTATGTTCTCAAGCTCGACTTCGCCTGGAAATTAATAAAGAGTAATAGAATGTATATTCGATGGAGGCGGAAAGATAAAACCAAAAAATTATATCACTTTCAAAATTTACCCGACAGCAGGGCCACAGACAGTTGAGCGGAGTTCAAGTTCTCCAGATATTTTCCCAGATACGTGTTCAACACCCACGTTATGAGGTCCCGTAACATTCTGGTTTAGTTACCACCGACCCTTATGCTAATTTTTAATATTTATTGTTGATTTACTAATGTTTTGGTTCTATTCTCGCGTTTTTCCACACTGGTAATCAGCTGTGCCACACCTGTGAGTTTTCCATTACTACTTTTATCGATAACTCAATCAAAGCCCCATCTCTAATCAAGTTAAAAACAAAAACTCTTGTTAGGACGGTTTATTTAACAAAATGTCTGATTCCAACACACCCAGAGGTGCCCTAAGCTTACAAGTAAGTTGTATTAATCTACCAATTTGTGGAAAATGATTCATTTCTCTTTTATTCTAGAACGTGCTGAAATACACCGTGCAACATCATGATAAAAACAGCACAGAACCCAATCCAAATGAAACGCCAGATGTTGAGGTAAGATAATAAAAATTATTTAATTAAACTGGCCTTTAAATGGTGGTTCTAGAAGGTAACAATCTTAATATAAGTCTCCTTAAATGCAACATGATTTAAAGAGCCAATTATTTTGGGTGACTTAACTGCAGTGATTCAATCGAAGCATCTAGAATCCCTTAGGCCATGTGCTTAATAAAATTCTTCCTTAAATGAAAACTTAAGCTATAATTATCATTTTCCCCTTTTAGAAAAGTAAATTCTTAGAGGAAGCGCTGACTGCCATGACCACAGATGCCTCAAAGGAACTGAAGGCTGCTCTGATTGTTTTGGAGGACACAGAATCGACTGTAGATGAGAAAAAGGACAGCTTTGAAGTGATCAGGAGCCACATTGATGACCTCGACAATGCAAACTCCCTGGTCAAGCTTGGCGGCAACAAAACCATACTTCGGTATATAAAAGATGATTCTGACAGCGAACTGAGAATATCTGCCATCGAAACGGTGGCTGAAATGTCTCAAAATAATATATTTTGCCAAAACGCCTTCGTAAATGATAAGTTTCTGCCAGAACTTACAAAGAATTTGAGTAACACCAACGAAAACATAGTTCGAAGCTCCATTTACGCGATATCATCCATCATTCGAAACTTTGAGGCGGGCTACAAAGAGTTTAAACGTGTCAAGGGCATCCAGGCACTAGTGCCCTGTCTGAAGTCCTCAAACACGAATCTTTACATAAAGGCGGCATTTCTAATAGCATCCCTAACGTCGAAGGACAAGGCTGTTCGAGAGGACTTTGTTAAGGCAGAAGTCTTTCCAGTGCTTTTGGACAACCTGAAGCCCGTAATCGAGTTTGATGTTAAACAAGAGACGACTCTGTTTGCATTATCCTCCCTATCGTTGGAAACGGATTTAAAATTATCCACTGAGAGGCGCAAGGAAGCTCTAGCTACTCTTGAACAGATTATTTCTAAAAATAAACAGTCTCAAGATTGTGAAGTAAGTTTAAAGTTAAGACGTTAAGGACAATAAACTAACTCTCGCTTTTTACAGGATATCGTTAGCTATGCCAGGACTATTGTTGACAATCTTAATGGCCCATAACATAACAAGTTTCTTGAATAAAAGTTAAAATATGAAGAAACTCTTTTGGATTTTATAACAAATTAAATTTATTTCCGACTTTTCCGGTTATGTTGGCAATGTATCAAAGTCATCCCCAACAGAAACTATGGGCACGTGCTCCAGGTTCACCTCTATCGGGTTGTCACATAGTCTATTTCGTTTTGCGCATATATTCCAGTCCATGACTTGAACGGCGTGCAGACTTTCGGCCTCGTTATGATGTCGCAACACCATTGATTCCTAAAATAAGTTCATAAAATGAATATATTTTTAAAACAAAAAAAGAGCTCTAGCAAACCTTGATTTTCTCCCACTTGTCATCGACATCTTGCAACCAACTGAGAAGCAATCGTCCATTGAATCGACAGCGGGCACTCTTCTCCTTCTCATCCTGCTCTGGGGTGATCAAGTTGTAGACCTCGTCGTCCTTCAAGTAGGTACACACGGAATAAGGCGCAGATTGGCCAGATATACTTCTGGCTGCCTTTGAATGGACCCGTATTATCTCCTGCTCTACGTTCAGGCAGAGCTTCTCCCGCTCCACGGTATGGGCCTGGATTAAATCTCGTCTTGCCTTCTCCTGGTCCTGGTATATTCTGGTCATTGCCTGAGGCACGGTGCTCGGTATATCCACGGCTGGGTTCTGTGCGTTTCGGCTGAGCAGATACGACTTTTTCGTCAGTAAGTAATCGTTGTAGCCCTGGGGAGGTCTCGGCTTCACCGGGTACAAGCTCTTCCACTTCTTTTCGATTTGTCGGCGGATGTTTAAGAACATCTGGAAACCATTGGTGAATGGATGATCGTGGGGATGAGATTCCTCGGAATTCACAGCCGCATCTAGGTTATTCGCATTTGAGTTCTTCGAACTGTCGTCAGTGTTTTTCGGCCTAATCTTTCGCTTTCGGGGATGGAGGTCAACGTTCGAGGAGGGGTTTATCTCCTTCGAGGAGGACGTTGATGATGTGGAAGGGCTCGGGACATTCGTGATTGTCTCCTGGTCAAACTGGTGACCCTGTGGAATGGGACTGGAGGTCATGTTGCTGTAGGACAGCTTTACGTCCGTCGTATCGTTGGCATGATTCGAGGAGGCTGGTGAAGGAGAGTTGCTTTGCATCTGTGGAGACGAGTTGTTCGAGCTGCGCTCTACATTGCGATGAGAGCTTCGCAGGACCCTTAAATTCTTCTCGTCATTGAAGAGCTTTATATTCTTGTCATCCAAAACAGTGGCACAAACAATGTTGCTCTTCTGCGGACTTTCATGAGGGCTTACGGACTGACTGGTAATCACAGTGTCGATGGAGTCGCTGTTCGAGCTCACCACATACGGGAGAGCTGCATTTCGCGAGGCAGTAACCTTTCCTGTCCTCAGCACATTTCCCTCGGTGTCTATGGAGCAATTTTGCTGGGGTATGACTATCTTAAGCGGGGGAACCTATTGGAAATATTTAAAATTATAAGTAAGAAACGATAATAGTCAATTTAAATATTACCTTGAGACCACCATTGTACAAGCTATCGTTGCTCTTGTAATCGTCACTGCCTTCGTTTTCAATGTCCGCATTTTTGTTAATCTCAGCCTGCTCCTTCTCGGCACTTGATGCGGTGATTTTATTGGCGGACGGTGAACCCTTGTTAGTCGCTAGCTTAGAGCCTTTCTCCACTCTGGAGGCGAGCTTTAGGGAGGCCCCCTTCAAGTCCTTTCCATGCTCCGAGTCTTTTCGCTTCTTTTTCTTAACGTCCTCGCCAGATTCCTCGAAGTCCTCCTCTATGTCCGAGTAACAGCGCTTCGCCGCTGATGTTCCCTGATGAGCTGAGTCCGAGTTCTTGCCATCGCTGCTGCTTTCCTCCGCGGAGGACTTGTCCTTAGTATCCAGAGTCTCTTGCTTTTCGTTCAAGTTGCTTTCGTCGCTTTCGGCATCTCCTTTCTTGCACTCATTCTTCTTTAGATTGGTTCGGGACGAATCTGGAAGGACGAAAACCTTATACAATACATTTGATGGCTGAGTATTTGAAGTTGATAGAAGCGAGAAGATATGATAGTTATGCTAGATAAGCTTCATTAAACTTAATAAAGACTAACAATTCAGTTTTTTAATTTTAAAACAATGCCGAAACCAGTTTTCCATAATTCAATCTGAGGGATACCTTTTTCCTTATACTTTTTTTTACATGCGCTTGAGTAACAGATACATTGTGTGTAAAATGTATATAAAAATGTGTGTACATATGTATGTAACTGGTTGCGATTTTTTATTGCAATAATACTGCGAAACCCGACACTTATTTGTTTTTAAATGTTTTCGATGCGAAGCATCACATTTTTACTCATATATTATTTACCACACATGTAATTAAAATATTATTTTGAAGCGAGAAACACCTTTGATGTTTACCTGTCGAGGAGGTGGCCGTCATTTGGATAAGCAAAGCCATCTGCTGCCTTTCCGACATGGGGGTATTTGCTGGGGTCGATCTGGCCTGGGTAACTCCTGAATTAAACGCTATCCCCTTCGGTCTTGGGGGTGGCATACTCTTTCTGTTCACTTTTATACGGGAAAAACTAAAATTGATAACAAAAACTTGGTTTTTAATTTTATAAATGCCCCACAATTCATAGAGCTGGAACAAATAAAATATTATATCGATAGTAGCCATATCGATTTAGTTATTTACATCTTTCTTAAAACAATACTCTGGAGGTTTATATAAAAACTGGATTTTTATGGCAGAAGAAATTTTAAAAATAAATCAAGTAAAATTAAAATTAATTATTCTAAAAAATAATTTAAAAATTTTAAATTAAAAATACTGTTAAAAACTTAAGTTAGTATATTTGCAAAAATACTAAAATACTATCGACTAGATGACTTCATTTATCGGTTTGTTTAGGTGTGCGTTGCAGTGTAAGTATTTTTATAAAATAAAAGAAAACTAAGCAGCTTGTGAAAGTGCTTTTAATTTGTAAATTCTGCTGTATGGAAATTGAAACGTTTGTGATAAGAACATAACTTATATAAGAAGGTGCACGTTGGTTTGTATTGAAAAATTCTATTCACACACATTGGCCCACACATACATATGCTTGTGTGTTGCAAGTAAATATAACCACGGCTGGTACTTGAAAAAAGTTTGTGCTGGAAAATATGATCTATTTGTCTTAGATTGATCTCCAAAGAATATTGTCTATCCCGGAAAATAGTTGTAAGTAATGCGGGAAAGGATTGCGACTCAGACTGCAACTCCGATCAGATTTCCATAATCCGAATCATAATGCTTATGTATTAATGGGTTTAATGTACATACTACACAGTGACTCATTTAAGTAATACACTATGCAATGGGTGTTTTGAAATCCTGTATATTTCTGTGACGCACTGCTTCAATCTTTTCCGGTCGAATACAGTTCCCCACTTCCACGATCTTAAAATACAGAGGCGAATGAATAGGGTCGGGTATATCCCATTGGCCAATCTTTGCGCAAACTAAACTAAAGTTTCCAATTAGAAAGGCGTGACGAAACAGAAGGCGTACATAGATAATTAAAACATACAACAATAATTACTGTTTGGCTCGTATGTGGGCTTATGAATATTTTAAAGATATAGATTTTTAGCTTTCTTAGGGTATGAGAATAATCGGAGTATGCTTCTTTTATTTTATGTTAATGTAAGCAATTAATTTTTCAATTCAGTTTTCTTTGATTGCTTTCTTCGCATAATGTTGCAAGGTGTGCCCCAAAAAAAGCCCCAAAGTTGTTGGTAGATTAACCGGCTAAAGAGTGTGAAGCAAAAAAGGTTATTCGATAAAGTAATCGATAAATATCCTTAAAAAGAAAGCTTACTCCTACCTAAGGAAACAGTTGGCTAATCATTTAATCAAATTCCAATAGGAACCTTCTAATAATGTTTTTTTTTTAATAATTTCTATTAATTATATTTAATTTAATAAAATGAATTAAAACTCCAAGTAACCTATCTCCATAATTTCCACATTACCTTTGGTAGTATCGCTTGAATTTTGGAGTTGCAACCCCTATTTAAACATTAAACATGCGCACTGAAAATTTTCTTTTACTTCTTATTGATTGACGGAGATTGAATCATTTTGATACGGTTAAAATGATTGTGTCTAAAACTTTAAAATCATACAGGCTGTAAAACACATTTATTAATTACATTTCTCCATTTTCAACCTCAAGATCATAACCCCCCGAAGACTAAAGTGCTTGAAAGGTTTTTCATTCGAATGTGTTTTCTAATTGCAGACAGAAAATCGAGAAAATCGGCAAAATGACGCAAATGTCGCAGGACGAAATAATATCTAATACGAAGACAGTCCTCCAGGGCTTGGAAGCCTTGCGAGTGGAGCATGTCTCGATTATGAACGGCATTGCCGAGGTACAAAAGGACAATGAGAAGTCCGAAATGCTCCGAAAGAACATTGAAAACATCGAACTGGGTCTGAGCGAGGCCCAGGTTATGATGGCTCTCACATCCCATCTGCAGAACATCGAGGCCGAGAAGCAGAAGCTCAAGACACAGGTGCGCCGGCTGCATCAGGAAAACGCATGGCTCCGCGACGAACTGGCCAATACGCAGCAAAAGTTCCAGGCCTCCGAACAACTGGTCGCCCAGCTCGAGGAGGAAAAGAAGCATCTGGAGTTCATGGCCTCTGTGAAGAAGTACGATGACAATCAGGAGCAGGACGACACCTGCGAGAAGTCCCGCACCGATCCCGTTGTAGAGCTCTTCCCCGATGAGGAAAACGAAGACAGAAACAATATGTCTCCCACTCCGCCCAGCCAGTTCGCCAACCAGACGTCGGGCTATGAAATTCCAGCACGTCTGCGTACTCTCCACAACCTGGTTATTCAATATGCTTCACAGGGCAGGTAAGTCTGCAAAGAATCAGATACTCGATGGAGGTTCGAGTTTCCATATGGAGTCATGCTTCTATACTTCTTGAATTTGAGACATTATAGACATATAGAAGCATTTGTTTTGCTGCAATTGGTCTGTAATGCTAGCATGACGGGATAAGGCTGTTAATATTATTAACAAAAATATGTTTTCTTTGCAGATACGAAGTAGCCGTTCCCCTTTGCAAGCAAGCATTGGAAGATCTCGAAAAGACCAGTGGCCACGACCACCCAGATGTCGCAACAATGCTGAACATTTTGGCGCTTGTTTACCGCGACCAGGTTCGTACCGGCTTTATTAGATTCATTCATTTCTTCCCCGATTCATGACACTTGATCCAATTTAGAACAAGTACAAAGAGGCCGCCAATTTACTCAACGATGCTCTGTCGATTCGTGGAAAGACTCTGGGAGAGAACCATCCAGCCGTAGCGGCAACCTTAAACAACTTGGCTGTGCTTTATGGCAAGCGCGGCAAATACAAGGATGCCGAACCCCTTTGCAAACGTGCCTTGGAGATCCGCGAGAAGGTCCTGGGAAAGGATCATCCCGATGTTGCCAAGCAACTGAACAATCTCGCTCTGCTCTGCCAAAATCAGGGTAAATACGATGAGGTTGAGAAGTACTACCAGCGAGCCCTCGACATCTACGAATCCAAGCTTGGCCCCGACGATCCGAATGTGGCCAAGACAAAGAATAACCTGGCCGGTTGCTACCTGAAACAGGGAAGATACACCGAAGCCGAGATTCTTTATAAGCAGGTCCTGACCCGAGCCCACGAGCGAGAATTCGGAGCCATCGACAGCAAAAATAAGCCCATTTGGCAGGTGAGTTACCACATACAGACTAGAGTTATCAAATTTTAATTATTTTATATTTAAATAGGTGGCTGAGGAGCGAGAGGAGCACAAATATGATAACAGAGAAAACACCCCCTATGGCGAATACGGTGGTTGGCATAAGGCTGCTAAAGTGGATTCCCCAACTGTCACAACCACTCTAAAGAATCTGGGAGCCCTTTACAGGAGGCAAGGCATGTTCGAAGCTGCCGAAACCCTGGAAGACTGTGCAATGCGAAGTAAAAAGGAAGCTTACGATCTAGCTAAACAAACCAAGGTCTCACAACTGCTAACATCTAACGAGAAGCGACGATCCAAGCAAATTAAGGAGGATATGGATTTCTCTGAGGAGGTAATTTTAATAATATATTCATAAAATTGCTCTTTAATAACCAATTGTCTTTTAAATGTTTCAGAAAAATGCGAAACCGTAAAAAATTTCATTTGTTCATCGCCCTCAACGGAATCTTTATGTTTATAATTGAAAGTTAACAACAAAAACAATTTATTTATTCATTCCTTAATATACATAAGCTCGCAAGCATACATTAGCAAATAAACAAGGTTTTATACACTGTTATTTTGTCAAAATTATGTACCGCTTTTAATAATAAACCAAATATATTTAACAGAATTTTTACACAATTTAATCGTACTACATTTATATAAAATATTTGATTGAGGGGGGTTTGTTTTATGCTATTAAATACAAGCAACAAACAAATATGAGAAGATTCTCGATAAGATATGGCTAGTCACTATCATTGTCGTTTAAAATGGACGAAACTATTCCTGCAAACTGCTCAGCCCGATCGAGGAACTGCTCCCGAGTAAGGCTTGTGTCATTTCGAAGACTTTGAGCAGTCAGGAGCAGGTTTTCAAAGTCCCTCAATTGGCTATCCAGCTCGTCCGTGCTCATTTCTGGTTTGGATTCTGAAATTGTAATATATTGATAACTTTTTCGATTGCAATTATTAGTGGGCTACCTTTGGATCCATAATTAACATTAGACCAAACTATGTTCTTTAAGCCTTCCACGACTTCTTCGTAGCCGTTTTCAGAGTCCTCCGGATCAGTTTCATCATCGCTATTCAGGGTTATCACGTCAAAAAAGAAGTTCGTGCGCTCCTTCAAGTCCGAGATGGACACTCCATTGGATTCCGACAGGTTCGAGGATGTTAACAGAAAACCCAGCTGGATTTGATGGTTTTCGGCTAGAGTTTTGGAAATGGAGTCGATAAAGGAAGTCTGCAATGTAAAGATAGTTATATTATTTACAAAATCAGATTTATGAATCATGTTTACGTACTTCGGTTGGATCAAAGTAAATAATGAGGGCTTCAGTCGCTTTAAGTATATCCTCCGGTACATTTTCCAATTTGCCAGCGGCAGGAACTAAGTTTATGGTTGTATTGTAGTACTTATTTTTAATTGTACATTTATAAAAATTAAGTGAACACTCTGTTGAAGTCGGTTCTTTTGGTTGATCCATTTCTGATAAAATGCCTTAAAAAAGATGGAAACATAAACCCAGTTATATATTACTACTTTCAAAAATAATTAATAAATAATTCATTACCCTCGGCTATTTCCAAAGGAGTCATGGCTCCATAAGAGAGTATTAGGACGGCTGGATCCATTTTATAAAGTTTACTTAACTTGTTTTTTTGAGAAAAAATAAAATGTAAACACCAGTGTGACCAAAGCTTGGAAATGGAAACTTCCCACCCTGGAACAGGTGAAAAAGCTCAGATTTAAGTATGGTATTCCCCATGAATTCAAATTTTTAAATAAAATAATGCACCTTTTTTCTTAATTTATAAAATTGTTTAATGCATCTAATTTTTTTTATGGCAACATATTTTTTGTTATGTTTACTTAATATAGTAATAACTAAATACTTTTATTATATTGTTGTAACAATTGCTGATAAGTCATATCACATTTAAGATTCTCTCCAACATCGTTTCCGTAAATCTTCTTGGCCCTATCAAAGGCCTCTATAATGCATGATCTAAAATAAGAGATTTATTAATAATCTGCGGTTTCTTTATATAGGTAACTATAACCCACCTGAAAAGTTTCTGGTGCAGAACGTAGGCGCTAACGTGACCAGCATCCAAATAACGCACCTCAGCTCCAGGCCAAATATCCTCGAGGCTGGAACAACCCTCCCGAGGCACATAGGCATCGTCTTTAGCACATACCGCAATGATCAGGGAGGTGTCGAATGGAACCGAAAAGTTTTTCAGGTGAGTGCACTCGTCCATCATGCCACGCATAAACTGCAACGCCTCCCGTTCCCACCAGTTCGTCTTGGTTATATCTATTTTATCAGATTTGTTCTGAGCCGACAGGGGCAGGATGAATTTCATGAGGTTTGTCAACGTCGAAGTCGATGCCTTGGGAGATGGTGGTTCCGTTTCAATAGCTACCTTGGGAGCCATGTCGTCTTTTAATTTTAAAGTTAGATTATCGGTGTCAACTTTTGTGTTCTTTAGGGATTGGCTCAAGAATATTGAACTGTCGTTTTGGGAGCAATTGGCCTGCATCTCATATTTGTCGCCGCAGGTGTTGTTCTTGAGCTCCTGGATTTTTCTAGTGTCACTTATGTCCTCTTTAAGCTCGTGCAGGGACTGATTAAAATTTTTAATAAAACTCTGGCCAGCAGAGAATGCATCGTCAATAATAGTGACCATTTTAGAAAGACGTTCCCTAAACTGTCCATCGGAGAAGTACTGCGTTTCCAGCATATCCCAGTTAATGGATTGGCTCATAACACCCTGGAGAAATGTTAATTTGGATTAGTACATTATATTATTTATTAATATTGTACTTACAGTTGTAAAAACAGCAGATGCAGTGGACCAGGAAAGGCAGGGAACTAAAACAAGAGGCTTTGGCCAATTGGTTGCAGCTAAAGATGCCATCTACAAAGGGGTGTAATCATAAAGCTTAAGTTCGAGAATTCTGGAAGAGTTCCTTACATGTCCACCCATTGACAAGCCAGTCACACCAAGAGGCCCAAATCCATTTCTCTCGCACCAATGCAAAAGCACCAGGCACTCGAGAATGAGACATCCCCCCATCACGAATATATCCGACACATTATGCAGGTTTGATCGTCTGAAAGAAGATTTATAATTTTTAAAGGCAAATGTTATATTATCTAACACTTACGTTTGGTCATCAGGTTTTCTTACTCCGTAAAAGGGGTTTTCCAAGATAATGGATCCGATGTTGGCGTCTTTCAGCAAGGGCTTTGCAATAAAGTTTCTCCTTCGCCAGAAGAACTGCAACAAATAAATATATTAGAGCAAGTATTGGTAAAGCTTAAAAGGTAATAGTTTTGATATATGTTCCCAAAAGAATATTTGTTTGTAAATGAGAAAATAATTGGAGAAATAAATACTGACATTGCCAATCTTTACATCTTTAACTTATTAACTATTTTCTTTAAATGACATTAATATGAACTTGTGTGGGTATTTGAAATAAAGAAATAATAAGATCATTTAGTATTAATATTAGTTATTTAACTAAGAAACGGAATTTTCTTTGTGAGACCCACTTTTGGCTAATTGTTGCTAAGGCCGATCGCCTGGCGTCAGGCCTCTATTGAAAGTAAACAGACATTAAGGCAAAATTAATGCAAAGATGCAAGCGTACTCACATGGTCCCCAGTTCCGGCCAGGTGAATGCACACCGGCTTGTGCTTCTCGCTTTTCCACTTGTTGGGAATCAGGAGTTGAAAATGGGCATGTTTGGAGGCCTTGGGAACTACTCCGGGTAGGTGTAACTCGAGTGGAGTTATGAATTTCCCTTCAACCAGAGTGCTTTCTGAATAAATTTCTTTTTTTGTTATCTCCACCGGATAATCGCGGGGCACAAGCTTGAAGCATGATTCCCTATTGGATATGATTTTTCGGAACTGAAACACTCTGAAATAATTGCCGTAAAAATAAAGACAAATTATTAAAATTTAAAAATTGAATTGAAAAATTGAAAAAAAAAGGTCTAAAATGTTTCAGTATTTTGAACTTCAGAGAAATTTTCCAATATATCCTTAGATTTTAAATGAATAACTGTATAACCTTTTTTCTAAAAATCCTATTGTAAAAAGTCTTAACTTATTTCCTCTTCAAAACTAACCTGAACAGGATTACAAAAAAATGCAGTCATATCCAGTCTCCACTGACGTTAGGTATTTAACTGAAATGTAAATGTTTATTAACAAAAAGGATTCCCAAGGGAATAACAATATTACATTTAAAATATTAAATCCCTAAACCAAAGATCGTTTCAATATTAATCGTTTATACTATCGTTTCTTTAATCGTTTATACTATTAAGGAATTGTTTATTAAAAACAAAAATTAAAAATATTTCGGAAGGATCAAAATTTGGAACCTTTTACCCTGAAGTTCAAATAATATTGGATGGTGTCTTTTGAACTCTAATATTTTTTAATCGTTTTTAAAATTTTTGAATTAAATGAGAAACATGCCATGCAAAAATAAGTGTGTACCATTGAGGTCCTTTACTGTGGTAATTGGTGAATGAAAAATATGTAAGCCTTTTAGCATCGGGAAACAGGAGTCCTTGAAACAAATTACTAATGCAATTTTGTGGGATCCTTGAGTTTTTGGCAATGTTTTTGAAAATATATATAAATATATTTAAAACTGCAAGGATGTATTTTTGAATGCAATATGTGTGTATTTTTGGTCAAGGATACCTTTATTTTAATGTCAGTAATCAAAAATATAAAATAAATGTAACTAATTATTGTATGTAAAAGTGTCATTTGTTTACAATCACATGTGTATTTACATTATCAATTGTTATCATGCCATAAATCACCCAAAGCAATTCAATTAACTCGGATGTTTTGTTACGTAAAGAAGCACCTTTTGAATCAAAAATAATATATATTTCTACAACTGCTGGATAATCTTACCTGCGCAAATTTTCTGGCTTTCCCCATCCTTTTTCGAAGAATCTTGTTATCAGCATTCGCCGGTAAAGACTATCAAGTTTGCTCGGAGGCATATTGATCTGCTTATTTTCTGCAATAATAACAAACAACACGTCCGATAGAGATGGTAAGGAAGCTTAAGTGACTATCGATAGTGGATGGGACCATCCATGGTGATAAGACTCGCAATTTAATTTGGATTATTAAATATTTTTTTTATTGAAGCTCCAAAGGCTGCAAGTTTTCTTAATAAATTAAAAAAAAATGAGAGAAATGCGAAAAATTTTGTTTTGACATTAACGTCATTTGTAGCATATTTTTTTTTTTTTTGATTTGGAACGAGTGAAAATGAAATGCGGTATTTTTTTGAATAGCAGTCTACAAATATTTTGTTAAAATAAAATTAATAGAATGAATGGCTTTATTGACTCCTTTTTTACATCTTTAAAATTAAGCACGAAATAAAACCAAAAACATATTTATGTTTGTATATATAGTATGCAAAAGCCACCTCTTTTGAGTAGTGGGGGAGTGGGAGACTATTTTTTATACCTGTAGGTGGGGAAGTAATAAAAAAAAGGAAGGAAGTAATTACCCAGACATTTATATGGTATTTTCAAAAACGCTATTTAGTTAGATGATCTCACTTTTCTCGAGGAACATGAGAATTGTGAGTCATCATAGCCCATCCAAAACTATTTAAAAAAAAGAGAAAAACCCTTATGATAGATACAATTCTTAGTCTCAGTTTTTATTACATTATGGCTTATAAAATATGTTACTTATTTTCCTTTGGTAGTTTTATCCATACGATACGTATACACTACATTTATATTTGTATGTAAATTATGCTTGTTTCGGGCAAATCTAATTCGTTAAAAAAATTAAGTTTGCCCTTGTAAATACTTTATTAAAAGATTTTATAAATATACAAATAATTTATCGTAGCACATTATGCATTGATGTTTCAACACGTGCATTATGTACATATCTAACTTAATCCAATGTTGACTCGGCTATATGGTGTAAATCTGAATAATTAATTATTGCGCGATGTAGGAACTCGTATTGTGCCTAAAAATGTAAATATCCATACAATTATTTTATGAATTTATATCATAATTCCGATAAAGAACTTACGTATGAGTTAATAAGTCCCGTTCGCTGAGATCGTAATTTCCTTGTAGTGGCACAAATGTCGACACACTTTTCCAATCTAAGATGCTGGACTAAAATGCACATGGCGACGAATATAGAACTTCGGTCAGTTCCCAGGCTACATTAAGCAAGAAAAAATATTTAAAATTAGTGTTTAACGATTAAGATTAGGTAATCTTTTAATTACCTGCAATGAACTGCGAGTGGAGAACGGCAACCCGAATTTTTATGGCTTTTGTAGTGATTGTAGGCTTGATCTACAAGTTCAATAATGCCCCGACAGACTTCAGGAACTTCTCCGTCCACTGTCGGCCAACCATTGTACTGAAACTGTGTGACTTTCAGCGTATCATCTATTTTGCAATTCGTGACGTAGAATTCGCGACGAGTATAATAGGGACAACTTTCGCTGTGCACATATTTCACAAGAATATGGTCGTATTGAACCTCATCGTCTGCCCAATATCTCGGACACTTTCTGGGGCCATCTCCAATCTAATAAAAGAAATATATTATTAAATATAAGGTTTAGTCAAAGAATATATGTAATTACTTCAGATATCATAATCAGCGTGGAAACACTCTGTTCAGAAATCATTCTCCAGAAATCCCCAATAGTGTTCTCAAGTGGATCCTGGGCAATGATAAAGGTTTCGCTATTGTCATAGCCATCTATGAACGATGCATTGATATACGTAGAATTATCCCGCATTGGAAGTGGAGTCAGTATTACCTAAAATGTACAAGTTAGTAGGAAACATTATAAGTCTATAGATTTTAAAGGAATATTATTAAAACGTACTCTATTACGATCGTAGGGAATGACCTCCTGGCTTCTGTTCTTCATGGCATTCTCCTCGTTCTCGCCCACACAACACGATTTGCTAATCTCATCCGCCGTAGCCAGCAGTTTCTGTGGGGCAATCATAGAAATAAATAATTAGGATAGAGCTATGCTATTATTAGACGAACCTCGAATTCCAGTTCCAATTTGCATTTTCCATTGGGCTCATTGGGTTTGCGCTTTAGTGATTCAATCGCTGATGTCATGTTGCTAATATTAATATCCGTATTTCCAAAAGTTCCAGTGTCCAGAAGAGCGCGATAAAGGAAGATGTATTGTTTCTGTGGAAAAAAAACACGTTACTCCCTGAAGCGGGAATAGGATTCAATGGCAACTCACCAAGGATTGAACTAAAAAATTGCGTTGATGTCGTAAATCACACACGGTGTTATATATCGACACCGAGTCTTCTTCCTCCAATTGTTGGATGAGGGAATCTAAAGCAACTAGGGTTCCAGTTCTACCGACACCGGCACTACAATGGACTAAGATTGGGCCCCTTTGCAGGGAGTAGACGGAATTAATTTGACGTATGAACTTAATGATTCCATGTGGATGCTCCGGTGCCATAAAGTCTTTCCACGTTAAATAGTGGTATTGGGTGATTTGTCTTCGATCCTCCTCCTCGCCCACATTGGCCTTGTTCTTTGAAACGTTAAGTGTCCTCTCAATATAGTCTCCAGTCTTTCGCTCATGTGCAAATTTTACTAAAATATCTCCAAACTGCTTGGTATCAAATACTTTTTCCGGCCAGTATTTAGCACACTTGGCCTTGTTATATTCCTCCAAATTGGTAAGCATCACAATAATTTCCAGATGTTGTTCCCAAATCATTCGCCAAAAGTCATCGATGGTGCTCTCCATGGGTCCCTGGGCGCAAATAAACTTCTTTCTCTCCTTGTATCCAATAACAAAGTTGGCATTTATGTAGTCAGTGGTTTGTAGTCCATTAATAGGAGCCAGCTTGACTCGCGTCTGATCGTAGGCCTTAATGTCGGGGTACCTGTTCTTGCAGGCGTTTTCTTTTAAATCACTATTCTTAGTTGTACGATCGCTAAAGCGATTTGGCAGCAGTTCGTACTCCCGAAGGAATCCGTAGTCGGTGTCCTTGTGGCGGTTTTTATATGCGTTTTCCAGATCAGATCGATGAATGGGTCCAGAATCGAAGCCCTTGTGGTTTCCAGATGTAATAAAATGGCTGTGGTTGTGGTTGCTGCGCCCGAATAAGGCCCTGATAGGAAAGTATTAATGATTATTATAATTTTAAATCATAAAATATGATTTTATCTCCATTAGTTACCTTAAAGAGTCTCTTAAGGTTAAGGTATCTTCTCCTTGTAATGCATTTTTTGATTTCTTGTGATGGAAAACCCACAGCACAATAAGCAGGACTAGGACACAACAAATTATAGGTCCTGCCTTGATCCCAATGCTTAGGTATGTGTCCATATTATTCATCGAGTGGATTGGTTCAGCTTCTGTTGCGGGAGTCATCACATCAAAATATTTGCTGTATGCCATAAGCACATTGTTTCTATCCCGAACTGGAAAGAAATAAAGCATAGAATTTAATTTAAATTGTGAGTGAGTGAATAGCCACTTACCTATTATCTCAAGAAATCCCGTGTAGTTTGAATTTATGTCTATCTCCCCATCCCAAACTTCGCGACTAGTATCGTGTGATGGCACATTGACTTTACCGGCAAGAATTTGATTCTCATCGGTGGTTACGGCACTTCTTCTGGCCCGCGGCTTGTTCTCCAAGATCTTGAGAGCATGCTCGGTTAAATTGGCTCCCTTGATCAAGTTGTCCTTCTCCGCCAAGTGAAGATCGGCTTCAGAGTCTGCAAAAAAAAGGGAAAATTAATATATACGAGCTCCAATAAAATACAAATAGTTTCCTTACTTGAAAGCGAACTCAAGGGAGGTCGTTGTATCTCGGGTTTTCTGAGGAACGGAGTGCCCTCCAAACACCTTCGACAAATTTCGTCGTTCTCCTTGACAATGTCATTGTTCTCCGAAAACCTTATTTCGTCGCCCAAAAATATTTCTGGCCTAAAGTGCTTGCCACTTAACATTTCGGCAATATAGGCACTGCTCCTGGTGACATTATCGCTCTGAATCTGCTGATATGTGACGACATTCAGTTTGTCCGGCTCCGGCAACTCCTTGTCGGCATTATTGATCTTAACTAGATAGAGCCGGTAGCAGCATATGGGACCGTTCCTCTCACTGATTCTGGGCAGATACAGCTTGAAGACATATTTGGAGCCCAGGTTAACTTTTGTCCACATCGTTCTGCCAATGTTGTCCGGCGTGGAGACGGGCATCAGACAATTTCCTCCTGCTGGCTCTCCATTTTTCTTGTGGCGGGTTATGGCCGAGACTGTAACCGAGTAGTTGGTATTGGGGCTGACGTTTTCGTACAGGGTCTTGTGGTGGGGCTCGTCGATTCTCCGAATTTTGGGACCCCACATGTCCAAATCCACGAGGCTCATCGATTTGCCCTGCAGGTTAATCATGTAGGAGACCACCTTCCCGTTTGGAGTCTTCGGAACGTCCCAGCTGATGGAAATAGAATTGCTGCGCGTAACATTGTCGTGGTGGCAGTTGACGGAGAGGTTGGTGGGCTTGGTAGCAACACCATCCATTGTGGTACCGTTCACGATCTCCGACCATGGTCCGCATGTCTTTGTCAGATCACTGCAGGCCCTCACCCTAAATTCGTAGTCTGTGGCTGTTTTTAGCTTATCGAACATGTATGGCAAGTTGCGGGAGTTCTGCTGGTAAATGGCCTCTTCAATCACCTTTGGCACTTCGCCGGACTCGGAGACAATCAGTTCATAGTACTGGACATATTGTATAATATCACTCGGCGGTGGATCCCAGCCGATCGTTATCGTTGATGCAGTGCTGCCGGTGGACTCAACTTTGGGTATAAAAATGGGATCAAAACTTAAGGTTGTCACATTGAAGGGGTACTGGGTGGGTGTTCCATCGCCGATCGAGTTCTTGGCTGCGATTTTCAAAATATAGGTGGTGTTTGGCTTAAAGTTTTCCAAAATATACGATGTATGGTTGCCGTTGATGGCCTGCTTATAGTAGGTAAAGGTCGTGTCACTTGGCTCCTTGTGGCTCACAAAAAACTTCTGAACCGGGTCGTTGCCATCATTTACTGTCCAGTTGATGTATATTTTATTGGCACCCACTGCCTTGGCGAAATCAATGCTAACTTGTGGCTCTTCCATCACATAAAGTGTAATCTCCTTGGCGGCCACCTCAAGGCCATCGTTATTGGATACTGTGCACTTGTAGGTGCCGTTCTCCTTCTTGTACACTTCTGTGAACTCCAAGGTAAAGTTTAAATGCGTCTCGTTCAGCTTGGTGATGGAGGAGAAGGTATCCAGGAAGTCAAAGGGGTTTCCATCTTTCAGCCACTTGAGGTTCTTCTGCGTCGTCTCATTTTGGGGATACACTTCAATAAAACAATACAAAAGCCCAGGCTGGCCGGTTTTCCTCTTGATCCTGTCGGCGGTGCTTTGCAAGACCTTGGATGGTAGGTAGGATTGTACACTAAAATCAGTCGAAATGTTTTTTTCTGCATCCGTGGTGCATGAATAGTTTCCAGAGTCTTTTATTTCCACATTACGAAGAGTCAGTACGTTCCTATACTTGATTACTTCTTCATTTTCGTTGTCGCTACCGTCGTTTTGTTTTAAAGATTCGGTTCTGATGTGAAACCTGAAAGATAATGTTTGTTATAATGTGATTTATGAGTATAGCTATGCTAGCCACTCACCTTGTGTTGTTTTTATCAATAGTTTGGTTTCCAAATTTCCAAATAACAACATCTTTCTCAGACCCGCACTCTAAAGATAAGTTTCTTCCTATCTCTGCCCATTCTGAAAGAGGAAAAAAGTTTGTAAATAATACAAATTATAATATACTACTAGGGATAAGACGTGACTAATTCATTCATCAGTCTGAGTGGCATAAAAATGTCTTGCTAAAATATCCACTTAATTACTATGACTAAACAATGGACTTTCTGGCAGACGGCACAAAATAGTTCATAAAATACACGATTAATGGCCAATGTAATGTTGGAATCAACACGTATTACGATTAAAGTTGCATTTTCAGATAAATGCAGTACATCGCGACTATGAATAAGCACAGACTTGTGTACATAGGCACGTCGGTAGGTATGTATGTATGTATATATGAGCATCATCGGGTAGTACGTATGTATGTATGTACATATGCTCGACTACTTTGTTTACGGCAGCCCCCCAACAAAAATCTCACCCCATTCCGTAATCTTTGGGCGTTACCGACAAGTTCTCCCGCTACTGAATGCGGGAAACCCTCTACCGATTGGTCTTAATGGCCCTCTCGTATCATGGATCGCTCCAATTAATTGTAAAACATTCATTCATATTCGCAAAAACAAAAATAGACACTTTTTTGTTGACACCCACTAAACCTTCTTGATGTACATATGTACATATGTGTGATTGTCTGCATGGTGGAATTATGTTTTCCGCGACAGAAGGCTTACAAAAAAAAAACTCTGGCTCTTTGCTGAAGGATTTTACCTTGTTTCACCGATCCCCGCACACATATTGTGCAGAGAAAAGTATATGAAAGGATTATATTTAATAGCATTGACATGCGTCGGTTAAAAAACGCCATGGCTTGCTAATTCTCACTCCTAGCCGGATAAATACATATGTCGAAAATTAACTTCGATGGTTGCGGTTAATAAAAAGCAATTCCACTAATTAGTAAATGTTGGGGCCGCCCAGAAGCGGTGAAAATGTATTTTTAATACACTAATTAATAGACGGCAACCGCGAACGAATATAAGTTTTCGTTATTTTTTTGCGATGTGCGGTGAGTATCGATATGTCTATATACAGTCTATGGTGGTGGCACAGAAACCCAGTGGAACAGTGGAATCGAAACCTGGTGGTTCCGATAGTTTTTTAAACTTTTATTTTTTTATTATTTCAAGCAATTTGTTTGTATACATAGATGTTTATAAACTAATTAGTTTAAGTTGCTATCTATTTCTGTTATCTCTTTTTTGGTAGATTAATTTAAATTATATTCAAAATTATTCCGATATTTAGTGTTTAGAGTAGTGTTGTTATCTTGGCACAAGATGTACAACACTTAACCAAAGTAAACTAGCCGGCATTGTTTGTGCGCGTTTTTTTGCAGAAAAAGATTAGAAAACCAGGAAAAACATGAAATTAGTGAGGTAAGCCGTATATTACAGAACATTACTATCGCCATATCTACTAAAAGTCTTAAAATTGCTGATATTCCGACATTTGAAAGTTGCTGTTTTACACATGTCTCGAGGGATGCCACCGATTGTTGTATTTGTAAATGATTTTTGTTGAAAACTCAAAATATAAATGAAAATCTTTTTTAAGAAATGCTAGTTTTTGAAGCTTTATAAGTTTGCAATAATGTATTAAAGCTTTTGTTTCAAAATTACATATGTGCCTATGAATTTTGCATTTTGCACGACCAGTCCTCTGGTGTCTCACTTTCAAGAAATTAGTATGGCCAATTTCCAGAGCCTCAAGTAAATCTCGTTTCAATACAAACATGCAACTAGTTGCTAGAATTAGAAAGGATTCTGTTTATTTTTTATTTGCCAAGAATATGTAGCGATATTTAAGGTTTTCAAGATACTGGCCTTTATTTTTTTTATAGAAAATTGCTAATATCCTATACATTTTAGGTTTTTAATGAAGTTGAGTCACGAGACTGTGACCATCGAATTGAAAAATGGCACCCAAATACATGGCACTATCACTGGTGTGGATGTGGCTATGAATACTCACCTGAAGAGCGTGCGGATGACCATCAAGAACAGGGATCCCGTCCATTTGGAGACACTGAGCATTCGCGGCAACAACATTCGATACTTTATTCTGCCGGACAGTCTGCCGCTGGAGACGCTGCTGATAGATGACACCCCCAAGTCCAAGACAAAAAAGAAGGACAGTGGCCGTGTGGGCAATCGTGGTCGTGGCCGAGGAGCTCGCGGACGAGGTGGACCACGGGGACGCGGAAGGGGCCGCGCAACCGGTCGGCGCTAACTTTTGTAACTAATACATTTAATAAAAAAGTTTCGATAAATATAGTATATATATTCTTTGGATAAACTTATATGTTTGTAAATTTTTAAGATTCTTAACTCCAAAGTCATGATCATTCATGGAATCTTGCGAGTATTCTTGAAAACCGATGTAATCAACAATTAAATCGAGCGAAGTAAGCAATGAACGCCATACAAGTAACTTGATTACATCGATTCTTTAATAGTTTTATGATAATAAACAATATTATGCAAAAGTTTTAAAACTTATACCAGAATAGACATAATTATTTATCTCCTTTTGCCAAACAAAATGCAGGCAAAATGCGCAACTCCATCACATTGTTTTATACTATACGTGGTGATGAACACTTAACCGCTATAGAAAGTCGTAATCCTAAGTAATGCCATGGATCAGCGTAAAAGATCAAAGTCCTGTCAAGTTTCTGTTGTTGTGTTCGAACGAATACTCGTCAATCGCATTATTTGCATCGGCGTTTAAAAATAAACGCTTTTACTTGGGTTTCCTATATATATGTATATATCCTTTAATTCGACTGATTATGATTGGAAGAAACAAAAGTGTTGCCCGATCTTCGTGGTGCTATTCGTCACAGCATAGTCCTTTAATCGATTCATTGACGGTTAAAGAATCCCAAATTCTTCAAAGAGACGTTATACCCAAAAGTATTTGAAAGACTTGGAGACTCGAAATCGCATCGTTTGTGAACGATAAAAACTTATTTGATTCCTGTATTAAGAAGCTTCCGGTAGCTTGTCATTTTGGGCGAACCAACTAAAGGACCTAAGCCCTCTGAGCGAACATTGCTGTGGGACTTTCTGCAGTCAGAGAAACGATCGCACTATGGTGACCACTTACCACATCGAAGGAGCGGAATTTCAGGCCAATCGGGTGGCAATATTATGCAATGTATGATCTGTAAAATTATAATTCTGGTTACCAATTGGTGCGAATAAACTAAAATCAATAATCCACATACGCAAGGAAACAAACCCTTAAAAGTATGCTATAAATATAAAAGTTTATGCATCCCTTATAAAGAGGAAGTCAGCACCTAAAAGTATGCACGAAATATTGGATAATAACTGAATTTCCGCTTTCATAAACTATAAATTTATTTAAGTGTGATCCTAGGGACTTAAAACTTTAGACTCTAAACTTTATGGTACTTTATTTCCTCGTCGTAGGTGCAATTTAGTAGGGGTACCCTTGAAAAAAATTCGAAAAATTAAAAATCGATATTAAAGCAATGTTTTGAAAATATTCGAAAAATTAAAAATCGATATTAAAGCAATGTTTTGAAAAAATTCGAAAAATTAAAAATCGATATTAAAGCAACGTTTTGAATGAGGGTTTTCGCTTCTGGGTTTGCTGATTATAAATTAGTACTTTATTTCCTGATCGGATACAAATAGCTAGAGCTATGGCCATCGGAAGGAGCAAAAGTGGGGAATGTGGGAAAACACACAATTTTGTAGGGGTACCCCTTGGAAAAAATTCGAAAAATTAAAAAACGACATTAACGCAATGTTTTGAATAATGAAAGTCGCTTCTGGGTTTGCTGATTACAAATTGGTACTTTATTTCCTGATCGGATACAAACATCCAGAGCTATGGCCATCGGAAGGGGCAAAAGTGGGTAAGTCAGAAATCCTACAATTTTGTAGGGGTACCCCTTGGAAAAAATTCGAAAAATTAAAAAACGATATTAACGCAATGTTTTGAATGAGGGTTTTTGCTTCTGGGTTTGCTGATTATAAATTAGTACTTTATTTCCTGATCGGATACAAATAGCCAGAGCTATGGCCATCGGAAGGAGCAAAAGTGGGGAATGTGGGAAAACACACAATTTTGTAGGGGTACCCCTTGGAAAAAATTCGAAAAATCAAAAATCGATATTAAAACAATATTTTGAATGAGGAAAGTCGCTTCTGGGTTTGCTGATTACAAATTGGTACTTTATTTCCTGATCGGATACAAACATCCAGAGCTATGGCCATCGGAAGGGGCAAAAGTGGGGTAAGTCAGAAATCCTACAATTTTGTAGGGGTACCCCTTGGAAAAAATTCGAAAAATTAAAAAACGATATTAACGCAATGTTTTGAATGAGGAAAGTCGCTTCTGGGTTTGCTGATTACAAATTGGTACTTTATTTCCTGATCGGATACAAATATCCAGAGCTGTGGCCATCGGAAGGAGCAAAAGAGGGGAAAGTGGGAAAACCCACAATTTTTTAGGGGTACCCCTTGAAAAAAATTCGAAAAATCAAAAATCGATATTAAAACAATATTTTGAATGAGGAAAGTCGCTTCTGGGTTTGCCGATTACAAATTGGTAATTTATTTTCTGATCGGATACAAATATCCAGAGCTATGGCCATCGGAAAGAGCAAAAGTGGGGAAAGTGGGAAAACCCACAATTTTGTAGGGGTACCCCTTGGAAAAAATTCGAAAAATTAAAAAACGATATTAACGCAATGTTTTGAATGAGGAAAGTCGCTTCTGGGTTTGCTGATTACACATTGGTACTTTATTTCCTGATCGGATACAAATATCCAGAGCTGTGGCCATCGGAAGGAGCAAAAGAGGGGAAAGTGGGAAAACCCACAATTTTTTAGGGGTACCCCTTGGAAAAAATTCGAAAAATCAAAAATCGATATTAAAACAATATTTTGAATGAGGAAAGTCGCTTCTGGGTTTGCTGATTACAAATTGGTACTTTATTTCCTGATCGGATACAAACATCCAGAGCGATGGCCATCGGAAGGGGCAAAAGTGGGGTAAGTCAGAAATCCTACAATTTTGTAGGGGTACCCCTTGGAAAAAATTCGAAAAATTAAAAACCGATATTAACGCAATGTTTTGAATGAGGGTTTTCGCTTCTGGGTTTGCTGATTACACATTGGTACTTTATTTCCTGATCGGATACAAACATCCAGAGCTATGGCCATCGGAAGGAGCAAAAGTGGGGAATGTGGGAAAACACACAATTTTGTAGGGGTACCCCTTGGAAAAAATTCGAAAAATCAAAAATCGATATTAAAACAATATTTTGAATGAGGAAAGTCGCTTCTGGGTTTGCTGATTACAAATTGGTACTTTATTTCCTGATCGGATACAAACATCCAGAGCTATGGCCATCGGAAGGGGCAAAAGTGGGGTAAGTCAGAAATCCTACAATTTTGTAGGGGTACCCCTTGGAAAAAATTCGAAAAATTAAAAAACGATATTAACGCAATGTTTTGAATGAGGGTTTTCGCTTCTGGGTTTGCTGATTACACATTGGTACTTTATTTCCTGATCGGATACAAACATCCAGAGCTATGGCCATCGGAAGGGGCAAAAGTGGGGTAAGTCAGAAATCCTACAATTTTGTGGGAGTACCCCTTGGAAAAAATTCGAAAATTAACAAACGATATTAACGCAATGTTTTGAATGAGGGTTTTCGCTTCTGGGTTTGCTGATTATAAATTAGTACTTTATTTCCTGATCGGATACAAATAGCCAGAGCTATGGCCATCGGAAGGAGCAAAAGTGGGGAATGTGGGAAAACACACAATTTTGTAGGGGTACCCCTTGGAAAAAATTCGAAAAATCAAAAATCGATATTAAAACAATATTTTGAATGAGGAAAGTCGCTTCTGGGTTTGCTGATTACAAATTGGTACTTTATTTCCTGATCGGATACAAACATCCAGAGCTATGGCCATCGGAAGGGGCAAAAGTGGGGTAAGTCAGAAATCCTACAATTTTGTGGGAGTACCCCTTGGAAAAAATTCGAAAAATTAAAAAACGATATTAACGCAATGTTTTGAATGAGGAAAGTCGCTTCTGGGTTTGCTGATCGGATACAAATAGCCAGAGCTATGGCCATCGGAAGGAGCAAAAGTGGGGAATGTGGGAAAACACACAATTTTGTAGGGGTACCCCTTGGAAAAAATTCGAAAAATCAAAAATCGATATTAAAACAATATTTTGAATGAGGAAAGTCGCTTCTGGGTTTGCTGATTACAAATTGGTACTTTATTTCCTGATCGGATACAAACATCCAGAGCTATGGCCATCGGAAGGGGCAAAAGTGGGGTAAGTCAGAAATCCTACACAATTTTGTAGGGGTACCCCTTGGAAAAAATTCGAAAAATTAAAAAACGATATTAACGCAATGTTTTGACTGAGGAAAGTCGCTTCTGGGTTTGCTGATTACAAATTGGTACTTTATTTTCTGATCGGATACAAATATGCAGAGCTATGGCCATCGGAAGGGGCAAAAGTGGGGTAAGTCAGAAATCCTACAATTTTGTGGGGGTAACCCTTGGAAAAAATTCGAAAAATTAAAAAACGACATTAACGCAATGTTTTGAATGAGGAAAGTCGCTTCTGGGTTTGCTGATTGCAAATTGGTACTTTATTTCCTGATCGGATACAAACATCCAGAGCTATGGCCATCGGAAGGGGCAAAAGTGGGGTAAGTCAGAAATCCTACAATTTTGTAGGGGTACCCCTTGGAAAAAATTCGAAAAATTAAAAAACGATATTAACGCAATGTTTTGAATAAGGAAAGTCGCTTCTGGGTTTGCTGATTACAAATTGGTACTTTATTTCCTGATCGGATACAAATATCCAGAGCTGTGGCCATCGGAAGGAGCAAAAGAGGGGAAAGTGGGAAAACCCACAATTTTTTAGGGGTACCCCTTGAAAAAAATTCCGAAAATCAAAAATCGATATTAAAACAATATTTTGAATGAGGAAAGTCGCTTCTGGGTTTGCTAATTACAAATTGGTACTTTATTTCCTGATCGGATACAAACATCCAGAGCTATGGCCATCGGAAGGGGCAAAAGTGGGGTAATTCAGAAATCCTACACAATTTTGTAGGGGTACCCCTTGGAAAAAATTCGAAAAATTAAAAAACGATATTAACGCAATGTTTTGAATGAGGGTTTTCGCTTCTGGGTTTGCTGATTATAAATTAGTACTTTATTTCTTGATCGGATACAATTTGGCAGAGCTATGGCCATCGGAAGGGG